ACACTTTTTATGCAAAATAACTTGTAACAGTAACGTTTTATGCAAAGTAACTCGTAACAGTAACTTAATATTTTCTTAAAAAAATATTTTGCAGCTCTTGGGAAAAATAACCTTTTCCCTAGAGTATATATCTAAATACAAGAACCGAAACTTTACAGTGTTCTAAAAAAAATTAAAGACTGACCCAATTCCTGCTTAATCAACATTTTATATTCATTTTGGTAAATTTTATTTATTAAGACGATCTTTATTTTTCCTGTTCTTTATTGGATTATTAAAAATCATGTCGATTTTATTTAAGATGATATGCCTTGCCCTATAATGGAGTCGAATCTTTTAAATGCAATCATTTAAATATTTGATTTATTATTGCCAGAACTTTAGTAAAATATATTATATTTAACGAAAGCCGTAAACAAAATAATTCGCCCTTCAAGTAATTCACAGAAACAGACTGAATCTACTACATTATTTGATATCTAGTTTTTTTTCTTTCACAACGCAATTTGTTCTATTTAAATTTGTTTATTCAGCGGTTTCGATGCAATATTATACAATTGGAAATTGTAGATATTATTTTATATCTGCAGGCTATAAAATTTTTTTTTATTGTTAACTTAAATACATAGATGTGAAAAATAAAGCTTATAAAAAGGAAGAAAGAAGTGAATAAAAAAAACTTGATCATATTATATCCTACACCAAACATTAATTAATTAATGTATATTCTTTAATATGCTACTTTCGACAAAATATATTGTAACTAGTTAATAACCTGCAAGAATGATGGGGCTGGGGGGTAATTAGTTTGTGTATATAGTATTAAATATATTTTATAAAAATTTTAATATTTAGGCGAAAAAGAGGTAAATTTGTGAATCACACTTCGTAAGATATATTAAATTTCTGATTCATCTATCATCGAATAAGGGAAAAAGGTATGATGACCCGTCTTTCTTGAAGGGCAAAATGAAAATAAGAGTACCAGAGCTCCCGTTAGTCAGCATTGCTGATCCCGTCAAATATAACGGGGAATGAGAATTTTTTCCTTACTCTTATGATAGTTGTTATCTCTTATTTGAAAATAATATCCAATTTTTATTCTTTATAACACCCTCCCACCTTCAGGCCAGGTCTAATTCATTAAATTTAAGTCTAAATGCTATGTTTTGAGTCAAAATATATTTAAAGCTTTTACTTGCATATCAATATTATTTGTTAAAATATTACTGATGATCCATGCCTAATATTTAATATTGAAAAAATTCCCAAGCAAGGTCCAAGGCTATAATAATTTTGAAAAAATTTCCGCCATCCTAACCAAAGATCATAATAATTTTGGTAGTTGAGAACTGAACTAAAATATTTAAAAAAATCATAATGAATTTAAAAATACAATCAAAATCAGATTTTATGGGCCTTGGTTTATATGTTTTAGGTCAATGTGATCCATAGTTAATAATAAAAAAATTCCCAAGCGTCCAAGCTGCTAATATTTTGAAAAATTTTTCCCAAGCGTAGCTCAATATAATTTATAAAAATATTTTCCACCAGCCCGACCCTTTATAATTAAATTTTTTCTCAAACCTGGCCAACCGATAATAATTTTGAATTTGTTTTCCCAAGCCTGGACCTTCCAATAAAAAAAATAAAAAGATATATTTAAATTACTTTATCATTATATAGTTAGATATATAAGAAGAATTGTATTACAAAATTTAATATCTGACTGGAAAGAACGTTTGCCTATCGAACTTTAAGTCAGTGGTTCGAATCTCGATGATGTATAAAAAATATTTAAAAAAAAAGCTTTCTTTTTAAAAAAATAAATAATTTAACATTAGAGGTATATAGTCTCCTTCGATTTATTTAACATTAAGATGATAGGAAAGTTGATAGAAAAAATAAAAATTATTATAAAGATTATACGAAAACGTTAATTTCTTGATTACGGCGATTATATATTAGATTGTAATAACATTGATGGCTTTTTGAATTTTTTTTTAAAATATAATTTCATTAATAATTTATGAAATCTTTGTTTAACCTCAGTAACTATACAATTTATAATCAGCAATACTCGCACTTAGAGTATAGGGGGTATAAAAATTCAATTTTTTTTATTTATTTAAGCATATAACTAAAAAAACGTTTAATGTTTTTACCTCCATAAAGATTGTAGTGTACTAGTAATTCTCAATTTTAATGTGTTTCCTACGGCACTATATTATTCTTTCATTCCTAATTTTCGATCCTTTTATTATTCTACTTGCAAAGCATTCCAGAGTGCTGAGATTTTATAATATAATGAGAAAATAATAAATATGAAGGCAATGAATGTGCACCATTCAATCATATTTGATTTTTAAGTAACAGAATCGATGACATTAATATTTAAAATGAATATAAGTCTCAAAGTATATATATTTTTTTTATAATTTTATGGTTCCAACGAGAGGGCCTTTTTTAATTATTTCGAAAAAATTTTTATTTATAAAAGAGAAAAAAAAAATTCAATTTTTTAAAATTTGTTCGTTTATTATTTTTAAGTTCTTCTTCTTTTTGATAAAAAAATGTTGGAGTTTAGAGGAGTGAAAGAATATTCAATTAAAAAAATTGTAAAAATTAAATATTTAATTTGTTTAAAGTTCAAGAGGCAAAGGGCACAAATAAGTAAAAGAATTTTTTTTAAAAAATATTTTAGGAGAAAGATTGATAAAGTTTTGATGATGATTTAATATTTACTATGGATATATATTTTTTAATAAGAATGACATGCAACCATTTAGGTTCAAAATAGATCAATATTTCCTTCTATGGCTTATTTTATAAATGGAAAAAGTTGGTAGGGACACCAAAAAACATTGCTTGGTATTTGTAAGTTTGCATAGAGTTCTCTTTTGAATCTTCGACTATCGACGAAACATTTCGTAAGTATACTAGCTTCTATAATACAAATTAAACGACCTTGAATAAGAATTTTTTTTTAAAAAAAAAGGTTTTATTTTTAAAAAAATCGGATTTAATATTATTTATTATAAGTAAATGTTAACCGGTCATAATGTATAAAAAAAATTTTTTTGAATATCATTTCCATACAAATATGTAATTTTTATATAACAATTACAATATTTTTGTTAAATTCATTAATATTTAATTTGCATAAAATTTATTACAATGTTATTTTAAAAATCCCCTCAATATCCTTATTTAATTTACCTTATTTGGCTCAATATTTTACAGGGACCCGAACCGTTATTTATAACGGTTCAGTTTGGTTACGGTGATGGTTTAACAACACTACCCTATTTTAGTATTTTCCTACTTTGGGAATTTTGATGGGCTTCCCCTAGAAATCTTTTTTCTTTTCTCTTTTATAACATTTTCCACTCTTACTATATCATTATGAAGCAGGTTGCTTATATTGTATACTACAAAACAAAAGATCTATTTATAATGTTGACCCTTAAATTTATTGCCATAGGTGCTTAACCCGCGCACAAGGAATTATGAATATATGATTCATATTTTAATTTTATATTATTAATAATCATAGACTTCTATAATATCTATATTGGTAAATTAATTTTTTTTGTCAAAAAAAAATTTCATGATATTTAAAAAAAAATGGCATTCAATGATGAATTTGAATTGATTTGGTTGACATTGAAATGGTTTAGATTTACTGAAAAAAATATTTTGCTAAAATTGAAAATATATTTTCCCCCCGACAACTATTCTTTCTTGTCTGATGAAAAATATAAATTATTTTACTTCCACTGATAAGCATATCCAGGATTTTTTTTTGGGGGGGGGGCACTATCAGATGTATTTTTTTCCCATAAATTTTATAGGCCTTTGGCTATATTTGATTTTTATAAAAATAATTTTTGGTTTTCGCTTTTTTTATATTAAAATCCCTTTTTTAAAAAAATTTGAATTATAGTCGTTATTTTAAAAATTTATTAACTTTTACTAATTTTCTTTCAAATTCTTGATATATTGTATTCGTTGGATATGGTAGTATTATAGGGGGAAATTTTTAATTATATGAAAATGATATTTACGAGAACAGATAAAATTTGTGAGGGCCTCCCTTGGTTACGCGCCTGGCTTACTCAACCCTTCAATACTAAAAATAATAACGTAAATGCTCTAATGGGGTTTGATAAATCCCAATTTAAAATGAATATATCTTTATTTCTATTCATTACTTTGAAAGATAGTAGAAATAACCTTAAACAATAAAAAAATATTTATTTTAATTTATTAGGATTAGATAAAAAAAAAATGTTGAAGGTAATTATAACATAGAATATATTTTCTTTAAAAAAGTTAAAGTTTCACAGACTCTGATCAGTCACGAAATGATTATCACTGTTTAACGAAAATATATCAAATTTGGAATATAAAGTCCAAAATGAATTACTGAAAATTCTGGATCATAATAATTAACTTATTTTTAAGTAAAAATTATTCTTGCATTCCTAGGGTTCTATAAACCCCACTGGAATATTGAAATGTATAAAGGGTTATCTTTACAACATTGATAACATTTAGACTTATCTTGCTGTATGTCCTATGCTGTTTTTATTTTATTGTAAAGCGATATTGAATTAAGTGTTCTGAAAAAATTATTTTAGAAATTTAACAGAGTTGCATTTTAATACATTATCACATCGCAAAAATTTTAAAAGACTCACATACTGTAAGATAGGGTATAATCAGATATAATAATTCTAAGTGTAACTCAATTTTTATCAATTTTACATTTTTTTAAATAAATGTCAATGATATCAGGGGGCTAACATTATTTAAGAAATATGTATTTTAACATAAAAATTTTTTTTAATTATTTTGAGGGTAAGGCAGTTATTTCAAAGATAGGAGAGTATCATTTAGGATAAGCCCTAAAATCCTAAATACCTCTGAAATTCATTATAAATACATTTAAAGTTTATTCCAAAATGTTATATAAAAATAATTTTAAATGTGTATAGACGATAAAGCACGGTTTCCCGTATTCTGCCACATCTTTAGCCTATGATCCGGTTCAAAATTTATTAGCCATAGGCACTTCAAACGGTTGCGTACGCATGTAAGATTTTTTACAATTCTTTTCCTACCAATTAAATATAAAAATTTGAAGCCCATGCGCCTATTTTCTCAACCTTTTTAAAGGTTCACCCGATTTACTTCAATTCTTATTGGGCTTTATTTTTTTTTAATATACCTTTAAAATATACTGAATATTTTCTAGTTATTGTTTATAAAGCATTATTCATTTGTTTTTTAGCTATCTTTTCTCAAATCTTAAAGGCGTTTATTTTTTATTATTTAATTCGTTATCTCTTAAATTCTCAAGTTACTACCATTTTATAGAATTAGATCGATATATATATATATATTTAATCATTTTTGTTGCTCACTTTAATTGAAAAGAATATTCAACTCTCACGTTATATACTGAAACATAATATTTTTTTGTAAACAAAATTTTGATAAGGCGCAACACCTTTTTATTAGTTATTTATTAATTGACTACTTAGCTATAATTCTGTGCTAAATAATTGTTATTTTACTTTGGACCTACCTATTACATGAGTGATGCACTAGTACTAGCATTCCAAAATAGGGACCTCCCCATCCCAGTGTTATTTAAAATCTAAGACCACGAAGAGCAAAGGTTTAAAAGTAAGTTAAATACAGTTAGAATAACTTCGGGCTTAGCAGAATGACTTAATCTTTTAGTATGTTCTTGTGAAATATAACAATGACAATTAATATTGATAAATAATATTACATTCATTTATTATTTTTTATATAAACATAAAATACATTTTTTTATGTTTGCAGTTTGGGGAAACCCGGTGTTGATATCGATGTCAAACATGACCCTCCTGCCATTGTTCAACAACTAATATTTATAATCAATGAGGTATAATTTTATATGAAAACGTATGCATGTAACCAATAATATATTTAATTGTTAAAATTAGAACACGCTTTAAGCGAATTTAAGTGCCCTATAAATCACAAACATCATCCTCGGAAATAACGAAAAGGTCTAAATTTTAGGCATGGGCCGATTTACCTTGCATTTACAATTAGCACGAATTCTCTGCGAAGTGTACAAAATATGCTTTTTTTATATACTTCGCCGCGGATTTGCGCTAACTCTGAATGCAGGGTTAAACGGCTAAGGAGTTTTTAAACCAATATATAGTAACTATCTCTGATTACGAAAAATTACATATTATAATAAGTTATTCCCAATTTCGATTGTAAACTGTATCATAATCATGATAACTTATGCAATTAAAACCAAATGTTATTACATCAATATTATCTTATAAAAATAAATGTATGTGCATGGCATATGAAGACAAAGCGAATTTTATTATCAGAGTTGAGAAACGTAATAACTATTCTATCCACTTTTCCATGTAATTTAGGAGGCTCATGGGAAAAATCACCTGCCAGAACATGCCATTTTTTAATTAAAATTTATTTTCAGATATTTTCTTATCGAGAAAAGGTAAGATTTATAATTATAAGTAAATAAATATGTATATGCACCCTTTTATAAAAAAAAATAAAACTAAACTTTTTTTTCCAAACATTATTTATGTTAAAAAAAAAGCAGAAGACAAAAGATGTAGTAGGATTAATAAAAATATTGTTTATCAATTCTCTTGAATTATGGATATGTCTTTAGTTTAAAAAAAAACATTTTATCATTAAGTAGTATATAAATGAAACACAAAAAGTATTCCATTAAAAACATATTGTTAACCCAAACTTATAGTGGCCAGGATACTTAACATTTTATTTTTTAACTATTTTTTTTTTGAAAACAAGGTATATGGAGATTGGTTTACGGGTTAACAAAATAATTATTTGCCAATCCTCTAAAACATATGAGACCCGGGGTATCCTGAGTCGAAGGCCGGATTAGGTGGAAATGCCTCTTAACGATAAAATGAATATAATTAATAACAAACATATTAATAATAAGTTATATATAATTAATATATATCTTGCTAAGAATGTCTTAGACTGGAATGGTGCAAATGATTTATTATATTATATGATTTTTATGGTATGTTTTGTAAAAATAATAATACTTTCTTCTATATCCAACAATTTTTTAGAAAATTCAATAAAGTTTTGAGTATCAATTAATATATCTAAATTACCCTACTAATTTATTATTAAAGTATATAATTCTAAAATTATAATATAATTTGCCTATTTAATATATAATTTTAAATCGGTCCTATCTTAGAACATGAAGGATGAACTGGTACGGGACCGAATTCTGGGCATACTTTGCCTATTTTCTTCCTGTTTAATATTTTAAACATTATTCATAAATATTTTTAAAATGTATTCTTTTTTTTACTGAATTATAAGATTGGTTTGTATAATGCAATGCCACACCTAAAAAAAAGCCATGGTGCGCTCATTCTCTTCCCCATAGCCTAAGCCATTATTTATATATATTTTATAATTAGCTAATTATTTTTATATCTTCTTAAAAGTTATTAAATAACGATTATAATTTTAAGTGCAGAATTCAATCCAATTTACAAAAAAAGAAACTATTTAAAAAAATTAATTATAGGATAATGGATACGATTCCAAATTGTCATAATAAAAAAAATTTTTTAAAACTTTTATATATATTAAAAAATTTATTATAAGGAAAGATAGAACGAAACTAATTTATTTTTCCAATTTTGATCCTATTTCATAATAAATTTTAAAAAAATATCGAAATAATTATAGAATATAGTATATAGATTATATTTTAACCACACCAACGCATAATAATTATTATTGAGACATAATTGCTTACAAATTATTAGTATTACTTATTTTTTTTGGACATTGTACATATGAGTTATTTATTAAGTCCATTAACATCTCGAAAATTCTATTTTATCTTTTTTAGAGAAAAAAAAAATACATTTATATATTATTTTGTCACACCCCCCCCCCCCCTTTCCCCACTTCATTACAAACAAATCTTAGCCACTTTATTCAGCGAACCAATAAAAATTTTTAATATCGATAGCTAAAATATTTTATCCTTTTCTTTCAATTTATAAACTTTGAAATCAACATAAAACATTGATAATATATTTTTTATATGATCCTCATTCATAACCAATTTATGAGAAGGAAAAAAAATTAATTAAATATCACTCCAAGTTCCCATCAATTCATCCATAATATTATTTTTTTTAGATAATTTTAATGCTGATTGTTTTTCTCCCTCTCTCTCTAATATATCGGATGTTGTTAATATTAATATAAATTCTTTCATTACTCCCTGGGACCTTAATCTATTAATACTTAGGGTTGTGAACCAATATTAGAAACCCAAGATTAACAAAATATTATATTGGTGTTGGATCTAAAATATTGGTATTGATTTAAACAATATTTTCTATTTCTTGTATTGGTATTGGTTTAAATTCAAAACATTATTAATATAATAGAAGTAGTTATTTAAAAACCCGTAATTTGTAGTTTTAAATAAACACGAAAAAAAGATTATGAATTATTACTATTAAAAACAGGACTTTAAAAATTTTACTAAATCTATATTCTTTTTTTGAACTAGGAATTTATGAAGTGACATGAATATAAAATTTTTTAATTTAATAAATATTTTGTATTAACAAACCTAACCAAACTAATCAAATAAAAATAAACCCATTGATTTTGAAACTTTTTATTTTGAGTAAACTAAAATATCATAATTTCTTATTTGGCATAAATAACAAGACTGGCTTTAAATGACAAGATTATCTTGGTTCTAAATGGCAAGACTATTTTGGCTTTTAATGCTTATATAGATTTGACTATAAATGCCTAGACTGATTTCGCTCTAAATAACTCTACTGGTTTGGCTCTAAAGGCCTAGACTGATTTGATTCCAAATGCTTAAGCAATTTTGCTAAATGGCAAGACTATTTTTAGCTCTAAATGATAAGACTAAAATTTTATGCAAAAGATTGATAGAAATTTAATATAATGGAAAATAATTATTTATATCTTTAAGAAGGATTCTGCATCCGCATCCAACTTTTTAGGCATGGTCATTCTTAGTATGTTCATTTAGTGAACAACGTTGGCCAATTATAACATACCGTCCTTCTGAAAATGCCCTTTCAGAGGTAGCTGGAATTGTAAGATAATCTCTGAAATTTTCGATGGATATCTTTTTCGATTTCGTTTTCAATAGTCCAGTGGATTTGTATCATTAGAAATTGTGGCATCACCCATATACTTGCTTATTTCTACGCTATTAATACTATGACTATTTTACTTGTTATATTTTATCATAAAAAGACAATCTCTTGGATTTATTTTGTGCTTCATTTTCATGTTCAACTGAATTGAAATTATTATTTATTTTATATATATTATATTCTTCCGTTAGATATCTATGAGGATGTTTATACTAGTAATCTTCATCAGGCCTAATTTTCCTGCCTGGCCCGATCTCGAACAAATTTTTTTTATTTGTCCCTAAAAGCCCCACCCGAAATAAAAAATATCTGTCAGCCCAGTCCGAATTTATTTTAAAGATATAAAAATTATTTTTTTTTTATCGTATAAAAAATATTCTACATATAAAGAATATTAGCGCCTTGTTTCTTGATAGAATTTAAAAATATGTCAGTTTATTTAAAAAACTGTAATGATATCTTATTTAAAAATTTAAGCCTGACTCAGCCCAGCCCAAAAGTATTTAAAAAATATTACGGCCCGACCCAGCCCGAACCGAATGTTTTTTTAAAATAGATCCGGCCCAGCCCGTGATTTGCAGATCTCCAGTCTATGCTATTATCTTTTAACAAGTGGCTTGATATTTTAAAGCGTGGGTCAATCACTGTTGATATTATATACGCGGTTTATTAAAATTATAATATTATTGAAATTATAATATTTATCAAGTTTAGCTAAGGCAGTTATTGTAAAATAGTATTAGGACTATTATTACAACTCTGAAGATGTTCAAAATGCTTGAATATAAAGAAATAATGGTTGAAACTATTGAATCATGCAAATGATGTCATCTCTATATCGAAATTAAATGGGTCTATAAACTCGATAAATTTCTATATTATTGCAGGCTAAGGCACTAATATAATTTTCTTCATTTGTAATTTATAAATGATTAGTGTATGTTGTAAAATAGGGTTTGAGCAATATCGCCCTTTTTAGCATTTGGTATGTTGAATACCAATGTGTTAATTTCTCCAAAATTGAGGAAATTTTAAGGTTACATTTTTTTCAAGTAATATATTTTAGAGTTTATTTTTAGATATAGATAATTTAAATTTTTTTAAAGTTTCATTTATATAACATTGCAATAGCATTCACACACATTATTTAAATTAAAATGATCTTTTTATTTAAAATTTTTACAAATGCTAGATTATTACTTGCATTGTCTAATGTAAATGTAATACAAAAAAGTCCATTTCAAATTTTACTTCTTTTAATACAGAATTAAAAATACTATAAATATTATTAGAATTATGTGCTGATTTAAAAGGTATAAATCTAATAAATCATTATTTAATTTATAGTCATTATCAATATAATAAATTGTTATGCCCATAAAGGGTATTTTTTGGAGAGGACCATATGCCCATTGTGTAAAATTTAGTTGTAATGTTAAAAAGTAAAGATTTTAGATTATTTAACGAGCCATGATATTGTTTCTTTTTATTTTAGCGTTTTTCTAGAATAAAAAATAAATGAAGGGTTAAAATATGCTATTAAATTTTTAAATCTCCCCAACCATTGAAAAGGCTAAATTATTTTGAATAAAAAAGTATAATTAAATGATTTAGATTAGATTTATTATTTATATTATTAACTAAAAATGATTTTATTATGATAATTTTTTTAACTGCATTTTTTTATTTGTTTGTTCACATTTAATGTTGGGTGGATGGATTTAAGATGTGTCCATAAGGCCCCATTTATGGTAAATGCGTTATGTTAAAACGTTGCGTTATTTTACTCTATCGATATCACATCCAATCTTTCACAATGATAATTCAACTGATAATACTAAAATAGAGATAATTATTTTACATTATATTTTTATTGAATTCGCTATTATTTTTATAATCGTATCCCATATTTTTTATCATCGCATCCATATATATGTTTTTCAAATGTTATAGCATTATCATCATAACGCTCCATATTTATAAATTTACCTATTTATTGGCTTGGTTTTGTAAATAACGCACTGTTTGTACATCACGCGTTTACTATAAATGAAGCATAACCCTGTGGTTTCAAAATTGGGAAAATATTTTTTTGCATTATATATAGCCATCTTTTTATTATCACAACTCATAAGATTCTCATATTTTTACTGTATTTCATCTTTTATTAGATATAGATGATAGTTCTTGTTCATTATCGTTTCCAGTATCATCATCTATAAACACTATTTGATTTTCATTTATATTATCCTAAATGAATAGATAAAAATTGATATCATGTAAAAATTTTATCTACATAATAATCTACTAAATAACAATATTGATATCACACAGTACAATAAAGTAAGTATTTGCATTAAGGAAATATTGGATGTAATAAATTTAGACGGGAAATCTAAAAAAACTAAGAAATATACGATATATTATTCTACGATAAAAATCAAATAATTATTCTTAATCTGGCACAATATAGGTTTGCTTTCCTACTATCTTCTCCGTTGGTGAGTTTCAGATTTACCCAGGTTGGCAAATTTTTCCTTTAATTTTTCTTCTCCTTTTTTGACTTTTTGAGCATAAATATTTGTAAGATTCATTTTTCTCATATCCGCCGCTATCACCTTTATCCACGTCATCTTGGGTCTTCCTCTATGTCTTGATCCTCCTACTTCCATCAAGATGCATTTCTTTCTCAATCATCTTTTGTCTTACGTTCCACATGCCCAAACCATCTTAATTTATTTCTTCGCATTACCCCTCCAATCACTTCTATACCCATTCTTGCTCGCAATTCCTTGCTAGTTTTTTCTCTCTCAGAGATACACCACTCATCCATCTTATCATCCTCATCTCTGTTCTTTCTAAATTGGCTTCGTGGACCCCTTTCATTGCTGATGTTACAACGTCATAAACTAAGCAACTCCTCACACAGCTTACGTCAACTTTTCCCTTTAACTTTAGAGAAACGTTTTTATTTGTTAGAATAAACATCTCTCTGAACTTCTTACATGCCTGTCTGACCCTTGCAACAACAGCAGAATCTACACCACCATCTGCGTTTAACATATCATCCAAATAGCAAAACTTTTACACTTTTCCCAGGGTTAACCCATTGCCAATATTTAAACCACCATTTTCTACGTTATCAGTATTATGTACCACTTCTGTGCACACTCTACAAATAAAGGTCATTCTTTCTAACATCAGCCTTTTTCCCGCTAAATCTTTTATACACCCATTTCTGGCATCTGGTGCATTGAATTGAATTTCTAGCAACTCTTTTTCCATATACACCACAAGGCCAGTTGTCAGATTCCTCGATCTTCAGATTATCCTCACCAATCATCACCTTTGACTTTACTTCATACATTTTCAGGCCCTTTGCTTTCATAGCCATCTTCCATCTGCTAATTTTATCCCTCAATTCTTCCCCAATTCTTCCTCACTGTTTACCATTAATACAAAGTTATTTGCATATAGCTCCCAGGGAATCCTTCACACATCTCTCTAGTCACAATATCCATTATTAAAATAAATAATAATGCAGCACGGATTTTTGATGAAGTTCTTATGAAGGGTAGAAATTTACCTTTTGATTTTGAAAGTTCTAGATTGCAAACATTCAAATCCAAAAGGGAGAGGTATATATATTTTCATTGTTAAATATAATATTTTATTTTAGTTATAAAACCAATTTATGCTGCACTTGATTTAACATCAATAATTAAAGATTCAATGACGAATCGATGAAATTTTTAAATACCACTATTTACAATCACCATTTTTCCTTCCATATTTTTCAAACATTTAACACCTATCACATTCTACCTCTTTTTTGCCATCCTGACCACATTTCCCATTTCTTCTGCGCATTCCATTTTTTAGCAAACTCTTTCCTTTGTTCTTCATGCGCTATCGCTATTAACTTCTTTGCATTTCTTTTTGTCACCTTGTAAATATCGTTATCATTATTTTCTTTACTATTATACCATTCTTTGAAACACCTCCATTTCTCGTCCACAGCTTTCGCTACCTCCGTAATGTCATATTGAATTTATATCTAACACTCTCCTCCTTCAATTTCCAAACCTTCAGCCTTGGCTGAAACTTTCTTTTAGTGATCCTGGCTCAAGTGAGATCTCCTATAACTAGTCGGTGCTGATCAATACATTACTCTCCCGGTATCACTCGCATTTTTTACTATGCTCCTATCACATCTCTTTACTAACAAATAATCCACACTACCCGACTTGTAAGTTACCAGCTTCTCTGATTCTTCCTTAAACATTGTATTAAATCACTTAGCATCAAAATCCAAAATCTCTCCCCTTACGAATTTCTCATGCCGTAAATAAATCCTCCATGTACTCCCTCATAAACTTCACTACTCTCTCCCACACGTCCATTCAGATCACCAGCCAGGATAATCCCTCTTCATTGCCAGTCTCAATGTCACCTTCAATAAACTGTCCCAAAATGTATCTTTCTCTTATTCAATTCTTTCAACCTGAGGAACATATGCCGAAATAGTATTGCATAGCTTTCTACCAAAAATCATCTTGATAATCATTATCCTTCTTACTTCGATTACTTAGTCCACTCATTTCTCTATAACCAATATGCCAACACCAGCCTTACCATCATTACTTCCTTGTCAGAAAATGTATACTTTTCACTTGTCCTACCAATCATTTTTGCGCCATTACCTTTCCATCTGGTCTCTTATATGCAACACACATCTATATGCCGCAGTGCATCGATCACTTCTTCTCCTCCTCCCATCATGCTCCAAAGTTTACATGTCGCGACTCTTACTCTATCCCCCGTAAACTGGTTTCTCCACTTATTATCGGTCATATGACCGTCATATGTTTCATTTTCGCGAATCGTGGTTCCACCAGGTTTCCCATCCTTCTTTTTATCGCAGGCGGATGAGGAGGCCCACAGAGTACTTTGGATTGTACCCCGCCCATGCTTTGTTATAAAACTAGGAAATTTTGGAGCAAGGTTTTTACAATCGGATGCCCTTCCTGGCATACACCCCTTTAGGTTATTTTTACACCCAATCGAGGAGACGGTGATCCTATTCTGGACCCAGACCACAGGGAACCTTTTAAACCTTCATTAGCCGCCAAAGACCTAGCTACTTCCCCGCTACGATGAGGCTGATAGGATTTTGGGAAAGCTTTCCAACTTTACAAATTATATATATATAAAAATTTTGTTATAAATTTTACAGGGTTATTTAATATCCGCCTGTTCGGACGATATTCTCCATCTATGGGATCTCAAACAAAATATCCCCATTATAACGCACTCGCTAAAATTTCAACGCGAAAAGTATATTTTATTTTTTTTGAATATTTTATCATTCTTCCCTAAAAAAACGAACCAACTAATGAAAGAAAGATTTTATGAAATACATTTAATTTAAATATTCTTTAAAATCCTCATTAATTCAAAATCCACTTTATTATTAACAAGATTAATCAAACTAATGATTATATAACTTAAAACAAATAATCTATTCTGAATTATAAGTAGGGGAAAAAATTGATTAAATAACGTCATCCTATCCTATCCACCAGTTTTTCTATTAATAAAGAAAGTTGATATTATATAATATTTTTTGAGATATTAAATTAAAAGCTGCTAAAATAATTTTAAATAAACATAATTTTTTTAGAATAACATTCGTCCATCTGTCATTTCAAAGTAAATGGCTCTACGTAGGCACTTTAAAGGGAAACATACACGTAGTCAATATCGAAACCTTCAAGCTATCCGGCTACCTTATCAATTGGAACAAAACAATCGAACTGTAAAACATCTAAAATTCAAGAATAATTAGTAGAATATCATTATCATTAGTTTTAGCTAGTTCGATATTTGATAAGCTAAAAATGGGAGTGCATCAGTCAACTATGCAATATATTATTTTTTATATGGCGTGTTGTAAGATTAATAATCGAAATCTCGATAAGGCTATCGGATTATTTTGTTTTTTTATTTAATAAATATATATTTGATTTTAAATATTATCCGTCATCTTTTTTGTGATTTTGACATGAGATGAGCTTGGTTTATCATTTTTTTTGATAAGACAATATTACAAATACAACCAGGGACCCGGAATAAAGCCATATTTGCGTTCCTGTTCTGTTCCCGTTATGACCAAAAAAATATATTTCGTTTCATTCCAAGTTTCAGAACTTTCTGGAACGCGTTCACAAATATATATAATTTTATTTCTAATATATTATATATTATACCAAATTTTTATACTATATAGTATTGATTAAGATATTTTCTAAAATATTTTCATTTATATTTGTGCGGTGACCTTAATATAAATTTGAATATCGAAATACACCTCTTAACACTAACTTGGTGACAAAATATCTATTGAATAGTTTACACTATACAATATTAATTTTATGATAAAAATAAAATTATTTTAAATAAATAAAAAAAATCTTGTTATTATATTAATTCATAAAATCATATAATAATACTCAGAGACCCACAGAGGTACCATTTGCACGGCCCGGCCCGGATTCTTTTTTAAAAAATTTTTTAGGCCCGGTTCGGAATTTTTTAAATTATATTCGACCTGATATATACAAAAAATTTATCTATTCGGTATTTTATCATATTTTTCAGCGAGTATTATCATTTAATAAGCAAGCATATTATATATATTATCTTTTTTTATTCTAACAGATATTTAGTATATTATAAATTGATATTATAAAAAAATTTGTGTAAATAATATTTTGAGAATATAATATATTATATTGTATTTATAAAAAAATGGAACTAAATAAAATTTTGAGAATATACTATATTATATATTGCATTTATAAAAATAAAACTAATATTGAAAATGGAAGTAAATTATAAAATCATTATAACCATATCTAATTGACGATTATAATAACTCATGATGTATAAATTTTTAAAAAAATTTTACGGCCCGGCCCGGGTATTTAAAAAAAATTTTTCAGACCCGGGTATATTTTAAAAATTTAAAATACGGCCCGGCCCGTGTATTCGGGCCGGGCTTAGGGCAGGGCCTGCAGGTCTGATAATACTAAATAATGGGTAATAATATTGATATGAAACAAATTGGAATTAAGAAAATAAAAAAAGAATATTTATGAATGGGCCATTATATATAATTTTGTAATAAATTAAATTTCCAAAACTATTCCGTGAACGTTCCATGGATTTTCGTTCTATTCCACAATTTTCACCAAGTTCCGTTCCCAGAGCATATTGAGAACGTTCTGTTCCATGTCAAGAATAACAACTATTAATTGATCCCTTCCCCACCCTAGCATATTTCTGATATTATTTTTTTTAGATACTAAGGCCAAAACCAAAATTCGGTTTAAATATTCAAACAGGCCGGAAAAATTATAATTTCAATTTTTTCCTTTTTTTTGCAAAAAAAAAAAATTAAAAAAGTTTAAGCAAAAATCACCCCGGTGCTGTGATTCACGTGAGTGATAATCCGGTTGACCCAAATAAAGTAAACTAAAAAATATAAATTTTACAGAAATGTTATTTATAGTATATATTATGATATTTGCTTTTGTTTTTTAAAAAATTCCATGTGATATTATGAACCTAAAAACTTTATGCCGTTGGTAGAATAATTTAGGATGATCAATGAATGATAGGACTGAGACACGTAAGTCTAAAATTGCGGCACTTAAACGGATATCATTATTTATTTAAAATATCCTAAAGATTCCTTTTAGTCTTTTGCAGATATATTATTATCTCTCTATAATGCATAATTTATTTATCGCTTATTATTATTTTTTTATTACAAAAATGATAAAAAAATTTAGGAATAAATGTTATTTTTTAATTTAAAAAAACATACTATAAAAGATAAATATGGTAGAAATATCCATATTATATCAGTTTGCTTGATTATTTAAGAATTGGATTATAATTTTAAAGCTTTAGCTTGTATCTAAATTTACGATAAATTATGATTTTATATGGAAATAAAATTTGTAAAATCGATTTTTTATTGTTAATGATAAGCTGTAAAAAAAAATTTTTTAAAAATAAAAATATATTCTTGTAAATATTTGAAAAGTTTTTTTTTATAATATCACTTCTTATTGTTTGGGTATGCTAAAATAGAATGGCTGAATTAACTAGAGAGAGAAACGAAAGGAGACGCAGATCCCCATCTCCGCATACGTCAACCCCGCTGAGCCAAGGACGAGCGCCCCCCCCCCGCTGCCACTACAGTTCCAGCCGCACCCATTGTTCCGCTCACCCCTCTTGAAAAATACGAGAAAATGCGCAAAGTCTGGGCTGGACTCCAGCAAGACCTCGTGGAACCAAAATGCAAAGCTAGTATTAGGGACCGCCATGAAATAAAGCACATAGCCAATGTGCATTCTTAACGAAACTTCCGACCCTAGGCTTATGGACGAGATGACTAAACGGATAAGAGTATTAGCCCTCGCCATACACTGTAACTGGCAAACAGCGATAAATAACGATGCCTCGTACCAAGAAAAATTCCTCGGCGGAGAGGAAATCAAAGTTTTCCGTGAAAATCGGCCCTTTCGGGACAGGGGCTACGGCCCCTCCACATTCTACCTCCTCACTTCTACCGCTACCTTCTATACTATATCTTCCTTCTACTTCTCACGCAACCCTTCCGGGGGAGGTTGCTACGGACAACGGATCACTGGCCCCTCCGAGGGGAGCAGTTCAGCAGCCACCATGGCTAGCCTAAGTTAACGAATTTCTCAGGCTGCTGAGGCACAAACTGTTCTCACCGGACGATACGATTCGGACTCGGGCACTGACGTAGTGTCAGAAGACGATCAACCTCCCCCGTTGATACGTCCGACGGCTAGCGCTGCTGACGAATCGGACACGCCGTCCTTTTTGTCCGAGGATTCCGGGATACCTGAATGGTGGAACCCTAGTCCGCTCTCTGTTTCCCTACCCTCAAGCAGCTCGGGGAGTGACTCCGCTGAGTCTATCATCGCGGAATTAGATGATTCAATCTATAGTACGGATGATCCTGGTATGCCCCAGGTGGGTTCCGTTTCCGCTCCAGATCTACCCGGTATTCTCGCCGTCATCAATCGATCTGGAGGGCGCGGCATCTTCACAGACGAACAGCTTGAGGCCCTCCCCACGCTGAACATCAGCACCGCTCGGCTCTCCGTTGGACAGCTTATGTCTAACTTCACCAGGAGAGTGGCCACACGTGGATTCCAACCATGACTGGACCATCTCAAAATCAGCAATAATATTTTCCGTCATAATGGTCCAGTCAGAGTCCACAACAAATACCGCGACATCATTCGCCAGCTCGTAGCCGCCAATATAATCGAGCCATCATACAACCCCGCACAAATATGCTCGCACTGTATGTTATTCCCAAATCAGATGGATCACCCAGAGTCTTTAGAGACTTTTCTCAAGTATCCAAGAACTTTTTGCACTATCCATTCAGGCTCAAATCCATCCCCCTAATGTCCACAAAATTGGACCAAGCTAGATTTGCCTGTAAAATAGACATAAGATCGGCATTCTTTTCCATACCTTTGGCCGAAAGTGTCCGCCCCTTTTTCGGGGTCAGATTCGATAAGACGAATTACGCCTATAAAGTTCTTCCTATGGGAGCCTCATTTAGCCCGTATTGTTTACAATCAATTATTCTTGACGAAAGCTTTTTACAATGTTTATCTGGACGACATCCTAATCTACAGGGATAACGAGTTTGACGTCAAGTGGTCCACCAGATCACTTCGATGTACCCTCGAAGTATGGGGGCTCCAGATAGCCGCGGAGAAATCTGTTTTAGATCCTACTGACAAGATCACCTACTTAGGAGTTCCTATCGACCTGACAAATAAAACAATAACAGCTGATACGGCGTGTCCGATTCGTCAGCAGCGCTAGCCGTCGGACGTATCAACGGGGGAGGTTGATCATTGTCTTCTGACACTACGTCAGTGCCCGAGTCCGAATCGTATCGTCCGGTGAGAACAGTTTGTGCCTCAGCAGCCTGAGAAATTCGTTAACTTTGGCTAGCCATGGTGGCTGCTGAACAGCTCCCCTCGAAGGGGCTTGTGATCCGTTGCCCGTCGCAACCTCCTCCGGAAGGGTTGCGTGAGAAGTAGAAGGAAGAGATAGTATAGAAGGTAGCGGTAGAAGTGAGGAGGTAGAATGTGGAGGGGCCGTAGCCCCTGTCCCGAAAGGGCCGATTTTCACCGAACACTTTGATTTCCTCTCCGCCGAGGAATTTTTCTTGGTACGAGGCATCGTTATTTATCGCTGTCTGCCAGTTCCAGTGTATGGCGAGGGCTAATACTCTTATCCGTTTAGTCATCTCGTCCATAAGCCTAGGGTCGGAAGTTTCGTTAAAAATGCACATTGGCTATGTGCTTTATTTCATGGAGGTCCCTAACACTAGCTTTACATTTTGGTTCCACGAGGTCTTGCTGGAGTCCAGCCCAGACTTTGTGCATTTTCTCGTATTTTTCGAGAAGGGTGAGCGGAACAATGGGTGCGGCTGGAACTGTAGTGGCAGCGGGGGGGGTGGGGCGCTCCACCTTGGCCCAGTGGGGTTGACGTATGCGGAGATGGGGATCTGCGTCTCCTTTCGTTTCTCTCTCTAGTTAATTCAGCCATTTGGCTAGTGATTTATTACATCGTACATATTGTGGCTAAATGGCTCCATTTTTAAAAAACGGCTAACCCAATTTTTTTGATATATAATGTTTGCAAGTCTGAAGATATTGCTCATAAATGGCAGAAAGGGTTTGGACATTTAATAACAAAATCTCCAGGCTTTGCGTAATATTTTTTGTTAAAATATTGGGTGCCGTTTTTATAAAATCAAAATCGTTTAACAACATTACCTACGACCAAATACCAACAATTCAGCTTGCCAATTTTTTAAATATAATTTTCCCTTATTGATACTTTTATGATAACAAAATATATCTAAAATTTTAGCTTCTTAAATTCTTGAATTATGGGCCGCCAGAGTGAAATATTTTTACAAAGATTAAATATTTGAATTGCAAATTGATGTATATAAAGCGAAAATATTCATACTTAAAAATTAAAAACGTGAGGTTGAACTCGGAAATAATTATTTTGATTTTTTTATATTATAAGTGGGGTTAAGCAAAGCTTATTTTGTAAATTATTAGATTTGGCACTCAGCTAGTTTTTGTGTTATGACGATTACCCATATAAGCTTCGAAGCTAAATACTTCGAATTTGATAGGATTATGCGTTGCTATATAATGAATATTTGGACCAATAATTATTAAATAAAAATAAACGCTTATTGTTATAGATGTTTATGCTTAAATAAATAATTATCATACTACATACTTCACATATGGAATAGCTTACAAATTTTTAACAATTGTATTTTACAAGGCTTTTATAACCTTCCATATCTTAATTGTTTTTAACACATTCCTAGGTTTCATTTTTTAAAGTAAATTGTATTTATATGCTTAATAAGCTATGCTAACTTAAAGCTAATATTTTCACAACATCTTAAGAGCTATTCTGAAATAAAATTCGAAATTTTTCATAGGATAATAAAAATTATAATTTTTTTGTAAAATCGGGATTTCTAAAGAAAGATTTGCTAAATAAAATTATTTTAAAAAAAGTTAATAATAAGGAGAAAATTGTTGGGCATTAACATGAGGTTATTTTGCTCTAAAGACTTTAAAAGGATCAATAACTCAAATTATAAGGGATAAAACCCAATGATATTTTGCACATAATAACTTTAGGCTGTCATATCATAACCATGCTGAAATATCTACTTATTTAATTCAATATTGATTTTAAAAATCTTGGGAGATTTTTAATTTATAAATGAAAACGGTTTGCTCAGAACCACGATAAATGCCTAACTTTATAGGAAAAAATGACTACATGAGCTTATGACATACGTTTAAGTATAATACTTATCTAGCCTTTATACCATAAGCTTCTTTATTTGTCTCGTCTTTTTTACAAATATATATATAATCTTTTTTCTTTATATTAATCTGAACTTCCTCTTTCCTCTACCTTGTTTTCCTCTCCATTATTAACAGGGTTTACTTTTTGCGGGAATTTTATTTTCCGCTTTTCTCGTCTCAACCGTAGTCAAATTCTCGTTTGGATTACCGTTTAAATAATTTTACTTTCCTATATCAACGGAATATGCCCTCTTTTCTTAGTTCCAGGTTTACATTACAATCTAATTAAGTTTTTTTAAAAAAAATTTTCTATTATTATATAATCTATCATACTTCTTATTATTACTCTTATATAATGTAATGAGGTGTTCGCCCTTTATTAAAGAAGGTATTTTATCTGAGTAACCTGCAATATATCCTTATCTCCTTCCTCGGTTATATCTCTAATTTCAAAATCCTTCTCTATTATTATCTATTATTTATCAATTTAAATCTGTCATCAACTCTATGATATTTTTTAAGTGCTTAGACATCAATAACTCCTCAACCTTCTATTCCAATATAATTACAATCCATAATGATAAATATTAAGCATGCTTTAGATCATTTCCATTTCTTTTCTTTTACACATGTGCAATGCCCAACTTCATTTACAATAGATTAAAGCAGGATTTTTTTAGATGTTTAAATAATGTTATTTATTGATCTTGAAATATTGTGTGAAGAATTGTGATCTTTTTTATTCTACATATCATTACAATTACAATTTAATTATTCATGTTAAAATAAATTACATTTTTCTTTTTATTATTATTATGAATTACATTTTATTATCATCCTTTAAACCAAAAAAAAATGTTCCTTTTATATCTTTTTTAAACAATAAATAAATCATCAAATAACCAATTATATAGGAAATGTTCGTTTAAATTTGAATTTAAATTGATATCAAAAAAATATATCAATTGTCAAAATAAATTGATTTTAAAATAATGTTAATACGATAAAATAAAACGTTAATATAAAATAATCTTGATCACATATTTAACAGGACTGTATGAACAAAATCTTATTATAAATAATAAAATAACATGGCCAATTATAGTTAGTTTCTCAAAGGGAGGCATATATTTGAACATATCAATTTGAAGTTCATGCAATTCGGCCGACCATCTCAAAAATGAATGAAACTTGGCATGTTAGTTATTTATGTTGCAAATGTTAATAAAATCAAAATTTTAAATTGCTAGCTCAACCAGATCCAAAGATATACGCCTATCGAAAATCGCGAAGTGCGTGATTTTATTAAATCTTGTTATTTTAAAAAATACTTAAGATAGAGTTACATATTATGTATCATTTTATAGCCCTTAAAATTTTACATTGGAAAATATAAAAAAAACAATTAAAAAAATTTAAGTGTTTTTTATTTCCGGTATAAATAAAAAATTAACATTGTTAGGAAGGGATTTTTTTGGGTGTTAATATTCACTAAAAATGTTTATTACCTTTATATTAAACGATTTAAAAAAAATCTCAATAACCATTTTTGTTTTTTTAATTTTATAGATGGCGTTATAATAAATATTTTTTATAATATATAATTTTTAATAAAAATATGAATAGTGTTGTGATTAAAATTAAAAAATCAATTAAGTATAACCAAAAATGATGTCCTGGGGCAATATCTAAGCAGGCAGCCCATACAGATATTATTTTATTGCGTATCACGTCAATATCGCGAAACTTAATGCATTATCGCGAATATATCACCGAGAAAAGATATTATAGCGAATGCATTATCGCGAATGCATCATAGCGAAAACAATATCACGAATGCATTATCGCGAATGCATTACAGCGAATGTATGAACGCGAATGCATTATCGCGAAAACAGTATCGCGAATGCATTATCGCGAAAACAGTATCGCGAATGCATTACAGCAAATATATGACTGCGAATGCATTATCGCGAATGCATCATAACGAATGTATTAGAGCGAAGACATTATTGTGAATGCATTATGCGAATGTATTAGCGCGATTGCATTAGAGCGAATACAATACCGCGAAATTATTATCGCAAATGCATTACAGCATATTATCGCGAATGCAATATCTCGAATGCATTATCGCGAATGCATTACAGCGAATTCATTATCGCGAATGTAATATCATGAATTAATTATCACGTATGCAATACTGATTTATACTTGACAAATGATCGATATAATTACAAAGTATTAAAATTCTTTACTACTTATCCACTTACTTCTTAATAAATAGTTCATCTTTATTATGTTTTTATATTTTAAATATATTGGGAACAATAAATTTGTCACCTTTTGGAAATTCCTAGCTGATAATATTTTTCCCGATCTCTATTTTTCTAAAGAAATTCTTTAAACTCACTAATTATATTGTAACTCATTTAGCAAGTTGAGACCTTTTTCAAAAAAATAAGAAAACCAACCTAATTGACGTTTCTATATTTATTTAACGTAACGTTTTTAAATTTTTGTAACTCTAAAACACGTCACTTGCTATTTATGAAGTTTCTTATCCTCAATTTTTTTAATAATTAGATTAAATCGTTTTTTAAAAAATTTGAAATACTAATATTGGACAAAAAATAAGTTAAGACCCTCATTTATTTTTATTTATTTAAAAATAGGCTAGACATGTTCCCATTATAGTGATCTATAGCCGGACGCTCGCCTTTTTTTCAAATTTTTTTCGTAATTATAAATTATAATGGAAAACAAACACAAAGCATATTTTGAGATTCGTAAAATTATTAAAATAATAAAAATTTATGTAATTAATCTATCCTTGTTTTTCTTGCATGAACCTGACAATAAACGCCAATTTGATATTAAGGGCCATATTTTACCAATTTTTTTTTCAAGTTTGTATGATTCAAAAGGCCCATTGCCTATTATTTGATAGTTTTTCGATATATGGAACCCGTATCTTGAGGTTTCTTTAAAGCTGTTGAACTGGACTAATATTCCATTTTATTCTAGAAAATTCAGGAATTAAACTTCTTTCCAACTTTTCTTCTCATGGCATAATTTTATCATTATCAGATCTTCTCTTGATAAAATAATTAATTTACAAAATCATTTAATAATGAGATTTCATTTCTTTGATAATACCGAAATATTTTTAGAGAAATTTTTAGAGAAATTTTTAGAGAAATTTTTAGAGAAATTTTAGAGAAATTTAGAGAAATTTTAAAAAAGATGAGTGGGACACTCATCTTTTTTAAAATTTAAAATATTTTGAGATGATTAAAATACACAATAAAATAGATTTCATAAAAAGAACGATGACGCGTTTCAGAGTTATAAAGATTTAAAAAAGTAACGCTTTTTAGTCATTCGGTAAATAATCTAAATTTTTGATCTCATGATCAACTTTCTTCCAATAGTAGGGACTAGGACTATTTGGCTTTTTTGTCAAAATCATCATAAGCCTGAAAATAATTGTTGTATTTGAATTTATAAAATACTATGAGATAGCCCAACAAACATTTACCTAAAGTTATACATTAATAAATATTTTTCCCCAACAAGCCCCAAACCCGGGGCTTGTAGATTCCATTGGTTTATTAAGTACATAGATGATTATAATTATTATTCTTTTATTTTTTTGGACTATGTTTTATTAATATAATACATCATTTGCATCTAAATAATTCATATAAAAATGTCAAAATATGACATTTTATTAATTTTAAAAAATGTTTAAGTTTTTAATTATTTTTTAAATTTTTTTTCTAATTATAATAATTACCATATAAAATTAATTTAAAGCTATAATAGTAGCCAATGAATACTTATTATATCATATTTTTAAGCATAATTTAATTGATTCAGCTAGCCTTGATTCTAATAGCCTCTAGTTATTCATATGATTAACCCTATCCAACGCGAAAAAATCATGTTGATAATTTTTTCTTTCTATTATAGTAAAAAGTTTTTTTTATCTATAAATATAATATAATTTAAATTTTTCAAAAATATTTTTGAGCATAAAAGTTTTATTTATTTGTCAAGAGGGAAAAATTTGTTTAATTAATGTGCAATGTTTATTGACCCAAATTTTATTTATTAATAAATATATTTCTTATTTTATAGAAATATTTTAATCAAATTATTAAAATTTTATTTTATATATTTTTATATGATTATTCATAACTTAAATTCTCTAAATTAAATCTACATTTAAACAAAGATAAAAATGTCAAATAAAAATAATTTCGTTATTTATACAAAAAAATATATACATTATCGAAATATATAGCTATTAATCGGTTTCGAAACTGGGAGCATAGTTATGTGGGATCTCAAGAATAAATGCGTAGATTGTAGATTCACTCATAATGTGGTAAGAAGTATCTTTTTTCTTTTTTTTTGTCTCCCCTTAAAATTCTACTATGTCTTTATTTTGTTACATTTTAAATTAATTTTTTAAAGCCCCTGAAAAGTGTATCATGGAATTACGAGGGAAAGGCATTTATGTCTAGCCACATAGATGGCAGTTTAGTTACTTGGTTCCTCAAAATTCCTGGAAATAAGCCTGCGTCTATCGTATTTCCTCACGGTTACACATTGTGTTGTCATACGTTTTATTTTATATTTTGATACATAGAATAATCACGAAAGAAAGAAAGAAAGATTTTAATGTATATTTAAACTTTAATTTTGCCTTTATTTATAGCCCGAAATTCTAACGAAAAATTGGAAAAATGCTATTCCATTGATAAAATTGACTGGAAGACATCTAAATCTGGGTATATAACTAAATTAATTTAATTATCCCTTAAATATTTAAGAATACCTGATAAGATATTCATTTTATAATTTTCAACCCAATGCACCCATACAGAGTTGTTAAAATAGTACTCTTATAGAACGCTTAAAATTTTATATCATAAAGATAAATATATAATTATTGAAAAAATTTACTTATAATTTATTAATTAATTTTAATATTATAATCTTTAAAAAAATCTTTAAATTTTATTTTAAAATTTATAAGAAATTAGCTTTATAAATCTAATTTATCAAATATAAAATATAAAATGCCACCAATAGAGATAGACATGGAAGAGATTTGAGATAGATGATAACTACGAAATTTCACAATAAAATGATATTCTGAAATTACCTTACCCAAAATTTGCAAAATATTTTGAACTTAATAAAAAAAAATAGGATTTAAATATAGATGCATAAAATAGCGAAGAACAATATAGTTCGATGAATCAAGGAAACCTAAAAAAACATCTAAAGATATTATTCATAAATTTAATAAAATTATTAACTACTGTTTTAAATTTAGAGTGTCCACACCTTTGAAAAATATCTATAATTTTAGTGTAATAGAAGAGGCTACATCCGATGAATGAAATTTAATACAAATTAAATTGATTTATCATACAACATCAGAACTAGGTGTTTCTCAAAAATTAGCTGATAAAGACATAATTAATTTTATAATTGGTACTTAAATTTTTTTTTTATGAAGTTGCTTAAAAAATTAGAAAAGCGGTAGCGATTATAAGCCTTATTTTTTTAAAAATGTGGCTTCGTTACTCTAGATGCTGAGCGCACCCTTTTGCCCCGTCCTATAAATTTCACTGTTTTATTTTAATTTTTACACTTTTAAGTATATTTTTCTAATTACTAAATTTATATAATATTCATACGATGTTTTGAATATCTATTTTTTTAAATATAAGCGAAAATTTGCTCTTATTTTCTGGCGGCTTGACTGAAAATATTCCCACAATAACCATAATGCATGGTAAATCAACGACCGTTTTGGAAATGGAACACAACATTATTGATTTTTTGTCCCTTTGCAAATCTCCTTATGCCATGGGTAATATTTATTTTTTAGGCTATTTAAACCTTTTTAAATCCCAAGGTCAGTAGTTAAATGATTAAATTAAAAGGAGACATGATTATTAGTTAATTATGAAAATGGCGGCGTTTATACACACGTAACTCTTTTTAACTAACCCTAACTCGCAGGTTTATGATAATATGAGTTCCTTTTTACCAAATGCTACTATGCCTCAAAAATATTAAAGAAACATGTAAAAAGTATGATGATTTGATATTAGTCAATCAAGCAGAGGCATAACTGGCATCCCGCGGCACGGGAGGGCCCAAGCTAATTTTTACATGGATCTCAAATTATGCGTAAGAGACACCATAAGAATTTTTTTTGCGTAGGGCACCAGAATTTGTCTTATGATAGTTAAAGAGAAAATATTTTTTGATCTACCTTTTATTATTCGAAAATTGGATTTGGATTATCTTTTTAAAATATCAGTTGTCATTTTAAATTAGTATGGAGTCTCATTTTTATATTACGTTTTTAAAATTTCCCCTTATTTTAAGCCCTTGCATTAATAATTAATTTTATACATCATTCGATTGTGTCTTATAAAATCTTTAGTATCCTCAATATTAAAATTATTATTCCGTGTCAAAGGCCTTTAAACCCCTAAGCCAGTAACGCTTAGTCCCCCCTCCCCAATTTCATTAACTAAACGATAAAACGGTTACTGATTGTGTATGTTGATTTAGAGGATATTCCCCAGCCCCTGAGCCCACCCCACCTTAAAATTTCAAACGCAATTATATCGTACCTCCCCCCAACCCTTCCATGTTAGAGAGCCTTGTCATGTATCGTCTTTCCGACTTCTTATTATGTTATATATTGACATTGAACTATTCTTATCTCATAAGGCTTGCCAATCACCACACATGGACGTGATAGAAAGAAAGAAAGAAAAATGTTTTAAAATGATTTCTTTATTTTTTATATAATGTGTAATGCGTGCTAATCTATGATAGAAAGCGAACCAACATCGATAGCCGTATTATTCCCCAACGATTTGGTCATAATAGATTTATCAACTCAGGGGTATAAATATTATTATTTTTTAAATGCATTTTCTAAATATTTTCTTTTCAAATTTTATTTGATCAATGCTCCTCTTGCGAAATTTACAAAATATTTTTCCTGAAAATATTATTTTGATGAATTATTCATCTCTTGATTATTATATTTAACTATACCTATGATCTAAATTTAGTATTTTATGCATGATAAAATACAGTCCTTAACATGATATATTTTTTAAACCATCTTCTTTTAATAATGGTTGAAATGTAGTTAAAATCCTATAATAATTAAGCTATTTATTTCAGGCGTTTTTTTATATTTAAAATTGAAAATAATTACTTGTATTAATAATCATTATTGCTATTTTAACCTGTTAAAATATAATAAAATAATTAGGCCTATCAAAAAATCATTATTTAAAGTTTAAAAAAATCTTTTATATGTTTGAATAATAGAATCGAAACAAAGTAGAAAATGAAATAAAGAATTAATATATTAACAATATCCAATTATTGGGAAAACTTATAAATATTTAGTAATTAATTTATTTTACTCAAGTTCAATCAACGAAATGTAGTTTTTTAAAAAAAATATTCTTATCACATATTGTGTTGGTTGGTAAGATTTTTTTAAAATCGAATTATGAACAATATTAAATTATTCAATTCATAAATGTATACTACATTATTTGATTCGTACGAATTCGAATGCTAAATTATTCAATTTGAAATAAATAAGATACAAATACCTCTTTATTCAATAATTTTTTTGTAGGCCTAGTTTAACCTTTATCAATCATATTCTTAGATATATAATATTATAATCCTAACAATTAATGGGAAAATATAATATTTTGCAATTGATCACCATTCTTTTCAAGTTTTATCTCATTATATTATTTATACAAATAGTTACCCCTGTTTCGAAAATCCCTTCGCTTTAGATTTACACGAGAGCCTTATAACGCTTGTTCAATATTATTCTGATTGCCCGGATCAACTTGTTCCATTGCTTTATTCCGTGGGAATGAGGCAAAAGAAAATTGGATTCAGTGATAAGGTTTTTTTTTAAAGATATGAATAGAGGGAAAAAATAGCCAGGTTACAATACAAGGCTACAATAGAACTTTTTTAATGTAAAGTTACAATGAAGAGAGTAGATGGCTGAAAAGAAAGAACCCAATTATTTTATTCAAATTTTTTAAAATGCGGTAGAAGTGGTAGATAAAGAAATGGGGGTTGACGATTTTGTTCTATTTGGGCAAATAAGATATCCAGAAGATTAAAATAAAAGATAACAAAGGGGGGAATAAATGTTTGATATTGAAATAATATTTTAAAAACATATTAAACAGAATTGGCCTTTAACCGGAGGGGAATGCGGCAAATTTTCTAGCAGCTATCCAGAACTTTTATTAACTGGGTAAGCCTAAGGGGTAAAATAAAGGGGCATGTGACTATCATTATTAAAATAGAATTACGCATATTTTATAAAAAAAATTAATTAAATTGAAAAAAATAATGTATAAGAGTCACGTTTCCTTTCATTTTACCTATCAAGTCTAACATGAATAATTTTGATAAATAAATTATTTCGATGGTTAATGATAGATACTGCCAAATAAACAGTAATTTTCTTAACATCTTAATTTGCTAAATACCGACCAAAATTTACTAAAATACAATAAGACCCACTTATTTTTTTAATATAATTAGACTGCAGAGGCACCATTTGCACTGCCCCGCTCGGCCCGGATTTGTTTTTTAAATTTTTTGCCCCAGGCCAGCTCGGGTTTTATATTTTCAGGCCTGGCTCGTATTAACGGAATCCCAAGGATGGAACTAACTACAAGTTGGCTTTAGGAAAAACCTAATCCTTACTGGATTCGAACTCAGAACCATCGGATTGGTAAGTGACGCTCTTATCGATTGAGTAACAGACGCCGAAAATCACAATTTTTAAATATATATTATAACCAAATTTGGCAGTATCTATCCAAATGAAACATAAACAAAATACCAATTTAAATAAACCTTATTTCGATATCTATTGTTATTTAAACATTTTTTTTATACATGGAACTTTTAGACACATCGACGGAACTATAAAATTTTGGGATGCCTCAGCAAGTATATATTAATATATAACATTTACAAGCTTGTTAACCGATCTTTTTAAAACGATCGAATCCCGATCACAATCTTTTCAAAAAAAGAGGATCAAAATCCAGGATCGACCTTTTTTTAAAAAAAAGATCGCGATCACGATCTTTTTTTCTATTTAAATTTCTGAAGGAAATTTCTGACCGATGCAAAATTAACTAATATATGTTATAAATTTATTGTAATTGAATAATAATATAATATAACCGATGCAAAATTAACTAATATAAAAATAAATTAAATATGGTAGAAATTTATTGTAATTGAATAATAAATATAACAATTATAATATATTTATTTATAATTAAAATTAGCTTTTAATAATAAAATTTTTTCTAAATTATCATCATTTAAACATCCGCGTCTTTCATTTAAAACATGTTTAGCTTTACTAAACATGTATTATATTCAATAAATATTTTTTTAAATTAATATAAGTATTAAAAATATTCATGGAATCATCATTTGAATAAAAATTTTATTTAACGGAACAAGCATTTTGTACAGTATTTTTCCCAAAAAAAGCATTAATGTCATCCATACATTCATTTGAGGTATCCGCATATGGTTGTTCCTGCATATTTTCCAAATGGGCAACTAATCTTTCTTTTACCATCATATTTTGTGGCAGATTAATATAAGGCCAATTAAGTTTAAATTTAGGGTGAATCATGGCTGCCAAAATGTTACTGTCTTGAAGGAAATCTATATTATGAAATGATAATTAATTTATTATTAAATAAGTGTTCATTTTATTCATATAAATCAAATCAAGTATCTGCAAAACTTAACCCTTTTAAATTTTACAGTCAAGTCTGGCACATCATCTGTATGGTATTTATTTATATTTGGGTCATATCATAAATATTGATTAAATGTAAACAATACTTAATATACTAAGAAATTAACATTGTAATTTATATACAACGAATATTACTCAAAATATTAACTTAAAATTCAAATAATCTAATAAATTTTTAATGTCTTCAAAGGCCCATTAATATTTTACTAGATATCAGAGGTTTAGTAGAACTGGCCTGTTAAAAATATTTTACTGAATTTGCCAGATCTTTGCAATTTTTTAATATATTTTGCAGATATCTGATAATATAAAATAATTGCATAAAAAAATATTACCTTTTATCAATACCTCTAAGAACACTATCTACAAGGGGCTGACAATACCACAGGCAGCTAAATTTCGTTAATTTATCTATTAATATCGATAGAACGGGAGTTAGATATCCCTGCTCCATATTATCCTCCCGTTCCAAGATTTTTAACGAGATCGCCAAAGGTGCAATAACCTATAAAATTTAAATTTATTTAGAGAATATCATTGTATTACTGTTGCATACTCTTTAACAAAAAAACATTCCTCTTGCCTAAACATTGCAAATTCAATTTGATCACATACTTGTTCTACTTCTGAAAACTTTTCAGAAAGCATCTTATCTATTAATTTCATGGATTGGTAATAAGAATTCCATCTTGTCTCGTTGGGAGCTATTAAATATCTTCCCAATTTCTCCAATAAAATATCCGCCATTTTTGACGACATATTTTGTTTATTAACTAAAGCAAAACATTTTGCAAAAGTGGATCTAGATATTCGTTTATAATTGAGATCACTATCTGCCATCTCCGCATCTGTTGTTGCAATAAGGTTAAGATTATGGCAACAAAGTTGATGTTTTGGTAGGCTGATAGTAGGAATAATTGGGTCATCAAAGGATAATATGTCATCCAAATTTATCAATTCCATATCCTAACTAATATCTTCTTCATTTTCTCCAAAAACTCTAGAAAAAATAAATTTATTTAAATATTTTTTGCTAAATATAAATATTACTTAAATGCCTTGACAAAGTTGGTTCCATTGTCAGTCACCATCTTCACCACCTTTTTATGAATTTTATAGAACTTGTGGATACCCATGATTTCGTTGGCCAAAACATCATATGTTTGCCTCCCAATTATCCTCCTCAGTGCCAAAGCGGCTGACCTTCTCTTGAGGGTTAACGGATCCAGCCAATGTGCAGTAAGTCCAATAAAAGCCCTAATAAAATAAACATTATAAAATTTATATAAATATAATATACCTTCGATGACCACTCCAACAATCAGCAATGGTGCATACATAAGAAACTTCAGACAAATCTCTTATAAGATTTGTCGTCATATAAGAGAAGGAAGTAGATATCCTGTTGCCCAGTGTTTGGCGATAAATAATTTTTGTCGCAGGAGAAAAAGTTTTAATCATTTTTTCAAATGAAGGATCATCAACCAGAGACAGTGGTTGGAAGGTGTCAATAATAAAATCCATGATAACCTTGTCTGCTGTTTTTTGCAATACAGCTGGAATATTTAGATTGTTAAAATTTAATTTAGATTGTCTGGATTTGCAACCAGAACCACTTTGGTTTTGCAGTGATATATTTTTTTGTGTAGAGAATTCGTTGATGTGTTTGGTAATCCCATTTTTAAATTCACTGTGCTTTTTCTTTATAAAAGATGAAAATAACTTCTCCTGAATCAAATTTCAATTTTAAAATTTTATATGGAAATTTAAAGTTAAAAAAAACAATGTACAGGCTGAATGTAAAACCTATATAAACAAAAAAATGATAAAGGGTTTAACACAAATTTTGTTAAACATATTAAAGTATATTATTAAATTTATATATGGTTAAAAAAGGTTCATATAGGTTATTTTAAATTTTAAGTTTACAATATTGTCTTTGTCTATCATTATTAAAAGTTGCCCAAGATGATATGGGCTAAAGATTTTGATAAAATATTTTCCTATATATGAATATAATTAGCCTTTTTGGCATTTAAGAACTATGGATTAAGGGTTCAACAAATTTTGTTAAACATATTAAAGTATGTTTTATTAGTAGCTAAAAGGGGGATCTTAAAAATTTAAGTTTACAATATTGTCTATCATTATTAAAAGTTGCCCAAGATGATATGGGCCGATTTTAATAAAGTATTTTCCTATTATGAATATAATGAGGCTTTTTGGCATTAAGAACTTATGGATTGAGTCAAATGATACAAAAAATACTTTCAATTCAAAATATATTATTAAAAAAAGCCCTAAAAATGTTGTCAAGAGGATTATATAATCAAGCTCAAACTGAAACTATAATACTAATTGATTAGATTTAATATATTATAATAAAGAAATAATAGAATAGATATTTATTTTTATTTTGGTGAAACATTGCTAAGTTCAATACAAATAACATTGAACTGGATGTTTTAATTATATTAAAGAAAGTCAAAATACATTATAAAGGCTTAATTATTAGTTATTACACTTCCATTTATTATAAATACTCTTCTTTTGAAAATTAAACTAATATAAAAGTAATATTAAAAAATAAATGCCTAATTATTATATATAAATAACAAAACCAAGATTAACTCTTCATCAAATATTTTATTAATTATACTGTATCTAATAATTCATTTTTTTTATAAAGAATCTGTATCTAGATTCCATTTCTGTAGGACCTGCTCAACTCAGGAATGTAATAAATTAAATTTAAACATGTTGACATTAAGATTATCAAATAAAAAAAATTTAAAAGAATTACTTGTAAATGTCTCTTTAAGTTCGAGGATGATATTTTGGAAGATGATATTATCTTCTTACAGAGACGGCATTTGGTGCTGATCATATTATAAGAGTTGCTTTCATCCATTTCATATAAAGTAAAATATTTACGTAATTTCAAAAATGGTAAAAGATTCTCATTCTCACTTATATCTGCTGTTACATCAATAGTAGAAGCAATAGAATCTTCTAAATCTATAATGGACATTTACATTTACCTATTAAAATAAATATTAATATATTATTATAAATTTATATTAAATAACTTGTAAGAGCTCTAAATCTCGTAAAATTTAGGAAATGAATAAATATATCTATAAAATAAATGGTGGAATGGAAGTTGATAATGAAAGTTGATAAAATATGAAGATAGATATTTTTTTAAAAAATTATATTTTAATTTAATTTTCAAAATTTTTATTTTATTTATTGCTTTTTAAATAAAAAATTAATTTTTAAAAAGATCGAGATCGAATTTTAAACAAAATGATCTCGATCCTCAATTTAGGTCAGAATCATAAATCTCGTAAAATTGACAAATTTGCGATCGCCAGGATCGTCGATCTTTTGATTCGATCTTTTAACAACTCTGAACATTTAACAGCGTTAGGTATATTACACAAAATTTGCACATATGTTTTGTATATAAATAAAATTATTCTTCAATCTCTAACTCACGAGAGCCAATAATTTGTTTAATAGTCTATCATATGGAAGCTTGTAAAATATTTCAAATGATTTAATAATAAATGAGATTTATCAAAACTCAAGGGTTTGGTCATATGTTTCAACATTTTTACAATAAATGATATAATCTGGCAGCCCTAATCGCTCTGAACCCTGAAATGCTAACATGTGTATATCTTACCGCAATGTGAAACAAGTAATAGTGTTAGAGATCTGTAAAAGTAGGCCCGGCCCGAAGCCTATTTTTTAAAAAAAATCGGGTTCGGTCTGGGTCGGGCCTAATATATTTAAAAAAATTAAGTTCGAGTCGGATCGGGCCTTGGGAATTTTTTTAAATATATCTAAATTTATCAATTTTATGTTGGATTATTTATGTAAAATAAAAATATTTGATTTTATTTATAGAAACTAGATGCCATATAACATATATCTTTTATTTTGATTAATTATAGATGCAGATCATTAATAAATGTATGCCAGATTAATATCCAGTGGCCTAGCCAGGATTTTCTCATGAGGTGGGGGGGGGGGTATAGCCCTCCAATTCTCCCATTTTTTATGAACACTCAATGGCTTATATCTCAGGCTATGTTAAAATTATTTTATATATTTGCATATAACAAATTTTAGAGAGTATTTCATTATAGATTTTATATATTATATAAAAATACTTTAGCATAAATTACATTCCTTATTATTTAAAATAAATTTCAAAATTTTGATATATTATACAGATTATAATATTAAAAATTTTATTGTATAAAAACTCTATTTAAAAACAAATGTAATTTAACAATTACATAAAATATAAGTAATTCTTATGCAAATAATGGTATTTAAAAAAATATGAAGATATTTTCAAAATATAAATAATAGACAGTACTTTGATTAAAAATAGTATTAATTGCATAAATTTTAAGAGTTAATGCAAAAATTAATAAATGTTATAACTAAAAATCCATTTTATGAAAAAATTTGATTATTATATATTAAATAATTTGAATTTTTAAATGTCTACTTTTCTCTGAGATTTTGCTAATTCATCTAGAATCAAATTTTTTTCTAGAATAATCTCCTTATAAATATTTAATAGGGCTAATTCATTTAAACGTTTTTCATCGGTGCTATATCTTAAATAGGTTTTAAACATTTTTAAAGTTGAAAAAAACCTTTCATTAGTGCAGGACAGGTACTAATTGGTGAGGTAGCTAAAATAATTAATAATGTTTTGATATTAGGCAGGATCTAAATGCAGTTACACATGGAAAGGGCCTGCAGAGCATTTTTGGTCTCAAGGAATATTCTATTCTTATACCAAAATCCGACATCACAAAGTAACTTATCATATGAGCCTCCTACTAAATCATTAGCGTAAAACTGAGATTTTCTTAATATCCTCTCGTGTTTCAAGTATAATCAACAGTTTAGACTCAACCAGCAAAATAAAATAAAAGCTTTTTAAAATAAAATTATGACCAATAAATTTTTACTTTAATTGAAATAAAAATATATCAATAAGGGGAATAAAAGTGTTTATATTATAAAAATCCTCAATTGTAGATGCATCAATATTTGAGCGATTGGATTGTCTAAGACTACTCTTAACCCTAACCCAAGTTCAAAAATTTTAATCCCAAACATTTTAGCAATCTCTTTTACTTTCTCATATTTCATGAAATTTTTCATTCACATTCTCTGATATTTGTTAAATATCAACAATATCCTTTGCTCTATTCATAATCTCCAATAAATCCTACATTTTGCTAAACTCATAAATTAAATAAAATATAAACATGAATTGATATTAAAAATTGTAGTTTAATAATAGCCTGTAAAAGATTCCCAGCATCTGCTGAATCTTTTTCCTTGCTTGATATATAAAATTCCAGTGCTGCAAATACAACATCGTATAATTTATTTAAAAACCACAATTTTATCCCGAATAAAATTTCATTTGCGGCATAAAATTTTGCTAATTGTTTCTTATAATCAAATACTATAGATCAATTATTATTTATAATAAATTAAAAACATAAAAATAGTTGTTTTTTTTAAAAAAACATTTCATTGCATGCCTACGCCACTGCTAATATCCTAATTTTAGTATATAATCCTCATTAAAAAATGCGCTCAACAAATTATTTGGCAATTTTCCACCTTTAAATCATTTATTCCGTTTTTTTAAATATAAAAAATCAAATTTTGTTGGAAATGGATTTAAGTAATGTGTAAAATTACATTTTCAAACTATTCTATAAGGTATTACATATATTGTCTGTTTACCATTTGCAGATTATATAATGTTTTAATTTGAGGATATAATATATATCAAAGACTGGCATGCCCGGATCAAATACACTCGGGTCGGGTCTAAAAAAAATTTTTCGAAACTCGGTCCGAACCGATTTAAAGTATTTAATATTCATTTATAGCTCATATTTTTAATTTCCCTTAGTAACAATTTGCAAAAATTTTGACTTTTCAGATCTAAGCTATATATTAGATATGATTATACATTTTAATTATGTAAGGATTAATTATATACACATTTTATCAATAGTCCTAAAATATATACTAAAAAAACGTTTCAGTGAACTTGCAAATCTTATACAGACTCAAGACCAACAAAATTTTTGAAAGAACCTCCACAGATGATTCATCCATCTCGGCGAACACTCAAGAAATTCTTACTAACTCGCTTACCGAAGACGGTAAAATCAACACTTCTCAACCAGTAGCAACGGCGTATAACGAGAAAGATGAAATTTTGCACAATAAAATGAAGAAAAAATTTAGCCTCCAAGTTGTAAGCTTAGAATTCGCTCTTCACGCGAAAATTTTGGTCGTTGCGTTGAAAAAAAAACGGTATTCTTTTGTAATACTCTACCATTTTGACAAACAGGAAATATTCCAAACAATACCAGTATGTAACATCTTATTCCTTATATAAAAAATAGTATCTTTTTATATAAAAAAGGCTATAAATTTTTTTGCTAAAGAGTGTTGTTATTCATATTTTAGTTTAAAATTTTATTAATTTATTGACTTATTTAATCTATAACATTATATACCATTTAAAAGACAGTTTTAAAATTTTTAATATTAGTCAGACACTATCAAATACGCGGAAAGTTTTGGGCATATATTTTTTTATATATTTTTCTATATTTATTTTGATACTATCAGAGGAATGCTGATATTAGCTAGTGGAGTCAGTATTATAGGATATTAGGGGGGGGGGGTGGATTTAGTATTTTTAAGATTCATGTGGGTGGTGAGGGCTAGAGTTTATACTACATATAAACAATTAATCTTGCTTAAAAACTTATAAAACTATCATTTTATATTCAAATTTGGCAAGGTAAATGTTTTCTAAATTTTTAATTTTAAGCAGAGTTTGAAATGCCTTTCAAAATAAAAAGGATCTCTAAAAAAAATTTTATGAATGCTCAATATGATTTTTGATAAAACTTTACCTAAAATTCTAAATCTTTTTTTTTAAAAAACTTTTGTAAGTCTGTGTATGCATAAAAAAATTTTCGTCATGAAATCCAATCTTTTAAAAAAATATTTGATCTTAAAAAACTTCAATTATGATCTTCAAAGATTTTTTGCTCAAAATTTTGGGCAAAAAAAATTATTTTTCAAACTCTGTTTTTAAGGGACTATAAAAGGGAATCAAAATACTCGGGCCGGGCTTAAATTTTATATTTAAAATACCTTTACCGAATATTTTTAGTCGCCACTATTATAATATAAAAATTAAAAATGAATAATAAAATACATTTAATTGTTGTGTCATATAATTAGACCTGTGCGCCGATGTCTCAATTGACACGTTATTTTTTTATTTTTTCATCGGCGTTCGACGGCGCGACATTTATTTAAAATTTTTTTTAATGAATTTAATTTATAATTCAATTTCTTTTTTAATGAATTTAATTTATAAATCAAAGTATTACATTTTTTTATAATTTATTTGGGCGCTCTTTTCTAACACATTGTTAACATAGTTTAATTCATTTCTTAAATTATTTCCTGTCTCACTCCAATTTAAATTTATGTATTTTCTCATTCTCAGAAATATACTATGACATTTTTACTTAGATCAGAGTCACATAAACAACACATATTAATGATATTCTATTGATTTTTATTATAACAAATTAAAATATATATTTGGAATGCAAGCAAAATATAAAGTATGAAATGTAATAAATCCGAATTCAGATTCAGCAAAATTATAATTGTCATAAATAAATAGTATTTTATTAAGATTTATGGGTCATAAAGAAGTCCTTTTTGCATTGAGTATTAATCCAGCAATGGAAAAAAATGTTTCGCTTACTGGTTGCAGGTATACAAAGAACCTTTTTAGCTAAATTAGCAAGCCTAGGAAGTTCCTGTCGCTTTTTCTTTCAAAAGGTTAATGTTCATCCTCTTGGGAGATTATTTTGGCTGAGCATAATATGACATTCTTGTTCTAGATTACTAATGTTATAATCGTTGCTTGGAAGGGAATGTATACGAGCTATTTTAACAATATAAGAACTTAATGCTTGCCGATTATCTTCATCTTGAATCTCATTTTGTGCATTCCTATCATGCTCTAAAAGTTTTAAATGTCTAATTAAAAATTGCAATGATGTCTTAAAATTCAAATTTAAATATTCTGAAACAATTGATTTTGAAATCTGGGATCGCTAATATCTAATGTTTAAAATATAATTTTATTAATAAAAATTAAAATAACTTGAATGGGAAACCTATGGTCAAGCATTTTTTAAATATTTTCTTTTAAGCAAAGAATATCTGAGCAATCAGATTTATTGCTTTGTAGGGTTTCTATTTTACTGCGAAATAATAAATCTAAGTTTATTGTCGATCCCTTTTAGGAGGAAAGAAATTCCACCAACTCTCGGGTATTTCATACTGCGTAAAGCTCATCAATCATATCCCATTCATTATTAAATAGGTTTAAAGATTGTTTTCCTATTTTATTTAGAACATTATTTATAGGAATTTTGTTACACTGCGAACACTTTCTAGCATAATTAATATGCTGTGCCAGCGGGTAGGGCAATTTAATTCTAAAGTTTTGTATTAATTAGATTGGTTGATGCAATACCATTTCTATTATCCTATTCATCAGAAATAGCAAAATGGTCATCAAAGTATGAATTAGAATCAACAATATGCAAGATATGACCTGTCTCGTAGATTGACTGCAGACATTTACGATGCTCATCCTCAATTTCACATTCCAAATCAGCTACTCGATATCTGAGGGCTGAAATAATTTCTCTAATTTTTTTACGGAGAAGATCATGTGGATTACGTTTATCCGAATTTTCTTCATCTTCCCAATTTTAAGCAAGTTCATAATAAATATAATCAGGCATTATTGTGCTTTTTTTTATTTTCATTCTTCAAAATAAGATTTCAAAATTACCCTCAGACATGACTTGATTTATGATTAGTAGAGATAGTTATTATTTCAGAATTGTATTTAAAACGTGAAAGTCTATAAAAATAATTAATATGTATTGTTTGTGTAAATAAAATACGATGTATGAATATTTATAAATGATATACACTATTCTATTATATATAGCAATAGAATACAATTTATGTTAATTTTATTAATGTTAATATTCAAATTTAAATAATAATATTCCTTACGTCTCTTTTGAATAATTTAAACTCATATTTCTCCTCAACACCCTTGTGGTTAGATCTAATTACTTTTTGCTTTCGAGTTTTAGTTAAGCCCAAGAATAGAATAAATAGCTTATCTGCCTCAATCAAGGAGAAAGTGTCCAATTTTGGCAATAATATTATTGATAAATTTTCTCCATCTAACTCTTTAAATCCTAACTCTCTCCGTTGTTAATTGATCTCTTAAAAATTAGATCTTAGAGATATTAACGGCGCTGCCCAAATATTGACTTCTAATGATACTATTTCCCCTACGTTACTATTTTTCAATAACTTCTCGAGAAACATCCACTTGCTTCCCCTTTTAACATTCACCCGCATGTCTCTTCCCCGATGAAGTACTTAAGTGTTTGAAGTCCTTTAAAAAAAGGGACGACAGGTAGGTTGGACGGTTTCAGACCTGTTTTTTTTTGTTGATTTAATTCAGTGCTCTGATAATGGTTTTATTTACCCTCTGCTGAAATCATTAACTGAACTTTGCACTAATATCCTCTTATGCGAAGTTACTCTTTGTATTCGTCCTATTCATTTTGGCACACGTCTTGTTTTTTTAACCAAACCGGATGGTGGCATTAGACCCATAGCCATAGGGTCATTCTTTCGTCGATTAATCGCCAAGGCTATTGTAAATAGGATCCGGCCTAAGGCCAGTTCCCTCCTATTTCCCTCACAGTTAGGATTTAGAGTGAAAGGTGGTTGCTAAATGGCCTCGCCTGTAACCCGTATTTTTATAAATACTGAGGCGGATAAGGTTTTCTGCAAGTTAGACTTCAGAAATGCCTTCAACAGCATCCATAAGAGCGCATACTTACCCTCTTTTCTACATCATCTTCCAAAATACTGGAATTTCCTTAATTCCTGTTGTGGATTTCCTTCGTTACTCAAATTCGTGGAATTTTTCATATCCTCTGAAGAGGGATTCAGCAAGGTGATCCACTAGGTCCCTTGCTCTTTACCTATAGGGATTCAGGATTTGATTAAAAATTTAAAGCCTGGTTTCAAATTAGTCCTTAATTTATGGTATCTCGACCATGGCTTTTTGGTGGGTCTTTACCCAATGTTTTGTCGGCCATCGAGTACGTTGAAATGGAAGCCTTGAAAATCGGTCTTTCCCTAAATAGAAAAAAGTGTGAAATTTCTTCTCTCAACAATAAGGATTTTATCCCTCCCCAAGATTTTATAATCATTCCGCACGAGAAACGCTGTCTAGGTTCCTATCGGTCTTTCAACTTCTGTCAAAATTTTTTTGACGATTTGATTTAATCCCTTTTCAATTCACTCACTCATTAAAAAATGTCTTTTCCTTCCTAATTCTTACACATATAAATCTTCCCCAGTTTGTATAATATTCTCCTTAAGGCCTTCGAATTAAAATTTAAACATTTTTTCTAATCCCTTTTAGTCTTGCCCGCTTACCTTTAAAATAATTTCGGGCCGGGTCGAGTCGGACCTTGGAAATTTTATTAAATATATCTAAATTTATCAATTTTATATTGAATTTTTTATTATGTCTTTTATTTTAAGTAATTATAAAAATTAATTTCTATATTTAAATATATTCGGGCCTGGCCGGGCCAGTAAATTTTTTTAAAATAAATTTTGTGTTCGGGCCGGACCGGCAAAACTTTTTAAAAAAATTCGGGTTAGGGCCGGGCTAGCTAAACTTTTTAAAAAATATTCGGGCCGGAATTAGGCCCGATGCAGATTACTACTTCCTGGTCCCTATGCTTCAATGCGCATTTGAAAAATTTGGTCTGTGTCCCGATCTAATTAACCTTCAACTGCTCAGAAATGCAAAAAAAAATTCTAACGGCCATGAATGGCTAGACGCGATTCCGAGTGGTAAAAAGGAAACGTTACTCACAGACGATGAGTTCCAAACTGCCATTGGCCATAGGCTTAGTTGCCTTATTCTGTGGATACCTATGCTGCCTGTTGTAAACAGATTGATCCCTTCTCTAGACATTGTTTTTCTTGTCTCAAAGTCAGTGGCCGTTTTCTGAGACACGTTAACCTTAATAGGTTAATCGGCAAAGCCATGATTTCGGCCGGTTTTCCCAATAGTTTGGAGCTGTTAGGTCTCCCAAATGCGGACGGTAAGCGTCCCGACGGCATATTTTCGACATCTTGGCACGGCTAAAAAAGACTTGTCTGAGATGTCTCGTGTGTTACCTCCTTTCCGGCTAACGGAAATACCGACCCCTTGGAACTCCAAGAAATCAATAAGTTTAATAAATATAGATCCCTCCGTAATTCTTTTATTTTTATTCCCCTAATTTTGAAACCCAGGTCCCCAATCCCTAAAGTTCTTAAATCAATTGGGTAGAAGAATTTCATTAAGGACAAGGGTCAAAAACTGTATTTCTTTAACAAAAAATCCAATTCGAAATCTTAAAGGGGAACTACAAGTATTTCTTTGAAACACTCCCTTTTCCCTCCTAGTTCAGCGCGCATGGTGTTCCTATTTTATAAAATTACAAAATAAAAATATATATTATTTTCCTTATTCTTCTTCTCCATTTTATGGCGATTTCCAGGTTTACCCGGGTAGGTCAGTTTTCCCTCTGATTTTTCTTTTCCATTTTTGACGGTCCTGAGCATCAATACTTGTAAGATTCATGCTTCTCATATCCGCCGCTATCACATTTGTCTACGTCATCTTGGGTCTTCCTCTAGGTCTTGATCCTCCTACTTCCATCATTGTGCATCTCTTTACCCAGTCATCTCTTGTCATACGTTCCACATGCCTAAACCATCTTAGTCTATTTCGTCGCATTACCATAACAATCATTTCTATACATAATCTTGCTCGCAATTCCTAGCTAGTATTTCTATCTCTCAGAGATACCCCACACATCCATCTAACCATCCTCATCTCTGTTCTTTCTAATTTGGCTTCGTGAGTCGCTTTCATTGCCCATGTTTCACCGCCATAAACTAAACAACTCCTCACACAGCTTACGTAAACTTTCCCCTTTAACTTCAGAGAAACTTTTTTATTTGTAAGAATAGACGACATCTCTCTGAACTTCTGCCAAGCTTGTCTGATCCTTGCAACAACGGCAGAATCTACACCACCATCTGCGTTTAGCATATCACCTAAATAACAAAACGTATTCACTTTTTCTAGGGTTAACCCATTGCCAATATCCAGACCACCATTTTTTAGGTTATCATTATTATGTATCCCTTTCATGCATGTTCTACAAATAAAGGTCATTCTTTCTAACATCAAACTGCCTTTTTTCCCGCTACATCTTTTATGTACCCATTTCTGGCATCTGGTGCATTGGATAGAATTTCTAGCAACTCCTTTCCCACATACACTACAAGGCCACTTACCGGATTCCTCCATCTTTAGATTTTCCCCACCAATCATCACCTTTGTTCTTGATGCAGTCATTTTCAGGCCCTTTGCTTCCATAGTCATCTTCCATTTACTAACTTTATCCCTCAATTCTCCCTCACTGTTTGCCATTAATACAAGGTCATCTGCATATAATATCTCCCATGCAAGTCCTTCACGCATTTCTCTAACCACCACATCCATTACTAAGATAAATAATAATGGACTCAGCACGGATCCTTGATGAAGTCCTACCTTCACCTCAAAGCTGTCACTATCACCATAATCCGTCCGTACTGCTGTTTGTGCTTCCAACATACATTGCCATCACTGCGGTAACCAACCATTCCTCCACACCTGATTTTCTCAAGGCCCATCTAGTAATCTCACGCGGCACCCTATTAAATGCTTTCTCCAAATCAACAAACGCATAATAGAGTTTCTTATCCTTCGCAAGATACTTCTCCTGAATTTGTCTCACCACAATAATTGCATCTGTCATGCCTTTTCCCGATGTAAAACCAAACTGCATTTCATCAATTTTAATTTGTTCCCTTAACCGCTTCTCTAACACTCTCTCAAATACTTTCATTGCATGTTCCAAGAGTTTAATAGCTCTGAAAGACCCTCAATCTAAAGGATCACCTTTCCCTTTGTATACTGGGATAATTATACTTCTTCGCCAGTCCTCAGGAATAGTACCTTCTGTGACAATTTGATTTGCTAAATTCATTAACCATTCAATCCCTAAATCATCAGAACCTTTAAACATCTCTGATACCACCATCGTTAAACCCGATGCCTTCCCTTTCTTCATCTTTTTCACTGCTCTCTTTATCTCGTCCTTGCCAAATTTACACCCTGGACCTTCTACCTTTGCACAACTAATATTATTATACCATTTATTTTCTTTATTCAAAAGTCCTTTCATGTAAATCTTCCAGGTGTTGTTAATACCACTACCATCAATAGCCATTTTTCCTTCCATATTTTTCAAACATTTTACACCTATCACATCCTGCCTCTTTTTTGACATCTGTTTTGCCATTCGAACCATATTTCCAATTCCATTTCTTTAGCAAACTCGTGTCTTTTTTCTTCTTCCTTCGCTATTAATTATTTCTTTTAGCCATCTTGTAAATATCATTATCACTATTTTCTTTGCTATTATGCCATATTTTGAAACACCTCCGTTTCTCTTCCACGGCTTTCGCTACCTCCGGGTTCCACCACCAAGTCTCCTTATGTCTAGGCGGCCCTTTTGTCCATCCACATACCTCATCAGTTGTCATTACTCAGGCTTTCTTCATGGCTTCCCACTTGTCATTCACCCCAGATGCTTGTGCCACCTCCGCCTCCCTAATCGCCAATGCCATATTGAATTGACGTCTAGCACTCTTTTCCTTCAATTTCCAAACCTTCAGCCTAGGGACAAACTTTCTTTTAGTGACCCTGGCACCTTTAAGAGTGAGATCTCCTACAACTAGTCGATGCTGATTTATACATTCCTCTCCCGGTATCACTTTCAAATTTTTTACTATACATCGATCAAATCTCCTTAATAACAAGTAATCCACTGTACTTTTGGTACTAACCGACTTATAAGTCACCAGCTTCTCTGATTCTTTCTTAAACATTGTATTACAGACAATCATATCCATAGCATCACTAAAATCTAAAATACTCTCTCCTTCTAAATTTCTCATGCCGTAACTGAACCCTCCATGTACTCCTTCATAACCCTCACTACTCGCTCCCACATGTCCATTCAGATCACCAGCCAGGATAATCTCCTCTTCATTTGCCAGTCTCGATGTCACCCCCAATAGACTGTCCCAAAATATATCTTTCTCTTCTTCACTTCTTCCAACCTGAGGAACATATGCGGAGATAATATTATATAGCTTTCTACCAAAAATCATCTTGATAACCATTATCTGGTTGTCTAGCCTTCTTACTTCGACTACTTTGTCTACCAATTTCTCCGCAACCAATACCCCAACTCCAGCCTTACCATCATTACCTCCTTGCCAAAAGAATTTATACTTTTCGCTAGTCTTGCCAATCATTCTAGTCCCATTTCCTTTCCATCTAGTCTCCTGTATGCAGCACACTTCTAGATGTCTTCTGTGCAATACATCGACGACTTCTCCCGCTCTTCCCGTCATACTCCCAACATTCTATGTCGCGACCCTAACTCGATCACCCGTAAACTGGTTTCTCTACTTTTTATCAGGTCGTTTATGGCCGTCATAAGTTTCATTTTCATGAATAGTTGTTCCACCAGGTTTCCCATCCTTCTTTTTGTCGTAGGCGGATGAGGAGGCCCACTGGGTACTTTGGGCTATACCCCACCCATGCTTTGTTGTAACCATAGGGAAATTTTGTAGCAAGGTTTTTACAATCGGATGCCCTTCCTGACATCAACCTCTTTAAATGGTTTTTACACCCCGTCGAGGAGACGGTGATCCTATTCTAGACCCAGATCACAGGGAACCTTTTAGACCTCCATTAGCCGCCAAAAGACGTTGCCACTCCCCCGCCACGATGAGGCTGAAGGTAGGATTTTGGGAGATAATAATTGTTTCCTATGAATATTTGAATGTAATATTATTATAATATAGTTTTATACATTTTTAAGTAGTTTGAAAAAAATAATAAAGATAGTATTTTAAAAAAAATAATAATAATTTAATGTATAAATATAATTAAACAGCATTCTAAAAATTATGCAGGCCGCGCCGCCGCCATAAAAAAATTAACGGCGAGATGGCTCACGCCGATTCTCTCAATCGGCGGCTGTTCCGGCGTGAATACAATTGCCGGCGTGAGCTTGCGGCGCACAGCTCTACATATAATAATAAATCATATTTATTCCTTTTCATATTTCCTATTTCCATTTTAAAACCCTTTTATCGATCGTAAGAAAATACCTAAGTTTATAAAATATAGGCAAAATATTTTTTACTAATTATAATAATTTCGAGGTGAAATTATACTACACCTAATTATTTCACAACTTTTTTGGTATTAAACGAAAAATAATCTTCATCTATCATTTCAAAATAAAGAAGATAGTTTTAAAAGTTATTAGATATTATATGATTTTGATTTCATATTTGCTGAAATACGAACCGTAAAATGCCGAATGTATATTTTTTAGTATCCAAACCTAATATATTTTTTTAATAACGCGAGCTGTTAAAAGTTTTTTATGCCGGGCCGTAAATTTTTTTTAAAGATAAACCAGGGCTATCCAAACATTTATTTTAAAAATATCCAAACAGGCCTTAAAATTTAAAATTTGGGTTGGCTGAATTTTATATCAATTCTGACCGGACCGAGCCTTACAAACTCCTGTAGGCCACTTGCTTTGCATGGTAAAATGCTTTTGTAAGGCGATTAAAAATATTTCTCAAGATTTTTTTTATTCTAAATAATATTAGATAGGGAATTCGTAGGAGACCCGGAGCGCAAAATAAAGTTTTTTAGTTTAAATAAATCCTCTTCAAACTTTTTTAATTAATTCATAAATCGCATAATTTATTTCATGATTTCTTTTTGAAACAGGTATTAAATATAAAGGATCCAAATCAAATTATCAAACATAACAACGATAATCAATACTCGAATAATCAGGGTACTGCAAACGAAACCACTCACAATCAAACTAAAATTATAGTAATTTCTATTTCCCAATATGGAACCCCCATTTATGACATCCACTTTTATATCTTCATTATTTGGCTAAATTGGGTTCCAGAAATGGTATAATTTACAAAGATTTATACGTTATAATGCTTCCCTCGTTTTTGCATTTATAATTTATGGTCCTTGCGGATTATACTGTTTGTACTACATGTACATTTTATTTTTTATATTTAAGAATTATAAATATTGGTTTATATTAAAAATCAATTCATCTATTGTTATGAAATAAATAAAAAATATCATTACTTTTCTAAATAATATTCATTATTTTTTTGATTTGATGTCTGTCTATTACTAAGAAATTGTCTTTATAATCAGCTGATTTTATCTGAATTCTTGGATCCTTTTTATATTAATATAACATTACCCATATCATTTATATTTATTTACCCTAAGAAAATTTCAATTTCCTACCTATTCATGAACATTTCTGATATTTTAAATAAAATTTAACTCAATATTTTTCTGAAATTACTCGTTTCATTGTGTATTAATTAAATAACCTGGCGCGTTAAAAGCAAAATAATACTAATTTATATCTCAGACTTGTGAATAATTTGAGAAGATATTTTATATTTGAGAACAGTTTTTTTAGCACGGCTGGCAAATTTTTTTATCTTTGAAGCATCCTTTAAAAAATGTTATATATATTCTTCTCCAATAAAATCACTATAAACAAAATTTTTTTATTTTCATTAAGGTTAAACCCGGTTTCGTCAAGCAATTATCCGGGTTTCAAGCCGATTTGGTACTTAATTTTACACCCTCATCTCCACCCTATAATAATAGTAATATTCCTTCGAGTAGCAACTATCAAAGCTCTGCACCCTGTGATGCTTCGGAGAATTTGAATTATCAGAACGTGACGTGCCTCAAAATCCAGCCCTTATATGGATTGTTAGTTGATTTTTTTAAAAAAGGAATTGATTAATTATTAATAGACCCCATCCTGTCCTGAAATTTGATTGTTCTGGGTCGGGTCTTATTTAGAAATCTCAATTTTTGGAACCATTCGTCTGACGGGGACGGACAAAAGTAGTGGCTTTTTATCCGACCTACTGGGTCTGCAAAATTGTTATGATATATAACTCTAATTAATTAATAATTGATAGTTCAAAATTCGCTAAGTTAAATTTGAAGGTTATCAATATAATCTTAATAATTTTCCTTTATGTTTTTTTTTCAGGGGGCCATTTTTGGGGGAAATAAGTAAAAATGTATTATAATAATAACTAACAAATAAATCAACAAATAGTTATATGTTATTAGTAATATAAGCATATTTTTTATTTTACAATGTTTTTATAAAATCAATACTTTTATACCTCATTCCATATTTTTATCAGAAATATTAATGAATTTCTATAATGATTTATAAATATATATACCAAACCTTAAAATGATTCATGGAAATAGAATACACCCTATATCTTATTTTGTTTTTTAAACTATGTTAAGATTAGTTGTTGGAACCACCCAAGGTCTGTGCATAGTCGACTATATCAACAAAACCTTGTTGATCAATATGAATACTCAAGATCTTTACGGTTTGTAGTTTATATATATTCTCTTTTATCAACACAATGTAAATATCAGAGTTGTTAACCCTACTTTTAAAAGTAGCGCGCTATTAGCTACTATTTTTAAAAGTAGCTGGCTACTTTCTTTTTGTAAAGAAAAATTTAGAAATAAATTTGTTTTATATTTTGCTTATAATGTAATAGTATAGTATATAATACATAAAATCAGCATTTAATTTAAATATAGTTAAGTTTTGATTAGGCCTACAAAAAACGAATCGTCTATTCGTATTCGTACGAATAATAAAATCCTTATTCGTTTCGATTCGTCGAATATTCGATTCGATTCGAAAATTTTTCTAAAGCATATAAAATATTTTGCAAAAAATTTTTTACAGATGTTTAAAGATGACACTTTTAAGGATTCTCTAAACTAATTGTCATTACAATATAAAAATTTATAGAAAATAAACAAAATAAAACCCAATGATTTCATATAACGTTATCCAAACAAATTGACCAAAATATCCAATTTTTAGAATCAGAATTGCTTATAAAAAAATATTTAATGAAGGTAATTATGACAAAATAAAATTTTTAAAATTATAATCTATTTAAAATATCTACATTTTAAATATTTGCATATAAAATATAACAAAATTTTAGAAAGTATTTCATTATAGATTTTATTTATTAAAAATACTTTAGTAGCATAAATTTCCTTTATTTAATCATGTATTTATTTTTATTATTAATATCATTTTATTAGTTAGAGGTGAAGGTGATTATGACAAAATAAAATTTTTAAAATTATAATCTATTTAAAATATCTACATTTTAAATATTTGCATATAAAATATAACAAAATTTTAGAAAGTATTTCATTATGATTTTATTTAATATATAAAAATACTTTAGTAGCATAAATTTCCTTTATTTAATTATTAATATAATTTTTAGAGGTGATTATGACAATGTAATAGGGGATGAAGATATTATAATGCACTATCTGAATTAGATTGTCTTTAAAATTTGCCAAAAATAAGGTTACTAAATGGGAAAAGGATTTTCCTAATCAAATAATAAGAACTAGTCAAAAAAATTAGTTATTTATCTGTCAGGAGCTCGAGAATATGGGAAAGAGGCACATTCTATAAAAATGTTTTGACTTGTTCAATAACATCAAAAATGATTAAAGAGAAACAATCAAAATAAAATAATTATATTTTACTTTGAAGCTTTCCCTTTTCTTCCATTAAACTTTTTCAGCAAATATAACTTGTTATGATTTGATATTTGATAATAGGAAATAAAATAAAACGAAATGATATACACTAGGAAAATTTAATTACTTCTTTTTATTTTACTTGCAATAAAATATTTGCGAATAATTACGAATATTTATATATAAATAATTTCGAATAATTTTCCTCATTATTCATATTCGATTATTTTTAATTTTTGGAAGGCAATTACGCCAGGCCTTAAAGGAAGGGGAAACTATTTTATTTAATAAAAATATCTATTTATGATATTATTTATTTTGTTGCATTTTATTAATAAAATCATTTCTATACATACTATCATTCCCAAGTCTAGAGCGACGATCAGAAAATATAAGTTTCCTATAACTAAATAATCCCTCAACACTAGCACTTGAGGGCAAGGCAGTCTTTAATTTTATATTTTTTTTTTAATATAAAAAAATTATCAAAAATACTCATTTGAGTATCTTTAGATTTAAAAAACGCGTCGAAAGGATTTTCTATTATATTAGTATCCTTTATTTCAAAAAAAATAACAGTGAAAGTTGTTTTTGTGGTTGTAACTAGGGCATCTTTGTTTGGTATGAGACTATTCAGCTCTACTGTGTCCCTATCACATTGATCTTTAGCATCATCGGAATTATATAGCCAGTTAAGTTTAAATTGGGATGTAAATTTTATTTGCAAGTACATCATATGTCTGGTATCCTATTATCCTTTTGAGGCTAATGCTACAGATCTTCTTTTTAAACTCTTAGGGTCTAGCCAATGACTGTGATTTTCAAATAAGCTCTAAAAATATTAATATCAGATTAATTTATAAATATAAATAAGTTTTTACCTTCTGTTATGTGTGTACAAATATCTGCCGTGGTACATATATAGGATATCTCTCACAACTCTGCTATTAGAGCATCTTTCATCACTTCAAAGTTATCTACTAAATCATTAGTGTCTGGTGACATAATATAGGGGATAGAGTTTTAATCATCATGATAAATGATGGATTATCAACCAGACATTGGCTGTGTTGTATAAAATTGACAATGACTTCAGCCAATATCTGAGAAATATTGGCATGTATTATTAATCAATCTAGCTTGAATTGAATTGATTTTTTTGGATGTAGTCTCCTCTATATTAAAATTATTACGATGTTTTTTTTATCTCTTTAAAACTGTTGATATGAACATTCTTATAAAAATAAATACTATTAGAATTAAAAATGACAATTACCTTTAGGTGTTTTTTGAGTATAGCTACTAGATTTATTTGAGGATATTTTTTTACAGATAGAACAAATAAATTTGTAGCCGGCTTTTGTTTTTACATTAATTTGAAAATATTTTAAAATCTTGGAAATGGAAAATGTGTATTATTGTTATCAAGAACATTTTCTTCCAGGGTACCTTCCATTTCATTAATATCATAATTGTCTGACTCACTTACATCGATTTGGATATCCATTTACGATAACATTTTAAATAATTTACATTAGTTTATTTAGGTTATAATACAAATTGAAAATAAAATTCAATTTCAAAATTAAATAATAAATCATAAAAATTATAATTAAATATGATATTATATTTAAATTTTCATGTTTGTAGTTTTAATAATTGGAAAAAAAGTAGCTCGCTATTAGCTATCACTACCAAAAAAGATAGCATGCTACAATAGCGCGTTACTAACAACTGGTAAATCTGATATCTTCCGAACTACGCCGATTTTGATTCCTTAAAAACATTTTTGTTCGTTTCCCATAAGAAAAGGAAAAAAATAAGAATGAAAGAAAGAGATCAATTTACTTACAACTGGTCTAGAAGATTTTTTGTTTAAGATTAATTATTTACTTAATATAATAATTATTATTTTCTTTGAATATATGTTTTAGGGTCAAGTGATCCTTTTGTCAGATCCACACCCAACAAAACGTTTCCTCTGTTTCGCAATAAAAACATTGTTGACAATGAAACACACCCAGATCGGTGTAAATCACCTTCCATAGAAGTTTCCGTATATTCAAAAAACATAATTTTTTAAATATAATTTTTGACTTATATACAGAGCTTAAATTTTAAGCCTATTTCTATTTTTTTAAAAATACACATCCTGTCATTATCATTGATGAATTTCCATATTACATTAATGATATATTTTTATTTTGAGATACTTCATTAGATGATACCATTTAAATACATTGATACTGAAAAAAACACGAATAAAATAGCTCATTTTAGAAGTGCTATATTCTGATTTTATAACTAAAAAGAATTTTTCGATTTCAATCTTATTTTACGAATAAGAATAATATATTATTCGTATAAAATTATATTATAATATTGGTAAATAATAATGTTGCATTTGGAAATTATTCATAAAAAATTATATTCCTAATGGAAAAACGTGGAACTTTTTACTTTTATTTCCTACTTCAGCATGTTGCAAAACGTGATAAATCATAGCTATAATCGTAATAAATCATAGCTGTAATAATACTTCACCAATTTATTTATTATGGATTTGGATATAAGGCGCAAAATTTGGATAATATTTCCAGTGGAATTTATTCTATAATATCATAATTATTTTTAAGTTGATTTTAGTTATTATATTAATTTTTCTATAAATTTATAATGTTTTTTTTTTAATTTTGGAAGAGAAATATCAAATTATCGAATTATGATTTTATTATCTATACGAATAATAAATTATTGGTGCCAGCTACTAATAATATATTATTATTTATTAATGGAGCGAGCTATATACATGATATTTGAAATGGAGAGATCGGGGCTAAAGGACAACTATTTTACTCTTTTGCTATTAAATGTTATTCTTTAGCTACAAAATAAAATATATCTCTATAGTTTTTAGGATTAACCTAACTTTAATCAATAATAGTAAAATAATTATTTTACCATATTACCGGAGTAAAACTTCTCAGATCCGGAGTACATAAAATATGACAAAATTCAAATGTTTTATTAAACTTTTTTAAAAAAATTGTTCTCTTATCTCATCCCGTCAGTTGCTAGGCATATTATACAGGAACAAGTATCACCTTTCCTCTGCTACTTTACCACAAGTCCTCTAAGTTAATTAAATAACTATAGAAGCCTTGGACAACTTTTTGATATAGACATCATTTCAGAACATACTCAAAAGTTATGAGAAACTACCTTTTTACTCTATTCCCTTTTGGCCCCGATCTCCCTTACTAGCCAATTTAAGCTTAACTAACACCCGGTAAAAAATACATTGTAGTAAAATAAATAATTTTGATCCTAATCAAAGTATATATTTAATTTAATATATTTTTTTTATTAAGTCATAATAATATTATTATGAATGCGTTGCATGCTCTCATAATTTTATCTAATTTTTTTATAGAAAGTATTTTTTAGTCTTAGTATTCTCAACTCTCACATAAAGAAATGTTTTTATTCAAAGGTTCAATACGAATAATAAAAAAAACAAATTATATTTATAATTAATCAAAATATCTCACAATTTTTAGATAATTCTGTTTATTTTTCCCTGCTTTATATTATAAGTTAATTCCAAACCCTTCTCTCTCCTTTACGACATCTTGTAGCATTAGAATATTATACGCTCATCATGATCATAAAACTCTCGGAATACTGCAAAAAAATAACATGAAAGATAGCTTCACGAAGTATTCTCATCCGAAACATTCTCTGTTGACCACCACACTTGAATACCCTTTCATATTCAAGGATAAAAACACGAGTGATAAAGTTAATAGGAAAAGACGTTCCACATTCGCTTGGATATTTCCCACGGGTCCAGGAATGACCGAAGAAAAAGGAATGGGTAAAATCGATTCAAAATTTTCCACGAAGTTTGACAAAAGTATTAGTAGCTACTTCACCAATCTGTCTAAAAGCAAAAGAAATAATGAAGTCGAATTAGGAAATGGGCCAGAACCTAACATAGATTATAGTTATAGTAAATGATTCCATATTTAATTCCGGGGACTTGAATTGTTTAAATATTATAGGAATTTTTAAAGCATAAAGCAGCAATTTTCTGAAATTTTACAGAAATATCTGCTATTTAAAAATTATGAAACGTGGCTTAATTGTATGCGTGGATCATTTTATATATATAAATACTGTGGAAATTGCGGAATAATTATTTTTGAATATGGGTGCTGTTGCATGTTAAATTTATATTTCATTTATTTGAATATCTAATTAGATATTACATATTAAATTATGTAAAATGCCAATATTATTAATTATTTTATTAAAACAACTCTAAAACATTATGGCTTTAATAACATTTACTTCTTGTACATTTTAAACCACTAATAATTTTGGGTTTAAAAAAATGAATTAGACCTCTTAAAAAAATTACTTTCTAAAGACTATAAATATAATATATCCTTAAAACTTTCTATTACCCAATTTAAATATCATCCTACCTTGTACAATACAATATTTAAAAAAATATATAAATGCCTTCAAACATAGAACTCTACGCCATTACACAGCAACGTTCCTTCTCACGTGACTCAACCACCCCCCTTACCCCCACCACCTTATACATCATCTCACCCGCCCAATATTAATACTCATAACACAACTACCACCTCCAGTGTAAATAATGCAATTGCATCGACTTCTTCTTCCCAAAATACAAATGCGCCGTCTACTACATTTGTGAATCCCCATTTTACTTCCCTGGCCAAATCCCGGATCCAAAAGGCTCACAGCTTCATATCTTTCAGTACGTTTTCTCCTTCTGCTAATAGCTCACCGCCCCTTTTTTTCCTTCCCTCATCTAATGCTAGCAGCAGCAACATCTCAAATTCCACGAACACATCAACCCTGCTAAATAACTTTGGATTTAATAACTCGGAGAAAAACACTCTTCCCGGCGGTTTTAGGGCCGGATATTGTAGTGCTGCCGATGGTTAGTTTAAAGATATTAGGAAATAATTGGATAGAAAACATTTTATTCATTGTAAATTCGTGGTCAACATCATAAATGGCATATCGTTTGATCGTTTTAGTCCTTAATTGATATATTATTGCTTCTTTGTCTAGTATATTACATCGCACGCTTTTCTCAATAGTCATTAAGGAATTCACGAAAGGCTAATCACATTTAAATACCAATTTATACTAATATTGACTTGTTTTACCACTATCATTTTGTATAAATATTATATATGTACTTACGCTTTGTCTTTGTAGCAACTTCCCAATTTTTTTACCAAATGCTTAGCTCTAAGTTTTACATGATTTAAAAAAATTTACAGTATATAACGTGTTCTCGCTTTTAATCTCTTTTACACTTCATGTCCCTTACTGTTATAAGCAGATACTACATTATTATGCAAAAAAATTATACATAATAATATTCTACATCTTGTATAATGTTTTCTAGGGCTTTCCCGATCCACATGTTCTTCACCGATCCGATCCGATATTACTAAAAAACCGATCCAATTTCAATACCGATTCGATATTTATATTAATTTTTTTTTTGTATCAATGTCATAAAAATATCAATATTTTCAATTTTAATAAAAACAAACTAACTTTCACGAATGATTAAGTGTATTTTATTTTTTTATTCTCTAAAGTTAATAATCTCATTTAAAATATTTGCAAAGTTTATGGATGAATGTATTGTTGTTAAAAAATCATCAAAATTTTAACCAAAATATTATTACTTAAGCCTCGATATTTCGCTAATATAAGTCCAAAACTTTCTGCTATCTGTGGGCAAAATCAATAAACTTGAGTAATTTACTTTTGACCAAAATCTTGAGTCAACCGTTTTTAAAATTGGCCGAATCGAGCCGTTTAGCAACACTATCTGAAAGTGACTCGTTAGATATTTTTAAAATCCTTTTCTTGTTGCAAATAATATAACAAAAAATAGTGTAAAGTAAGCAATTTTTTGAAACATCACAACAATATGAATTTTTTTTAATTATATGATTATATTTACTATCATAAAATAACTAAAAACAATAAAAAAATATCGGATCGGTTCTTTAAAAAAAATCGGCCCGATCCTATATTTTTTGAAACGCTAAATATCAGTGCCGATCCAATGTTTAATATCGGCACAGCCCTAATATTTTCTATATATCAGAGGCTTGCATGCCCGGACAAATTTTTTTTTGAAATAAACCCTAGTCTGGTTTTAAAATATTTTTTTATACAAAAATTAAAAGATATCAATTAATCTGAAAAATTATATAATAGAACGTTTACGTTTTATATTTATTTATTAGTCATATTTTCAATTTCTGAAACAATTTACAAAATACATCCAAAATAATAACGAAGTTTTAAAAAATTCTGGGTCATGCCATAAAACAATTTTTAAAAATTATGCAGGGAAAAAAATTTTCAAGAAATAGAATTCGGATAAAAATTTAAGTCCGGCTCCGGCCTAGAATTTTGATTTCTGCGGGTCTCTACTATCTATAAATAACATTTTCTAAACTTGATGTTGATGTAATATCAATCTGCGAAGTATAATGTTAAGCTTAACTTGTGTCATGTTCTTCGAGCTCATAAATGATGCTTTACGTTTATAAGGTTTAAGGTCTAATGTCTACCATAAGTCGTGTCCTAATATTATGTATTAAGAAAACTACAATGAATGAAACTTCCCATAAACACTCACCAAGGGCTGTTACGTTTTTACTTAAAGAGGTGGTCAACATTTATAACATTTAAAAAAAATAAAAATATTTATGATTAAGAATTAAGAAAGCGAGCTATTGGGATCGAAGATGATTACTTATCGATGTTTCGATATATATTTTATACTTATTTTCGTTGTAGTATTTTACAAACACTTTTATTATAAACCTGGCCATTTATATTTTATATTTCATGCCACGCTTAATATAAATATTTATGATGGCTTTGCATGCGGAGGGATGGCTTTCTAATTTTATTTTTTAATTGCATGAAGACTTGCTGCATGCTTATATACATTTTTTTTTATCAATATATACTTTTTAGCCAGCTTGCTGTCCCAAATTAACCAGCTGTTTAGGTAAAAAAAAATTAGAAGCAAATTATGCATTTTTTAATATTAAATTCTTATTAATTTGAATATTTAAAAAAAATCTAATCTAATTAATCAGTTAACTTTGTCTTATGTAAGATATATCGTTGAAATCAGAGGTGCAACAATATCAAGTATCGACTGATACCGATAATTTTTATACTTATTGCTAATGAACGTTACCTCATTTTTTATGCGTCCATTTATTTTGAGAAACACACTAAGAAAGGAAGCTTCCTTGTTGATATTATTAAAAAATTAATTTTTATTAGAAAAATATACTATACTTGTCTTAAAGTTTCATATATTAATTAATTATAATTTATAAATATAACATTTATAATTGAGTAAATAATTTTTTATATAATATGTCTTATATAAATTTTTCAATTTTTATTATTAATTGATATAATTATTCATTCTTCTTCTTATTCTCCGTTTTATGGCGATTTCCAGGTTTACCCGGGTAGGCCAGTTTTCCCTCTAATTTTTCTTTTCCATTTTTGACGGTCCTAAGCATCAATACTTGTAAGATTCATGTTTCTCATATCCGCCGCTATCACATTTGTCCACGTCATCTTGGGTCTTCCTCTAGGTCTTGATCCTCCTACTTCCATCATTGTGCATCTCTTTACCCAGTCATCTCTTGTCATACGTTCCACATGCCTAAACCATCTTAGTCTATTTCGTCGCATTACCATAACAATCATTTCTATACATAATCTTGCTCGCAATTCCTAGCTAGTATTTCTATCTCTCAGAGATACCCCACACATCCATCTAACCATCCTCATCTCTGTTCTTTCTAATTTGGCTTCGTGAGTCGCTTTCATTGCCCATGTTTCACCGCCATAAACTAAACAACTCCTCACACAGCTTACGTAAACTTTCCCCTTTAACTTCAGAGAAACTTTTTTATTTGTAAGAATAGACGACATCTCTCTGAACTTCTGCCAAGCTTGTCTGATCCTTGCAACAACGGCAGAATCTACACCACCATCTGCGTTTAGCATATCACCTAAATAACAAAACGTTTTCACTTTTTCTAGGGTTAACCCATTGCCAATATCCAGATTACCATTTTTTAGGTTATCATTATTATGTATCCCTTTCATGCATGTTCTACAAATAAAGGTCATTCTTTCTAACATCAAACTGCCTTTTTTCCCGCTACATCTTTTATGTACCCATTTCTGGCATCTGGTGCATTGGATAGAATTTCTAGCAACTACTTTCCCACATACACCGCAAGGCCAATTACCGGATTCTTCCATCTTTAGATTTTCCCCACCAAACATCACCTTTGTTTTTTATGCATTCATTTTCAGGCCCTTTGCTTCCATAGTCATCTTCCATTTACTAACTTTATCCCTCAATTCTCCCTCACTGTTTGCCATTAATACAAGGTCATCTGCATATAATATCTCCCAGGGAAGTCCTTCACGCATTTCTCTAGCCACCACATACATTACTAAGATAAATAATAATGGACTCAGCACGGATCCTTGATGAAGTCCTACCTTCACCTCAAAGCTGTCACTATCACCATAATCCGTCCGTACTGCTGTTTGTGCTTCAACACATTGCCATCACTGCGGTAACCAACCATTCCTCCACACCTGATTTTCTCAAGGCCCATCTTGTAATCTCACGCGGCACCCTATCAAATGCTTTCTCCAAATCAACAAACGCATAATAGAGTTTCTTTTCCTTCGCAAGATACTTCTCCTGTATTTGTCTCACCACAAAAATTGCATCTGTCGTGCCTTTTCCCGATGTAAAACCAAACTGCATTTCATCAATTTTAATTTGTTCCCTTAACCGCTTCTCTAACACTCTCTCAAATACTTTCATTGCATGTTCCAAGAGTTTAATAGCTCTGTAAGACCCGCAATCTAAAGGATCACCTTTCCCCTTGTATACTGGGATAATTATACTTCTTCGCCAGTCCTCGGGAATAGTACCTTCTGTGACAATCTGATTTGCTAAATTCATTAACCATTCAATCCCTAAATCATCAGAACCTTTAAACATCTCTGATACCACCATCGTTAAACCCGATGCCTTCCCTTTCTTCATCTTTTTCACTGCTCTTTTTATCTTGTCCTTGCCAAATTTACACCCTGGACCTTCTACCTTTGCACAACTAATATTATTATTCCATTCATTTTCTTCATTCAAAAGTCCTTTCATGTAAATCTTCCAGGTGTTCTTAATACCACTACTATCAATCGTCATTTTTCCATCCATATTTTTTAAACACTTTACACCTATCACATCCTGCCTCTTTTTTGACATCTGTGATATAATTATTCATTGAAATAAATTATTATGTAACAAAAAATTTAGACTCTGCTTGATTTTTATTTTTATAACGTTGTAGGTCTGTGTTAATTTCGAAATTATTTAAAACAATAAAAAAAAATTTTAGTATCGGTTGTATCAAGTCGATACTTAGCCTTGATATCGGCCAAAAATGGCATTGGCGCATTTCTGGTTGAAATGCATAAATACATTTCATCGGTCTTTTATTGCATTCTTGCTTAGTCTATGTTCATAATTTTAAATTATATAAAAAGCAAATCAAACAAAAAACAGCAACCCGAACATTATCAACGCATCAGGCCCTAGTATCCCGTCTTCTAATACTCATAGTACAACATCTTCTCAGACTTCTTCTATTGCCACTGCTCCTCAACCTACGACTAATTACAACAATTTTAAAGAATTTGATGTGACTATATTATCTAACGCCCACAATGCTAATTTTTACATGGCCCCCGGACCAAATAACCAAATACCGGTAAATAATTTGCAATCCCCTTCCACCAGCCCTAAATCGATTCTGCCAAATTTCAACCCCAATAACAATCTTCACGAATATTCGAACTATACCAATAATAATTCTGTGTTCGAACGGGTAACCGCCCTCTCATTTTATAATGGCAGTGTAGTGAATAATCTTGTGAACGATTGCAGCGGAGCTGTTGAAGAAAATGTGATATCTTTAGATAGCGGTTGTAGCGGTGGCAATGAAAATTGTAAGGAGGTAGTTAAAGAAGGGAAGGAGAATACCAAAGACTCCGGTAAGGAAGAAGTTGGGAGTGGAGCGGAAAATATAGAAGGCGGAACTGGGGCAGGGAATTCAAACAATTTAGGACCACTGTGGTTATGGATGGGTAAGTGGTTTTTTTTACATTTATGAAAAAGTTGGCTCTGTTTGACTGGCGCTTAAAAAATTATATTATGCTACAAAAATATATCTAACAATTTTATAATAATATTGTCAAAATTAATTTTGCATTATATTAAAAACTGATTCTCATAATTTATGATATTTCTTGAAAAATAAATAGGCACTTCTTTTGGATCGGTGTTAGTTCTGACATTTTCTCCCATTTTACCAAGCGCGCAAAAACCAGTCGTTATATCTCCCACAGGTTATTTTTTTCTTATTACAAGAAATCTTTTAATTATATTTATCTATGGATGTTATTAATGAAGCCACTCACTAAATTTAGTTGTTCTGATTTAAACTCAGCTTTAAAAAAACTAAATATTTTCTTGTTAATGGAGCATCGAAGCTGGGGCTTACAAATGAGAGGTCACCATTTAGACGTTCTATAATTCATCTTGATTGAAAATGATCACAATAATTTTAAAAGGAAGAAAGAAAAAAGTAAAAAAAGGACCTAAATATATATTTCGACTATCATGTTTTAAATTGTTATTTTATATTGCTTAAATAATAATGACTGATATTTTATACTATAATATTAAAAAAGTTTCCTTGCTACAAACACATATTTTCTTTTTGAAAAATCTTCAACCACAGGCACAATATTCAGACTAAAGGGTCAAATACTGAACATTTATTTCGTTGGTAGTCTTTCAACTTTAAATAACCAAAGTTTTGATAATCCACTTTCAGCATCATCGATTCAGACCCCTACTGGCGTAAATAAATTTTCGCCTCCCATCATTTCCAAAAAAGAGATCGGGGTAGCTAAAAACGTTTATAAAAAACGAGGAGGTTCTTGTTTGTCTAACGCCTCATCTGGTAAATTTTATTCAAAATAATTATATGATTTATTTTTTCTTGAGCTAAGAAAGCGCTCTCCCTAATTGGCATATATCCTCCTAATTAATATTATATAAATAAATATTTTAATGCAGCCGATTCCATATCCCATTCAATTCCATCCCAACCATCAACTTCTCAACCAACTGATTCCATAACTCCTCTAACAAACCCTTATCCAAATACATCATCTATTCCAACAAATACTCAAACTCCCCCACCTAGCAGTATGGATAGCAGGAATATTAATGGTTTTTAATTCGCTCTATTAATTATATATATTTGAAACTTTAAAAAATAATATATGTTGAACTTTAAGAAAAGATTGGGAAAAATTAGTAGAATTAGTTTTGAACAAGACCTAATTCAGAGTTATATATTTTATCTTTTTACTCAGAAAATGTTTCTATTAGTGTTATAGAATGCAATCATCCCTATTTTTAAAACCATACATATTTTTATATAAAAAAGTAAATTTTTGCACTATCTCTTATATTTTGATACATCAATCTTGTAAAATTTATAGCAAGGCACAGAACGATAATGAGTTTTATAGTAATGCGAATTGTTAATTTCTTTCTCGACTTTTCGTTAAGATGAAAAAAACCCGTTTTTTTCTGAAAAAAAAAACAAACGTTGCCTTTTTAATTTTTTTTTATTATATGAAAAATATAATGTACCAATATTTTATTGCCTAATTTTTAATATCAGAATCATCTTAAATATAATCTATCAATTAGTATTGTTAAACGGTTCGATTTGAGCAGATTTTTAAAAATGACTAACTCAATATTTTAGCCAGAAAAATATTGCCTATACCTTGAGATTTCACTAATAGATGCCAAAACCTTTGTGCCATCTATGACTAAAATCAGGCTTGCGTAATATTTTCCTATATAAAATATTGAGCTAGTCGTCTTTAAAAACCGGCTCAAATCGAGCCGTTTAACAACACTACCAATATTTTGATTTTTCATTATCACAAGCATTTTAAAACTCCCTTATTCTGTTAAATTGAGTTTATTTTTTTTTAAAAAAGTTATTTTTAAGTTATTTTTTTTTATGAGAAATTTAATTTTTAAGCGTTTTGAAATTTCATTAACGTGATATTTAATTGTTTTTTTTACATCCTTAACGTTTCATTATCAAATTCAATGATTATTTCCACATTATACTATACTTTACAAAATATAGAGCCCCTTTTCGAGACCTGTCCACTAGAGTCAGACTAAACCGACTTTTAGTGATGTAAAAATCATCGTTCCATTTGAGCCGATTTTTAAAAACGGCTATCTCAATATTTTAGCCAGAATAATATTGCCTAAGCCTAGATATTTCGCTTAATAGGTGCCCAAAACTTTGTGTCATCTATGAGCAAAATCTTCAGGCAGTAATATTTTTGGTATAAAATACTGAGTTAGCCGTTTTTAAAAATCGGCTCAAATGGAGAGATTTTGCAACACTCCAGGCTTGAATCAGTTTATCTTTCTGACAGGTCTAAACTAGGACGGACTTCTTAAAAAACAAAATTATAGGTGCAAGTCTCATAAAAATCTAAATATCTCTCAAAATAAAGAACAAAGAAAAAAACACAATGAATCAATGTGTTGTTATAATTAGTATTATTTTATTTTTGTTTATGATTAGATTTTCATTTAAAATATAATTAAATTTAAAAAAACTCAGATCAAAATACAAACAATCAAGAAAATTTTGGGAAGAATTTCAATAAAGATTTTGCTGTGCTTATATCTGAATGTCAGGCCTGCTCCGTTTCACTAAGGGCTCAATCATACATGTCAGTTATCTACAAGGTCAAAATGGCTAATGAACATAGGAAGATATTGGTAGCGCGAGTTGTCGAATTTAAAGGTAAAAAAAACCTTTAAATTTTGATTCGAAGTGAATGTAGTAAATAATATAGTTGATATGACACCTAGATTTTTATGAAATTTTTGGAAATATGTACCATTCAAATTATGAATCCTGGTCCACCTAAAAAATATCTTAATAGTTTTTATTTGTAGTAACTAATGCTAATACATGGAATCATTCTTGAGTTATTTAAATGATTTATATTTTGAATATTTTTCCCAAAAATTAAACTAGCTAAACCTTACATAAGAATGATTTCCGTGAACAGGAAAAATTCCACTATTTTTTTAGATAATATATTATACCTCGCCCTCTGAATGTTATAGTTGAAAACAGAAAGGAGTATAATGAATGATTCAATATGATATCCTTTTTTAAAATTAATATGGTTATTAGATCAAGAATGTATGACTTGCTATGCTTCAAATGGCAATATCTTAATATACAGCGTTCCCAGTTTTCGGATCCTGATTGATATATTCCTCGTTTCGCCGCTTAACTTGAGGTAGTTTCGTTTTATACTTTAAATATGACGCCTATTTATACAGTTGAAGCGTTTTATGATTTGTTAGAGCCTATCTGCTTTACATTCCTTCCTTTAGTTTGTAATATATTTGGCCAAGCAATTATAAGAATAGTTGGGATCGACTAATAAAATTATAACCATGACTTTCAAATTGTTTTTTTACCGATTAATTGAAATATTATAATTATATTTTATAGATTGCCATCTCAAGATGCCGATCGAATATCTGAGTAAGCGTAACTAATTAAAATTAGCATTTTTTATAACTGACTCACCCTTAACAAATAATTCAAATAGAAAGAAAGAAAGAAAGAAAAAAGAATGTATTTAACCGACTTACTACCGAAAAAAATCATCATATAATGGTCATCCTTAACACCTTTTCTATATAGGATTTATTAAATTTCTTTTATTTAGCTTCAAAAGATGCATTTGCTTCAGCAACAATGGAAATGGGCTCTACTTATGTTCCCCAAGCGAAATACAAAAATTTACTTATTCTACTGATATGTGGTGAGTTTCAGAATTAATTTTCAATCAATTAATTTTCAATCTTTCATAATAACATCACTGGGGACGGGAAAAGGGTATTCAGCACGCCCTAATATAATTTTACTAAATCGACTGCGTTTTTCTAAAGCATGCCTAAAATATAATAAATAAAATTTTACTTGAATAAATTAGAAATGATAATTCAATTAATTGTTACCTAAATTTTAATAATTGTAGAAATAAAATAAGAGTTATTAGATCGGACTTTATAATAGAGCGATTCCATCAGAACACAAACAATTTTTCTTTTCAAAAATATAATAAAAATTACTATTTTAATTATATTATCCTTGTTTTTGGGAAGAACTTGTCCTATTTCCTATTTTTATAGGTTGGATATTTTTTTTAAAATATCATAATGTAATAGAAGTGTTCTTTTGATATAATAATAACTACAATAAAAAAATTAATTAGACAACTTTTTTGTACCCAATATAAAATTACTTGCTAATAACCCGTCAAGAATGACGGGGTTGAGGGGTAATAGTTTGTGTATATGGTACTAAATATGCTTTATATTAAAATTTAGGAGAAAAAGAGGAGATAAAATTGTTGCAATGTAACCCGTGAGCATTAAGGGTATTAGAAATATCAAATTTTAAATTTGTGATAGGAATTATATTGGGTAAAATTAAAAATAGAGATGCTTCAAAATTTTTTAATTTTAAATATGGGCTAGACATTGGTCTCAAAATATTGTTTTGCAGACACAGCTAGGCCTGATCTAAAAACCACGTCCCATGCAACTTTCCCAAAATTTTGCCATTTATTTCTATTGTAATTTAATAATAATGTCTTAAATTTAATTTTATATTTAGAATAAAATTTAAATTGATAGAAATCATATTGAATAAAATTTAAAAAAGAGATGCTTGGAAATTTTTTAAATTTAAATATTGGGTAGACATTAGCCTGAAAATTTTTTTTGCAGACATAGCCAGGCCTGATCAAAAAACCAAGTCCCATGCAACTTTCATAAAATTTTGCCATTTATTTCCATTGTAATTTAATAACAATATCTTAAATTTAATTTTATATTAGAATAAATTAAAATTTGTGATAGAAATCATATTGGGTAAAATTTAAAATAGATATTTGAAAATTTTTTAATTTTAAATATGGACCAGACATTGGCCTGAAATTTTTTTACTCAAACCTGGCCAACCCATAATAATTTTGTAATTTTTTCCCAAGCCTGGAGATAGGTAAATCTCTGAAAACCATATTGGTGGGAAAATTTTCTCAAGCTCACTAAACACCATAATAATTTTGTTAGTTGAGAACTGAAATAAAATATATAGAAGTCATAATTCATTTTAATATAAAATCAGAATATGAAAGTTGCATGGGCTTGGTTTTTTAGTCAGGCCTGGCGATTTCTGCAAAAAAAAAATTTCAGGCCAATGTCTAGCCCATATTTAAAATTAAAAAATTTTCAAGCATTTGTATTTTATATTTTACCCATTATGATTTCTATCACAAATCTAAATTTTATTCTAAATATAAAATTAAATTTAAGACATTTTTATTAAATTACAATAAAAATAAATGGCAAAATTTTATGAAAGTTGCATGGGACTTGGTTTTTTGATACAGCCTGGCTATGTCTGCAAAAAAAAATTTTCAGGCCAATGTATAACCCATATTTAAAATTCAAAAATCTTAAAGCATCTCTATTTTAAATATTATCCAATTTAAATTTTGATATTTCTAATACATGCTCACGGTATACATTGCAACAATTTTACCTCTTTTTCTCCTAAATTTTAATATTTATATAAAATTTATTAATAAAGTATATTTATTAGTATCATGCACACAAACTAAATAATTACCCTTCAACTAGTATGGAAATAAACGGCAAAATTTTAAAAATCTCAGCTATTAATTAATATATATATATAATTAATATTTTAAATTTAATTATATTCAAGTTGGTGCATGCTTAAATCATACGCCTTTGAAACGGGAGGTTTGTGAAAAAAATTACATTACACTATGTAGTCTCCTTAAATTTTAAATACAGTAGATACGAAAACGATCATGTTTTGATTATGGAGATTATATCTATTAGATGAATATTTAAAAGGTTCCTCATTTTTTATATAGAATTATGTATAAATCAAATTTTGACAAACAAAATATAAGGTATTAAGATGATAACAATTTTGCTTTTTATCTGCAAGAATTGATGATATTTTTCAACCTTAAAACTCAATGATGTGTTAGATAAATAATGACATGTGATTCTTGACATTTCGATGAAATCAAAATAAAATTTCATTGAAAAAAATATCAATTTATTTCAAAAATATATATAAATAACTCAATATATTTATTTTTCATAAAAATCAGGGCTTAGTAAATTTTATTAACAATAGACTATTTTTCAAAGTTGATGTCCAAAAGATGTGCTTTTCCCCAAATAGGCTTCCCTCTATACCTATTTCTACATGAGCGCCTGACATAAATGCGACATTATATTTAATAAACAGTAATTTTAAACTTAACAAATCATCATATAAAATTAATAAATGATGTATATAAATATTAAACATATTTTAAAAGCGAAACTTGAAAAGTAGTTATTTTTCTCTTATATTTCCAACTATTTAGAGAAACTTAGTTTTTCTGTAGTAACCAATTGTAGTAATTTTTTATTATAAAACTATTAGTTATATATAAATGCAAAATTAAATAAATTTTGATAATCTGGAAGTAATCAGTTGACAAATAATATATCACACTTCAATAATATTCGGCTGCTAATGTCAAAAATGTTTGACCACTTTAAATCTTTTCATGTTTTTAAATGATATTATCTGCTTTTTTATTTCAGCCATATACTTAAATAGAATATTTTTCAACATTTCCAATATAATTTATAATCTCCAGAAATACAACATCTGATGTAATATGACTTCTTATTGTTCAACATCATATGAAAAGTATATCTGGAAGAAAAATTTCTAAAGCTTTAAATATTAGTTATCCAACTGTCATAGACATCATAGAAAATTAATTATAATATAAAGGTAACTAAAAATTGTCCCAAATTAGCCGCAATGAATAGAATGTTAAAAAAAATTTTACTGGTTCATCAGCATTTCAATTTGATAAAAATTTAATACTTAGTTCAAATATTTCTATAAATCTAAAATTGATTCAATAGACTATTATTTCCATAAAATAAAATAATTTGATTAAATTTTTATTAATCAGAAGCTTTCCATCCTCATTGTCTTCAAAGGATAATTAAATTTCCATAAAATATGATGATGTGGAGCTATATAAGATGAAAAGGTTCAGGAATGCTACTTTGTAAGTGAAACCTTCAATGTCATGCATCAATCAATTTTAGCTTAATTGGTTTAATTGATACTTAAACAATACTTTAAATTAAACGTTTGTTTAAAGATTAATTTAAAAGTTGGGTCAGAGGATATACGTTGGTTTAGGTTGGTCCAAAGTATACTTATATTTCAGCAGGTCATCTCCACCAAATGGTTATGAGATAACAACATTATCAATTACGATCTTTAATTTATATCTTTTCTGATAAAATTAGCAATATTTTAAGTTATGTTAAAAAATAAAAAAAGTGTCGAACCGAACCGCGAAACCGAAATGAACAGTTATAAGAATATTTTAAAAGGAGATAACATATCCGTTATAAACACTGTATAGCGAGTTCATAACGATTTTTAAAATTTCATTTATTTTAAATAAATGGCATAGTTTAATTTTTTTAAATTGTGCAAATTTATATGTGGTTATATTCAGGCGCATATGCAGGGGTGGGGGGCAGGAGGCAAATCCCCCCCCCCCCCATACAAGCTAAAAAATGCAGATGCCGGATATATTTTTCAAAATATTGTTTATATTTTATAATATTTATTACTATCTCTTTCTTTTTAAATATCTATTTAATTACATTTATTTATCACATTCATTTTCTAAGTTATTTTATCAATTAATTTCGATTTCAAGTTTTCCTTGGCGTTATATTTATCTATTATTTTCAAATTTGTAATGGCGTAATATTTATCTATCATTTTCAATTTCTAGTCATATAATAATAATGGACATAGGAAATTTTTTTAAACATTTGATGATGATGAAAACCCTACTCATCCTACAAAAAAAGCAAAAAGTTACAAATAATTTTATAACATTTTATAGAGCCTAGAAGAAAGACATATACTTCTTAAAAAGGTAATAAAAATACCTATGATAAATATTTTATTTAATAATAGATATGTATTCCACCCCTCAATTTTCAATATCTACAAACCTTATGTGTTAATCGAAAGTTAAAATTTTAAAACAGCTATTTTACTAATTTGCTAGCATACTCTATCCGAGATAATGGAGCTTATTGCAAGATATGTGTCCTGTTTGGCTCAAGATATGCTGGAAGAAATTTAGTTAAGCTGAACAGTTTTAAGACTCCATTCAACAAGTACAAAGATGGAGCAATCTTTGATAATCATCAAAAAATAAATTATCACAAAAGCTGTTTCTTCAAATTAATTCAAAGTGGGGATATGATTCCCATTTCATCACATATTGACAAAAATAGGATTAAAATAGCAAAAGAAAGAGATGTAAGATCAAACTTACTATTGAGGTCATTTTATATTGTGGAGTAGGCTAGCATTACGTGGCCATTTGGATTTGGGAAGCTTGAATTTCAATAATAATAATAATGAAGGTAATTTTCATGATTAGCTGAATGCCAACTATGGTATAAAAGATTAACTATGGTTGATATGGTCTCAAAAAATGCAATGGATGCTTTGCATCTTTTCAAACATCTTTTAGATTATTCCAATGTATTAAAATTATTATACATATTAGCAACTCTTCCCATTAGTACTGCAACTAATGAGAGAACATTCTTTAAGAAAGTAGATGGCCCTTGAATATTCATAGGCATTTGACGCCAAGCACGGATGAGATGAATGAAAAATTAGCTCAATCCCAACGAAGATTGGATTTTACATTTTAAATATATAATATGCATCTAATATTTTTTGTGCAATTTCATTTTTACATGAATACTTTATAAGTTATTACATACAAAATTCAATTATTCCTAAGAAACTGGCAAAAATTTTATCAAAGTTTATTTTAATTGAGTTTGGTTTATTATGGTCTTCAATTTTATTAATTTTCAAAAAAAATTTGGAGTTTTATAGGTTCAAAAAATTAAATTTCTTTATTGGATCATTTATTTTATAGTGATTCATATGCTGGTTATTTTCACTTAATATTTTATAATTCACATTTATTTTAAGTTTTTCATATGCAGCTTGTTATATCCGTCTAATATTTTTTTAATTCACATTTATTTTATAGTTTTTCATATGCGGCCTGTTATATCCGTCTAATATTTTTTTAATTCACATTTATTTTATAGTTTTTTATATGCAGGTTTATATATTTAATTTTTTATAATTCACATTAATTTAAAATTGTGTATTAGAAATAGTTATTAGTCCTAATAAATATGCTTGATATTTTAAAATAACAATAATTTTATCTTAAAAAATTTAATTATCCCCCCCCCTTCCCCACATCAAATTCCTGAATACGCGCCTGGTTTATATTATGTTTATATTGCTTAATTTTTTTATTTCTTGTATCGTGTTTTATAATAAAATTAAGTTTTTAAAATATTTTTGTTTGGTTTATATATAGAAGATAAATATTTTTATCATTTTGGGTTATTGCTTGAACTTAAAAATATTCAAAACTTAAAATATCTTAACAAACCGATATGAATCTCTTAACCTAGAGGAATCGATATAAATTTGTTCAAAATAATTGAAATGGAACTAACTTGTTTTAAAATTTAAAACTAAAAACTGGAATGGAACTGAACCGTTATAATTACCCGTTCGACACCTAGTGTTGTTAAAACGTCGCGACCCCGACCCAAAGTTCGGGTCGTTTTTTGACTCCGACTCAAAGTTTGGGTCGTTTTTTCGACTTCGACTCAGAATTTGTATCGTTTTTTTTTGACCTCGACCCGAGTTCAAGCTAAAAAAAAGGCCTCGACCCAAAATATGGGTCCTTTTTTTCGACTCCGACTCAAAGTTTGGGTCGTTTTTTAGACTAAGACTTGAAGTTTGGGCGTTTTTTCGACTCAGACTTGAAGTTTGGGTTGTTTTTTCAACTCAGACCTGAAGTTAGGTCGTTTTTTCGACTCACATTCAAACATCGGGTCGTTTTTCACGACTCCAACTTATTTGAATTTTTTTAAAGCAAGTGATTAAAAATAGATATTGTAAAATGTTAAATTAAAATTTCAGTGAAGATGTACCATAGGAAAGTGACAATTGTCATAATCGTTATTTTTGAACTTTTTCAATTTTTTTTAGACAAATGAGTAAAAATATATTTTGCAAACATGTTAAATTAAAATTTCATTGAAGATGTACCATAGAAAGTGACAAATGTCATAATCGTTATTTTTGATTTTTTTAAGGCAAATGTGTAAAAATATATTTTGTAAACATGTTAAATTAAATTTCATTGAAGATATACCATAGGAAAGTGACAATTGTCATAATCGTCATTTTTGAACTTTTTTCAATTTTTTTAAGGCAAATGGGTAAAAATATAATTTGCAAACATGTTAAATTAAAATTTCATTGAAGATGTACCATAAGAAAGTGACAATTGTCATAATCGTTATTTTTGAACTTATTTGAATTTTTTTAAAGCAAATGGGTAAAAATAAGATTAAAAAAATTAAGAGTGTATTAATGACGTTGGGCTGTATATATTTATTTAATATCAATAATATCTCATTGGTTTTCATATTTTGTTATAAACATATCAGGGTTGGCAAGTTGGCCAATTGACCAAAGGAGTATTTGACCTGGTCAAATACGGTCAATTAAAGCATCTTTATCAATATAATTTCCAATTTATATTAAATTAAATACAATTATGGCATCGTTGATAAAATGCAAGGAGTAAATACACATATGTGAGAAAGCTCTGAAAGCAGCTGTTAAAGATGTTAGATAGTTGTCTGAAAGATTTGGAAGAAATTTGGGCGAAAAATTTAAAATTTTAAACTATTCTTTAATATTTAGCTATCTTATTGTTGTAAATACAAAGGGATAAATATATTTTAGCTTACGCAGAAAAAACGAGATACTTAATTTGGAAAAACATTCAATCATGACATGATTTTATAATTTCTCCATCTAAGGAAAAAAAATTAAAGATATGATGAAAAAGAAAAAACAATCCAAATACATGTGCTTACACTGCTGATTATTTATTGGATCCCCAATATAAGGGGATCATCTTACTAATAGTTAGTTTGATAAAGCAAGTGATATAATACAAGAATTAGGCATTTTATAAGGTCATGATAATCAAAATATTTTAAGCGATATCATAAATTTCAGAAGTAAAAGCGACGGTATGTTTTTTTGCCAAAATATGTGGAAAGCAGCATCGTTCACAAAAAATAATCAGATTTCGGCCTCTCACCTTGAATTCAGTGAAATGTATAATATACTAACATTTCCTAGTTTTACTTCTTTTTAAGAAATAAATTTGTCGGTTTGGGGTAATATTCATACGAATAAAAGAAAACGATTGGAAATCTCGACAACCAGAAAATTGGTAAGAGTATAACATAACCTAAGATTGATTAAAAATATTAAGGAAGAATAATATTAAATATAAATCAGAACAAGAGTCTGCCATGGAGAACGAAACTTTAATTATATAATTTTAAAAAATATAATTTAATAATACACAGATTCATTTTTTTACTATTAAATATAAAATAAAGTTATTATCTTAAAAAACATTTATTTAAATTTGACCGGTCAAATATCTGTCAATTGACCTAATAATATTTGACCGGTCAAAGCACAACCGTGAAATATATAATATAAATATCTTCTAAATTCGCAAACCTCAAAACACAATAATTAATCGCTTATTTTTTCTTGCTTGATTATTTTAGGGTTCTATTGGTAGAAATTATGGTAATCTAAAATCTTGTATACCACTAACCTTATAATATGCAATATTTTTATTGACAATCCATTATTTCAAATAAATTCGAATTTTATTTTAAAAATTGAAAGTAAAAATTTGAAGGACATGACAAGCAAAATATTTCGACTAAAGGAAACTCCCGAACCACCAAGATCCAGTTTCTTTAGCACTCTATTTAATTCACCCAGAACAACGGCTTTGGATAGAGAAGAATTATGTACATAAAAAAATATATATATAACTCATAATACCCTCCCCCCCTTCTCTCTTTATTCTATTCTTATTTAATAAGCTAAAATTTTACAATCTCCTTGAATGATAATATTTTGTCTCGGTATTCTTAATTGTTCCGACTTATTAATTACTTAAAAATGGTATAGAAATTTCGGGTCTATATTTATTGAGATGAATAAAATAAGTTAAAGGGATAATTTTTTAAAAAATATAAACTTAAGGGTAATTCAAAAAAAAGGAAAGGGTTTAATTTATAATATTAATAAGGTTAATAATTTCAATATCACTTTTAAAGCAATTGAAAAAATAGTGTTAACTATTTTCCTTTTTTTTAAATTGGATGTATGTTGATGAATTGAATTGGTACCGCTCAATTTTGTTATTAATATATTTAAGGTTTCTTATTAAATTTAAACAACAATCTCAAAAAAGTACAACGCCCATTTATATAAAGAAAGATAGAAATCTTATTTGCTTATTAATTTTTTGCTCGTTCATCTGTATAATATTATGATAAAATAACTTTGAAATCTAAAACTCATCAATAAAATTATACATTCTCAAAGTTGGAGAAGCAAGTGGGAAAGCTAGAACGGCAGCCGTATTACTTCAAGATGCTAATCAAAATGTCCAGGCGGTTGCGTCGGGACCCGTACACAGAGCGAGACAAGTTTTATCTTTTTTCATTTACTTAAACGGTAGGATATAAAATTAGACAAAGAAAACCTAGAAAAAGAAATTAATGCATCAATTTTAAAAATAAAACATTAAAGGCTGTCAGTGAAAGGGGTGAGAAATTATATGATTTGGATGAAAAAACGGCTCAAATGCTCCTTCAATCCGAAAATTATTCTAAAAATGCTCATAATATCTTATTAAAATACAAAGAGAAAAAATGGTATCAGTTTTAAGAACAATTCTTTTAAATATGAAACCCAACTTTAAAAAATTTTATAATTTCGACAACTCATTATAAATGCAAAAATCATATATATTTTTTATTTAATACAAATTTTATAAAAACGATTTTGAAAGATGGCGTTTTTTTGTTGATGATTATTATGGAATGCGCCCGTATTACATACTACATTATAATAACCTGCTTATAACATTTCTGTGGAGATCAAATGAGATTTCTGTGACCAAAAATATAAATGCTAAAGATGCGAGAATTTTGTGAATGAATTATAGGTTATGTCCTAGTATCACGTCGTCAAAATTTGAATTTTTAAATGATTGGATGTCCCAAGTTAAAAGATATTTAAAAAAAATGGTTAAGTTATTAATTTAAAAATGTAAATATATACTTAGGGTTTTAGAAAATTCAGGGTAAGCTTCATAGGCTCGAGTTTTTAGCAAATTTAAAAAGCTTAAATCTATTTATAGAACATTATTTTTTAATTTTGAATGTTCCAGCTCGTATTTTAGCATTAAATATAAAAAATGGCACCATGAATAAAATTTAAATATTTGATAAAAACAACCCCTACGATATATTATATATAGGACTCTGCTATTATGTATTAATATTATATTGATGTTTAGTAAAATAATTTATATAATTATATTAAAAATTATAATATAAATTACTATTTTATTATTTTAACGGCCTCTATAATGTTATTCCGCTAAATATATTTTTTTAGAATATTTAATAAATTTATATAAATAAAACAAAATCCATGTTAACTAAATTTAATACGTGCAATAAATTAATGAGTGAGACTAATAATTGTATTGGATAGCGATTTATATATTTATTATCTAGTTTATACTATTTATTGGCAATTTGACAACCAGCATTCCCCATAAAAATAAATTCTTTTTTTTAAAAAAACTTGTTTTTACTTTTATTAATATATGATTAATTTTATTGTAATTTAATGTTACAAATAACAAAAATATTATATTAAGTGCAAGAGCTAAAGAAAGAAGTGTATTTATAGATAATATTGATTTGTGGACCATCTCACCTAAATATTAAGTAGCGAATATAATATATTATTCATGTGATAAAAAAAAATTTAATTGATATTTTTTTAAACTCTTTTTATTTTATTACTATTACATTTAACACTCTAATTCAAATATTTAATGAATTAATAATAAATTTTAGAAAATATATGTTTGGCTTTATTTCCAATTAACCTCATCCTCATTCAAAAATCCATATTTTAATATAATCATCAGTGTCATTACTCGTTAGGATGGAAAATACATGCTTAACACGCCTACATTTTCTTTTAACATAAAATATTTCCCGTAAAATTAGAACGCCTACTTTTGTTTAACTATATAATTTGTATTTAAACAAATATTCTATGGATTTAATTTACACAATTTAGAAAGTAAATATTATACTTTCCTTTATATTCTGAGCAAAAAAAAATCCCATTTTTCATTGTTAATTTAAAAATTGTAATAATCCAAGATATAATAAGGTCTATAGACTTTACAAGACTATGACTGAATGGCTTCTTTTGTTTTAAATTTTAATTTAGCTTTAATTCATTAGAATGGTCATAAAAACCCGAATTATTTCCTATCTCTAATATAATTCCAGGTTAACCCTCTACTCAATTCTTCTCTAAAAAAATGACGTTATTTCTTTAAAGTGGATTCGATTTACTTCAACCATTAATGCGCATTCACCTTTGTCCCAAGTAAAATGAAGGCAATCACACTTAGCCTTATATTGTAAATAAATAAATTCCCAACTTGTCTTTCAGAATAATATAATATACAAGATATATTTTTTTTAAAACAGTATATTATGTTTTTACTCATAATTGTTTTAAAATTTGGAGTAGATGGGAGATGGCCATATTATGATTATTTTTTTCATAAAGACTCATTCATGTTTATGAAAAATTTGCTAAATTTATTTTTTGTAATAAACACTCATCTTAAGAATTTCAAATAATAAAATCCATGAGGATTTCTCTCCTAAGGAAATAATTTAAAGGCTCAAAAATGATTTTTTTTTCTTCTCCCCATTAGTTTAAAAATATATTTTTAAATTTAAATTTTTATTGAAAATAGAATAATTCTTTTGTTTTTATATTTTTCAAATAAGACATTTACAGGGTTTGCCCTTGTTTTCAAACACAAATTCTTAATAACAGAAAATACGTAAAACAACATATTTTGCATTCAATTCTAACATAAAAAAATGTCATTACACCTATGGTTATTAAAAAACACGTTTCGGGTTGATTTTGAAAAACGACCCGATTAAGATTTTAACCAAACTAATATTATTTATGCCTGGAGATTTTCCTTAGCAGAAAGGCTTGAATCTCTATTTGCCAATCTCGAGGCGTACACGAAATTATTTTGTCTAAATCTTAATCGGGTCGTTTTTAAAAATCGACCCGATTCAGGCTTTTTAACAACCCTTTAATTACCCCTATTTCATAATTCTTTCGAAAAAATTCCTATTTAAAACTATATATTTTTAACACTAAACTTATAATATTTAATAAAAATTAGCTAAATATCTATAAAATTATTTTAAAAATTTCTAAATAAATTCGTTTGCTATAATATTATGCATAATTTTAGGTATTCAGCTAATTTTTATTGATAATTTTAGTGTAAAATATTATATATTTTTTTAATAAAAATGGCTCGAGCCATCTCAAAATTTCGAATCTTTTTTAAAACAAAATATAATTTTATATTAGCAAAAAAAAAGTAGGTAATTTTGGATAATACTAGCTACAAAAAAAAGAAATTTTAGATGTTTGATAAAAATAAAAAAAGGTTATTTTGAAAATTTGAGCCCCACCCTTTCGCGCCCATGGATAACTTTTGGAATCATAATTTTTCAATAGTATTTTTTATGCATTAAAAATAACCACTGATAACTTTTGAAATCATATTTTTAATATTTGCTGTTTCGTATTTTATCAATAACTCGCTTTGTATCATATGTTATTATATCATATTATAGTTATAAAAAATGAATTTTTTCATATCATTTTCGCGCCAAAATTTTAACTCATATTTCTGGTTATCAAATCTTGCTAAAAATATAGGTAATAATTTTATTATTAATATATATATGAATATTAATATTTTTATTTAAAAATTATCATCTTTTTAATCATTTTAGGTGCTAGAAATTGAGCATAATGCCATTTGGCATCAATGGTCATTTCTTATGCACCAAAATATTAATTTATCAATAAATGGAAATTTTAGGCAAATTATTTAGGATATTAAGTTTTAGGGTTATGAAAACTAGATGGGGGGGGGGGATTAAATTTTTGTAATTATTACCTGTATTAATTATATAAGATCTATAAGTAGGTTTTCTTGGATATAAAGAGGTTCTAATAAATATTTTTTTATAAATAACATGTAATATGAGATGCTGTTTATATCAATATGCATTTAGATATGACTACACTTATCCCCGAAGGTGATATATCTGAGTCTGATATAGAGAGCTCAGACATAGAAGATAATTATTATCCTTTGCTGGGAGATGATTTGCCGACATCATCTTCTATTACGAATGAACTAGGTCTTCAATTGGAGGATATAGTAGAAGATACAACTATAACTAAAATAAAAGATAACCCGATTTGGTCTAAGAAAGACATTGGACAAATTAATTCAGAATTTATCCCTATTTTGGAAATTCCTGAACATGATTCAACTCCTCTAACATATTTTCGTAAATTTTTGGACCACCAGATAATTAGTAATTTCGTATCGGAAGCAAATATTTATTCATTCCAATGTTGTGATAAATCTATAAATACAGATAGCGATGAAATTGAAAGATTTTTGCCCTATGTGGCTCTTCTGGATTTATGTATGATTTTGAAATATACCAGGGAAAGTCCACTAATACTATAAAATCATATTTAGGTATCAGTGGAGATATCGTACTTTGCCTGACTGAAATAATACCATCAAATAATACCAATTATTTATGATTCTTAAAAAAAAGGAATATTTGGTGTCCGGAACGGTGAGGTCTAATCGATTATCAGGATGCGCACTTAAAAATGATGAGGCTTTAAAAAAGGAATGAAGAGGCGCTGTAGATTATAAAAGTGAAAAAAACGGTATTATTATCTGCAAATGGCAGGACAACAAAGCTGTTATTACAATATCTAATTTTATAGGTGTTTTACCTACGACCAAAATTAAACGATGGTCTGTATCGGACAAAACCTTTATAAATGTAGAAATGCCCGCTATAATTAAAAACTATAATGAGGGAATGGGTGGAGTAGATCTTCACGATATGCTGGTGGAGTTATATAGGACAGATATTAAATGGAAAAGATATTATATGCGAATGGTTTTCCATTTATTGGATTCTTGTGTAAATGCATGGCTCCTTTATAGACGCCATATGAAAGCAAATAATATCAAATTTATGACATTATTGGTATTTAAATCTCAAATAGCAAAAGGGCTGATGCTAGCAGGAAAGGTTAATAACAAGAAGACTGGAAGATTTTCCAGTATAGTTGTAAAGAGATCCCATATCGGATATAAGATATGACCAAGTAGGTCATTTCCTAAAGCCCGTAACAATTAAACAAAGGTGCAAGTACTGCGTAGATGCATATTCAAGAATTATGTGTTAAAAGTGTAATATTTATTTCTGTTTAAATAATAAACGAAATTGTTATTTGTCATTTCATATGAAATAAAATATTTTTTTAAATGAACTTGCATTTTGCCTATTGATGACATTTGGAATCATTGAATATTTTTTGACAGAAATACTCAAAATAAGTTTTTTTGATAAAAATGTGTTATTTGTGTCTATAATAAGTATCTCTTAAAAAAAAAAATTTTTCATCGAGGGAAAAAAAGTCGGGCGCGAAAGGGTTAATGATGCCCCTGTTAAGTAGCAGGTTTGCAGATAGTATATATTCATCTTTATAATGATCATATATAATCAAGTTATAAATTGTAAACAATATTTTAACTACCTCTTATCTATTTAAGCAGGATTGGATTAATAAGTGGCTAATAAAACTTAAAATTATTTAAAGCAATTTTTTTAAGTTCTCATATTATAATTTATCGAGTGAGATATCCTAAATGTCCTAAAATCGAAGTAGCCGTAGCAACAGATTTCATAACATGTATCATATTTTAAAATAACACTAACCATACAAAATATATATAAACGCTTATCTGAAAATTTCTGCAATTCAGATTTATAACAAGATTTGTCAAATTCGTTATTTCCTTAATAAGGCTATTAATTTCGCTGAGTTATAAAAAGAGTTCCATCTTGTTATAACAGGTTTAATCAATCTTTCCATTTTTTCCTTAAATATGGCTGCACAGTTTCGAATGCCCATATTGAGGAAATATTTGAGTTGGGATACAATTTTACAAAGTGTAGACTTTGTTCCTTTAATTTTTTTATTGGTATAAAAAATATTCCATATTGGGGGCAGGGAACGTTAAATCATCTTCATCTAAAGAAAAATGTACAATTGACATAGTATTCTTAATAAATTATAATATTAAAGAATAAAAATATCAATTAATATGATTGATTCAAAATTAATTAGATGAACAATTTTGACTATTTACAACGAATATTTAAAATAAAGATGAAGGAATTTGGTATTTGATTTGACTTAAAAACATGGCTTTTAAAAAATAAATAAGAGTCGTTGCTAAAAAATGAAACGAGTTACCGTTACTCATTACCTATAAAAGGTAACGAATGGCGCGCCATTTCTTAAAAAAAGGAAACAAAGTTACATTACAGCACTAATTAAAATGCTATTTAGTCCAAGAAATTTTGATATAAAGAATTAATTATCGATATAGAAATATCATAGTAACTTTAGTAAAAGTAAATCTAAACTTTTAATCCTAAAACATTTCATCATAATTTGAAATCTAACAATAATTTTTATAATTTAGTATCAAAAACAAAGATGAAATTCGCCCATTTATAAATCTTAATATTTTTTATGGTTGGGTTAATAAATAAAATAATTAGCCTCCTTAGTACAAAACCAGACGTTTCCTAACTGCCTAATTAAAATAAATAAACTACTTATTAACATTTCTAAAGAAACAATTAAATATTTTTTTAAATATTCTCTTCTGTCAAATCATATCGTAGAAAGAATAAATTTTAGATATGAATGGTTTAACTGTTAAGGTTCCATTTGCATCCCTGCCTTAAATTTCATTTTAACAACAATTTAAGCAAACTTCTAAAAGTTAAAGCCTACTTATATTCCAACCTGAATAATTATAAATTAATAAATGATAATCAAGTAGTAAAGGGTCAAAGGAATTAGTATCTCTGCAAGTATCATTTTTTTTAAATATAATAAATGATATAGGGTGTTAAGATGGAACTGATGGAGGTATGAAAACAAGGGAGAATGTTACATGTGTAGTTTTAGTGGGTTGACTGAAATAAGATCAAATGAAGTAAAAATGTAGATGGAAATTGAATACAATAACCAATATGAGTTACATTATAAGAATAATTTTTAGAAGATGCAACCGTTATATAATGAATTCGATAGAATTATGCATATTTCACTTATTCATTTTTTTGTAAATGCACCGACATCTTTAAAACCAAAAAATTTAATTCAGTGATGACGTGATAAACTCATTAATGATAATAATAGTATATGTAATTTCCTTTTTTCAAATATAATTTCATATTGTAATTAGCAAAAATAGCTCTTATGCATGATAATTTTATAAAGATTTATAAATAATTTTCTTTAGAAATTTAAATATACAATTATTTTCACGATCCAGAATATAACTTTACATCAATATATTATTAAATATTAATAATATATATTAAATAATTCTAATATCGTGAAAAAGGTGGCTGATGATATGTCTTCATCATACTAGCCCCTCTTTTGAATCTCGGAACCTGAGGTGAGTGATAAGATGAATTATATTCATTGCTAGGTGGTATAAATCGATGCTTAGATTGTTTATAATGATACCTTGGCTCATATACGGAATCATTTATATCTTTGGCATAGCATGCTCGCTTATCATGGTTGTGAGAACTCTCTGGCTTCGAGGAAGCGCGCATAGTTTTGTCTAAATTAGGGATAGCTGCTTCAGTATCCTCGTAATAAGGTGAAGAAGAATGGTAAACACTTTTAGAAATGCTGTGACTCCTATCTCTATTGCCAAATTTTGAAGGAGATTGGTAACCCATTCCTTTATTAAAATAGGAGGACGTGGAGGGTTTGCTATAAAAATTTTTTTAAATATTTAAATAATAGTACTCATTAAAGATCTGCAAAAGTAGGGTGAAGTCCTAATATTTTTTAAAAAATTGGAGCGGACTGGGCATAAATTTTGAAATATAATATATTTCTTTTCATATTTTAAAATTTTTACAAGAAACAAGGCACCAATATTTTTTTTTACAATTAGAAAATATTAAATTTTATTCTTTCTAAAAATTCCTACATTTTTTTTATAAATTCTTTCTACAATCTTTTATATTCAATTAATTAATTAATAAAATATACAGTTCAACATTTAAAAAAAAAATTATAGAAGTAAAATATGGAATAATTATGAAGATATGTTTGATGATAAAGATCAAAAACTCGATTATGTTCGATGGAAAAGAAAAACTATTTATGGTAATTCTCATTTAAGATACCACAATGTAACTCGAATGCAGATTCGTCTATTCCTGAAATAATTAAATAAAATTAGTAAAAAAAAATTTTTTTTAATTTATCTTAAATATTTATTTCTATATTTAAAAAACTCAGGCTGGAGGACAAATAATTGTTTTTTATTTCGGGTAGGGCTTTTTTCGGGACTAATAAAATAATCAACGATTCGGGTTGGGCATATTTTTTAAAAAAATTCGGGCCGGGTTTGAAAAATTAGGCTCGATTTAAATGACTAACTCTCATTGAAATTTTTTTCACTCCCCTCCCCAAATTTATTATCTTTACTCCTGCGAGTGGGTGAAATATATCAACTATTAATAAACCTTTCTTCCACCGATTCTTGAGGATCATCTTCAACCTTTTTATACCTAAGAGGTGGTGAAACTTCGTTGCTTAACATTCTTTCCCTCCTATGATTGACCCTCTGCAAGTAATTCATATTACTATTATTGGCAGCTTCATTAAAAATTATTTTATCGGTTTTGTGGCCTTCTGAGGTGTCTTGCTTCATCGTATTTTCGGTAGAGGTGTGAGAAGATGCAGGGTTATCGGAAATATTTTTTGAGTTATTGATATTGTCTGAGTCTTCCGGTGCGTAAAGACGTCTAAAATTTTGTTTGAATTGACGGGTGTGGCGAAGAAGGTGCTCCCTGACCTTTATTGTAAAAAATCAAGATAAATATATGTAAAATTGATATTTAACTTATTTTCGTCAGTGTTCTTTTTTGGAAACGTAGCAATTTTCTTTTTCCAAAATATAGAAACCTTTTTGAAAAACAACCTTTCTAAGAAGACTCTGTGTCTAAAAAAGCTGGTCCGATCAAAAAAAGGAAAATGGCTATTTTGTATATTAAATATTCTGAAAAGTTATTTCTATAAATTTTGGTTATTTTTAATTTTCCTTCTTTTTTTCCCTAACTTTTCTCACTTTATTTGATTTTTAGTTCTTCTCTATTTTTAATTTTTAATCGAGATTTTTACGTTTAATTTACACCATAAAAAGATTCTTACTCTATGTGTAGGCAAGACTATACCACCTTTAGTGACAGCGGGCTTAGTATTCCCCTCATCTCCTGGCCCGGCAATTAACTTAGGCGCATATGTTCGGGCTTTTTTCTTTAGAGAGGAAGAGGTAGCCGGTTTAATTCCGCATTCGTAAAAATCATAGGTAAATGTGTCTATATTTGAAAATTTGGTAGTTTTCGTAGTACCTAGTTGTACCGGTTTTTCATACCGATTATATTTAAAGCAAGGAGAGTTGGTCCTTGGCATTACAGAAATATTATGTCTACGTATTATAGGAGAATAGGGTGAGGATGAGCTTTTATTTCAAAAAAAAGAATAAAATAAATGTTAAATACTAAATATATCTTGTAATGATTATTTGGATTTTTTTAAAATTATATTTACATATTATTAAAATTTCTTATCGTTGTTTTATAATCTGAATACCCAACCCCCAATCAGAGATGGGCAAGTTAATCTAAAATTAACGGTTACAGTTAGCACTTGAGGGAAAAAATATAACAGTTATGTTACAGGTGGAAAATGGTAATTAAGATACCTATAAAAATGTAAACTAATTGAATAAAAATAATTTGGCAAAAATTGTAATAAAAGTGATTAACGGTGGATATTTAAATTTTACTATAAAGAGAAACAAGTTTATTAAAAATATTTTATTGCGCAACGAAGGATATAATGTAATACAACAACAATGAAATACAATTTCAGAATTTTATGAAAATGACTATAATGTTCATTAATCGTTTCCGATTTGGCTATTAATCCAATTTGAAAAGGTGGAAAAATGTTAATCTTTTATAATTTATTACATATGCAAATTATTATTTCAACATCATTTGAACTTTTAATAGGCTTAGATTGTGAAAATGATTTTAGAAGGTAGGTTTAGAAATATCACATGGCTCATTAATATATTTCGTAGCCCCTCACTCGTAGATGGCAATCCCAAAGGTAATTCGTAGAATTAATGAGAGATAGTAGCTACTCGTTAGGAATGCTTTACTAACAACATCTAGATAAAGCCAAAAGATCATATCAATTATATTATCAAAACTATTAACGTAATATAGATATAATTAGTTGATTTAATTAAAGATTTTTATATTCTAATCTCAAAGGCTATTAAATTATATATCATTGCGATTGTTGTGCAGAACAAAGTTTCAGATTTAATAATATCATATCTTCTTCGTCGTTAGTTTATAGCCATTTTATTTATATCCAAAATTGATTCAAAATATTTAATTATAAAATTAAATTCACTGATCGCTTTGCCCTATAGAAAAGAAATAAATCATCGCTTTATTTTAATTATAAAAAGTGCAACATTACGATGAATTCTGACCATAGTTGGCTGATGGCAGGCTCAATATTCAGGCGCATGCAAAAGAAAATCCGTTAACATTAGGACATTTCAATTTATATAAGTTTCTTCCAAATTCAAGCGGCTATTTTTTTATGAAAAACCACGAGGCAAAGTGATAGTTTTCAGCTAAAAACTTGGTTTAACCGATTTTTTAGTCGACTAAAAATTGGCTTAAATGGCTAAAAATATAGTAATTACTCAACTATATGACCACTTTTTTATTGTTCTATCAAGTCCAAGCCGACCCGATTTTTATTTACTTTATTAGTCCAAGCTCAGTTTCAGATCGATTTATAAAATTTGACGTTAAATTGTTTATTTTCATCATAAAATATAGAAAATAATTAATTTTTCAAATTCTATAAATTAATTATAAGAAAAAGATTAAAATTGATAAATAGATAAATCAAGCTTCTAATTAAATTTATCAAAATTATATCATTACAGGAACGTAATAACGTAACGCAACAAGCTAATTGTAATTGATTACCCATCCCTGTAGATAATGTATCATGTATATAAAATGATAATATAATAATTTGTTCTATAATCAAATTTATAAAATTTTTCATAATTTTGTGACTTAAAATTAAAATTGTATATACCTTTTAATATTAAATAAACATAACTTTTCATTATTTTAAAATTTTGTAATATAGTGTGGTAGGCGTAACTTTTAAAAAAGTAACGCGTAATTCGTTACCTTCCGAAAAGTAACGAAAACATGGTAATACTTGTTGTCTTCCCGTTCTTTGATTTTCTTGTAGTATGTTCGTTTTTCTTGATTTGTAAAATCAAAAAAATAATAATAAAAATCAATAAAATAAACGATTGAAATAATACATTCAATGTTAAAGGAAAATATTACCGGGCCAAATCTTTTTATCCATTTGACGATCCATGTCTGTTATTCCGTAAATGTTATGAATATCTTGTATGGTGCTATGTTTATCTCGAACAAATGCGTTTTTAATTCTGATTGCCCCACTGAAAGGTGATTCCAAGTTAGGGTCATTGTTTAGGGAGATGATATTTTGATAGTAATTGAAACAATTGTTATCTTCTGAACAATAACAGCCGCCCAGTAAATAATGGTAAGCGTGGTTTCTAAGCATAGGGGAGGGGAGTTAAAATATATTAAAAATTTGATATAAAATAGATATATTAGGTTATAATCGAGAAATATAATTTATATTCCTATTTCTAGGATCTGAATCAACGTTATTAGATTATTTATACTCAGAGTTGTTTAAATTTGTTAATTTTCTCGGATTTAAGATCCTGACCTTAAATTGTGGATCGTGACCGAGATCATTTTTTTAAATATTCGATCCCGATCCTTTTAAAAATTATTTTTTTTACATAAAAAGCAATAAATAAAATAAAAATTTTGAAAATTAAGTTTAAATATTATTTTAAAATAATATCTATCTACATCATATTTTATCAATCACCATTCCACCAGATTTTATATTTCAACAATTTCCCAAATTTTTTGAAAGAACAAGTTATATTTATTTATTAATTATATTATAATATAAATTCTAGGTTTTAATGATGTCCTCCATTATAGATTTAGAAGATGATACATCTACTTCTATTGATGTGACAGCAGATATAAGTGAGAATGAGAATCTTTTGCCATTTCATAATTGACGTAAGTATTTTACTTTAGGTGAAACGGATGGAAGTAACCAGAGTTGGGCAGGTCCTCCGGAAAAAGAATCCAGATACAGATTCTTTTTAAAAAAATGAATCTTAGAGACAGATACTAGTATCTTTTTCAAAATATCAACAATATACAAGATAAAAGATACTTGTATCTTTTACTAAATTAGAATATCTTAAATACAAGATACTTTTAAATTATCATTACTAATTAAATTAGAATAGTTTATAAAATACAGTTTTTATTATTTATTTGTGAAGAACATAGCATACACATATAAGAATGAATATTTGCAATAATTAATAAAATATTTATTGATGAATTAATCATAATAACTAGGGATTAATAATATTAATTTTTGCCCATTAATAGCTTAAACAGGGAAGGGAGAGTAGTATATTTAATGGGAGTTAAAAATGTGCAAATAAGAAAAAAAATTAAATCAAATGATTTATTAGAATTTGCAGGTTATTTTCTGTGTTGTTTTAAATATAGCTTATATTCGGAGTTTATGGATAAATGGCATCTTTAAAAAAATATACTAGTTTTATTTTATTCATTATCTTTAATAAATATTTATCATTACTTGTTTGTGATATTTATGTATTTTTGACTTATTAATTCTTGCATTTGTAATATCATATATAGTATATAAATATCATTTAAATCTTTTTTCATATTTTTTTTATATATTTCTTGCAAAATTATTAATTATATATAAAAAATATGAAAATAGTGTACATCATTATATTATTTAATTGTTAATTACATAGCAATTTTCTTTAATGCATTTTAAATTAATTAAATTTCGTAAATAAATGCTGTAAAATTTTATTTATATCATAAATAAATAAAAGTAACTAATAAAGTTAAATTCTACCTTATTATAATTATTTTATTAAGAGCCTTTTAAAATTATCTAACATCATATATCAATTGTAGCTTAAATATTTCCTTTAATAAGAACTTGCTAAAATAATTAAATATAAAATATATTAGGGATGTGCCGATATTTTTTATCGGATCGGGCCGATATTTCACCCATTTTAAAATATCTGTTATAGGTCAATATTATAAAATTTGATCCGATATAAAAATGGCATCTTTAACAAAAATAAAATGTTATAAAATGAAAAAAAATAGTTACATCTAAAATCATTTATTTTTATAAATAAAATCGAAATCCATTTTTATGTATATTTTTTTAGTAATAATAATTAATTAATAAACATTCTATCATATTGTTATTTTTTTGCGCAATCTGTTTATAAAAGTGTGCGATAATCACTACAGAATCTGTTTTTAGTGAAGCTGGTGATATTGACAGTTACTATCGCCGCAAGCTGACCTCTGATAAATCGGGAATATTGCTATTTCTAAAAAGAAATCTTCCCTATATTAATGTTAAATATTATTTTAAATATTTATTTCAAATTTCATATAATTGTTTATTACTTAATATGTATATAGATTAATGTTATTACTTATTATATAAAAGTGATTTTACAATATAAATATTTTATATACTTTTAGAATTGTAATTGAATTGAATATAAACAAACAATAACTGATCATTATAAATATATTTATATGACATAAGTTATGGTATAGTTAAATTATAGATGTTATACTAATAAAAAGTATATTAAAAATTAAAACCATTGTTATCTTTACAGAATACAAAATTAGATATGATATCGGATCGGTAATCGACGGATATCAATTTCGGATCGGATCGATTTCTAAAAAGTAATATCGCTACACCCCTAAAAAATATATATCCAAAATGATTTTAATTTGATAATCAACTATCTTCTATAAAAAAATTTAATAACAATTATCTAAGAAGGACTTAGTATTATAGGTATTATTCTGTTAATAATTATAAAATAAAAATGTATATTATACTTTAATATGTTTAACAAAGTTTGTGAGGAGTATGTTCAATCTTTAATAACTTTTTTACTTGTGTAATTTTAATATTCGGCTTTCACCCTGTCCTTTTTCACATGAATTACTATATAAAATTTTCCATCTAGAATTTCAAGATTCAGATTTGACTCAGGAGAACCTATCTCCATAATTTCATCTTCACTACTATAAATGTTAAACATTCTACTAATTAAAAAATATTACATATAAAATATAACTTTTGCTTATTTAGTTTTGGTGTTGCTATTTTTAATCTTTCTATCTTTGTGATCTGTAAAATTTCCAACTAATTTTGGTTATCAATATATTTAAAATGCAGGAAAAAATAAAGAAAATAATACAAGATTTCACGAAGAAAATAAAGTAACATTGTGTGATATGTAAATGTTTTAAACATGAATATTAAAAAGAATCTGTATCTGTATCTTTTTAAAGAAAATGAAAAAGATACAAGATTCTTTTCAAAATAAAGGATCTTAGATACAGATACTAGTATCTTATTAAAAATGTCAATAAGATACTGAGTACAAGATACAAAAAGATCTTGTATCTTGTATTTTAGATACAAGTATTCGCGGTACTGCTCAACTCTGGAAGTAACCATACAATGATCTATGCAAAATGCTATTTGTGCAAAAACAAAATATCTTCTTCAAAGATTAGCAGTTCAAACCTAAAGAGGCATTTAGAAGTAATTCTTTTAAAAATACAATTTTTATTATTTATGAAGATCATAACAATATACATATAATAAAAATTATAGATTTCCTTCACTATATGATGACAGTAATATATTGGCATCAATAATTCACCCAAAATTTATGCTCAATTGGCCTTTTATTAATCTGCCACCAAATTTATTGCTAAAAGAAAGGTTAATTGCCCATTTAGAAAATATACAGGGTCAACCATATGCAGTACCTTTTTTGGGAAAAACTCGTCACAAAATGCTCTTTCCATTAATAATTTTTTTTATTCTAAAGATGATTCAGTGAATATTTTTAATAATTATGTTAATTAAAAAAAACATTTATTGAATATAACACACCTTTACCATCAAGCACTCCTGTGGAGCGCTTGTTTAGTAAAACTAAACATGTACTTAATAAAAAACGTGGTTGTTTAAATGATAATAATTTAGAAAAAATTTTATTATTAAAGGCTAATTTAATTATAAATAAATATATTCTAATTGTTATACTTATATTATATTATTCAATTACAATAAATTTATATCATATTTATTTATTTTTTATATTAGTTAATTTTGCATAGATCAGAAATTTAAATAAGAAATCGTGATCGTGATCCTTTTTTTAATAAAAGGTCGATCCTGGATTTCGATCCTCTTTTTTCCAAAAGATGGTGATTCGATCTTTTTAAAAGGATCGATTAACAAGCCTGTTTATACTGCAGTTTAATTAATTGTATAAAAAATTAATTGATTAACTATGCTTAGAGAAAAAAGGACAAATAAATAGTTATAAAAAAAATTAAAATAAAGAGTCAAAAATTATCCATCCCAATCCTTTAAGATAGAATGACCTAACCCAAATAAGATTAAATTAGATATTAAATAAAAATTCACATGATGGATGTATTATCGAATTTCTGGTCTTCGCTATGAAAATCTAAAATGATTTGTAAATAAATAGTTGTAATAAAGTTCAATAGAAAATAGCATTAATAAAAAATATTTGCTCACCACTTTGAATCGTTCCCTAGATATTTTTGGAGAAAAATGTATTATTTATATTAATATTAGGTTATTTATATAAAATAAAATTTATAAATTTTCTACCTTGTCTTTGTCCGAAATTGGAAATGTGGATCCAGCATCTTAGCATTTTTTAGAAATAATATTTTAAAGATTTATAAATTAAAATATGTAGAAGTAATATTAGATCATAACGGTATGCAAATTAATGTTCAATTTTATGGTATTCAAAATAACAGTACGATAAACACGTTTATTTTATTAGATATAATTTTATATTTCAAATTTTATTTTCATTTATAGATATTCAATGGGAATCCACTCCACATTTTATATTAAAAAACCAACAAAAAATTAATTATAAATATGTTTTTAAACGTAATAAAATTTAGTTTCAACTCTTTTGGCCTACTGTTTTACTTAATATAGATTATTATTTAATTAACCAATCATCATACGCCATTATTTTTATCATGATAATTAAAAATATTTTCTTTAAAAATTGTTTGAAAAAAATAAGATTGTATAAAAAATGGCGTTTATGACTTTTGCAATGTGTATTTAAAATAATAAATTAGGGGACTTAGAAAATAGCGAGAGCACCAAAAATTATTTTGGTTTTGTATTTGAAAATATTTTTGTTATGTGATTTTTTGGTTGTATAAAAAACTTTAAAAAAAACACATGTTGTTTTTTCTTGTTTTTTAAAAAAATATTATTACAATATTTAATTATTTTATCGCAAATCAAAATAATTTAAATAAAATTTTAAAATACAATAAATTACAATATAAATAATAGATAATCAAGCATTCATGAACATTCTTTCATTGAATGTAAATTGGTTGTATTAAATTTTGGAACAAGATGGTATGAAGTCGTGTATGCCAGTGTTGATAAAGTAAATAGCGCGCTACTTTAAAAAAAATATAGCGATAGCGGTAGCTCACTATACTTTCGATTTTATATAATAAATACACAAAAATTATTAAAATATACTTCTAAAATCACAATCTTTTTATTTAATTTAATTTGATTTTGAAATTTATAAAAATCTAAAATGTAAACCTAGTTTTCAAAATAATTTAAAATGTCGACGATAGAGATTGATATTGAAGATAATATTGCTACAGATCATATCGACAAACTAATTTCCTTGGAAAATAATGAAAATATGAAATTTCCTTTTCCTGAAATCGCAATATTTTAATCTTGGTAAAAAAAATTAACACAGGGTATAAATTTCATTGTAAGATGTACCGGAAGGTTTTATCATCAAACAAGAGTAGCAGCATCAAACAAATTTGGTTCCCATTAAATAAAGGAAAAAAAATTGGGAATCTCGCTTATATCTCCTAGAAATTATTTCAAGTTAATTTGATATAAATATTAATAGATACTAGGAGTAAACACTTTGTATTTATGTTAAATTTTTTTTAAAAATGGGTAAAAATGAGGGAAATATCATCAATATTCCGTAATGTTCTTATTTCTAGGAACAATGATAATATTTCCTCCATTTTTAGCTATTTTTTAAACTCAATTTAAATACAAGTGTTCTCCCTAGCATCTCTTAATATTATTTTCAATATTACTTTTAAAATTTTCTAGGAGATATAAGCGAGATTCCCAATTTTTAGGGATTTTTATTTTGCGATTTAGGATATGTACCCCACTTAAAATATAATTTGAATCAAAGCTGCATCTATAATAGTTTGAGCTAGATATGTTTAAGTGAAAGTTGATTTTCCAGCCCAGTCCAAACCTAGTATGTTTCAACTAGCCATAAAAATTAAAAATTATAATAAATAATTAATATTAACATTTCATTTTATTATCAGACTCATAATGATAATATTTTATAAATTATTATCTGGATGTTAAACATGTTTAAAATTAATGACTCATCTATTTATAAATTTTATCAAAACATGCCAATAAATAATTATTTAAATCCTTCACATTTTAACCAATTTTGAAAGTAATTGGTTCAATAGATAAAAAGTTAAAAGGCGGTGGCCTAGCCAGTTGGCAAACATGGCCATCCACTTTTCCCCTACATAATTTTTATTCTAGCTATTACTATTATAATTTTAGACTGACCTTAGCCAGATCAAAAACGTCACCTACTTATAGATGTTTTTTTTGAAATAAATAATAATACTATTGAAAATGCTATGAATATTTTTGATGATTTTTAATATGTAAACTTAATTTAATACTGCATTGAGTGTTAGTGTTGAACGATTATATAACTATAGCTTATACTTTCTGATCGTTGCTCTAGACTTGAGGATGACAGTATGGAAATGTTATAATTATTGAGATGCAATAAAAAAAATATTATATATATATATTTGAAATTTTGTCCTATTTTTCATTTGTGAAAATAGAGATACGTAAAAATATTTAAAAAAAAATTCTAAAGACGCGCTACTTTTTTGTAAATGGTAACGATAGCACGCTATTTCTTTGTAAAGTAGCGGTGGTGATAATGCGCTACTTAAAAAAAAATAGCTTTTAACAACGCTGGTGTATACCCATGATGTAGATGTTAAAAGTTTTCTGCTCGAGCATTTATCATTCTATAAATTTTATATTATTATTCTTTAGTATGCTGCTACTTGAAGAAAGAATGTGTTTTAAGTAAAATTTACATTCATAAATTCCATTTGTATCGCGGCCAATTTTAATTTAAAGAGTAAAAAAATAATAACAAAATTTTAGTTATAAAAGTAATTGTTATTTTAAAAATAATTTGTATTGTTTATTGGTGGCGGAAGATAGGTTTATTTTAAAAAATTGAAGGAAATATATATTAGGAGTATTTTTTTCAAAATTATTAGAATTTTTTCTGGATTATTATCTCCGGCGATTCAAAAATAAATTTTTAAAAAGGTTTTATTGTTCCCTCCATGTAAGTAGCATTGTTTTTTTCATATTTTTTTATTTTTTCTGTTTTTAAGTGTTTTTCTCATTGTTTTATGTTGAATAAATATGTTGTTTTTGTTTTTTTTCCATCCGTACCCCTTACTTACCCCCTTTACCTGATTTTCATCTTTCTGTCAATATTTAATTTTATCATACGCCCCACCTCCCTACATTTCCCTTCCACAAATTCATCCACCCTAGCCTCTTTTATTCCCTCTTTTATCGAAAAACCATTAAATAAGAATATTATTTTGTGTGTTTGATGAATTAGTACTTATATGTTGTATTATTTTTGAAGTTAAATTAAACATTTGCTATTTTGGGCATTTGTAGGTTGGGGAAATGGAAGAAGGATATTAGATTACTATAGAATTCTCTATTGTAGTATAATTTTTATATTGAAGAAAATTTCAGGTGAAAATTTTTATATAGCAAAAATTTATTAAATTATAATGTTGTTTGATCAAGAACATTGCCAGATAGAATAAATTGAATTATTAATACAAAATACTTATAGGTTGTTTATTTATATTAATTGTCAGATAATACCATAAACTGCATAACGGCAACATAAATAAAAATGATATTTTTTCTAGAACATTTGGTATAGACTGTTACGACATCCTATAATCAAAATTTTGGAATAATATTTCTTTTTTTATCAATTTGTAACCAAGGAGAAGGACTTTATTACAACCACCACCCCCCCCCCTCTTAAAACCATAAAATTGATTACAAAGTTCTTAATCTGAACTTTTCTAAAATTGTTCTTTCTTTTCAAATTAAATTATATCTAAATTTAAAAATATTTTGTCTAAATGTCTTCGTTTTTCGCTAAAAGACATGGTATTTTTTTAAATCGCTCTCCTGTAAAATTAATCATAGTGAAATTAAAAAAAACATAAAAAGATAGAGCTTTTTTAGCCTATCCTTTCGGAAATTGTTACTTTTCCAAAAACATAAAAATTCATTATTTCCGGGACAAAGTTATGCTCTATTTTGTCGTAAATTTTTCTGGAACACGGAGAATTCGGAACCTATCAATTTTAAATAAATTGAGAAGATTTATAAATTTTAAAGGTCAGTGTCTTTCTTTCTTTTTGAACATTTACGTTTAGCCGTACTTTTTTAATAAAAAAACGTAATGAACCCTTGTTTAAAATGAAGTTGCTTTTTTTATAAGTATCGTCGATTAAAAATCTTAATTGTTATAAAAAAAAATTGGTTTTTGTAAATTATATTATCGTCTGCCTTTTCATTAATTTTTTAAAAAATCGTGGCCTGAGTATTATACTATTGTCCACTTTTTGAAAAAATGATTTTTTTCGCAAAATAAATTAAGGTCATCAGAACTATCGATCCAAAATCTAGATTTCCAGGGATGCCTAAGATTAAATTGTATTATGTGCTATTTAGTGTTTTATAATTATATTATTCTATCTCCATCCAACTAATAGGCTTGATAAAAATAACCATATGATCATTTTGTCACCAATTAAATTGGCTTAATATGTTTAGGATTATATTATGCTATATCCTTTAAAAATATGCTCCATTGGTAATTTTTATTCTTTTTGAGGTTTATATTGTGCTATTTCCATTAAAAAAAAATTTTTTTGAGGATAATATTGTATCAGAGTTGTTAAACCCTACTTTTAATAGTAGCGCGCTACTGCTATTGCTACCCATCAAAAAAATAGCGCGCAATTAGCGACTAGTTCAGAATTGTTAAAGTATCTAGATATATAAATGTGGTATCTGTATCTTGATATTATTTTAGAGGTATCTGTATCTGTTTTAAGATACATTGTGATATACTTTTATTTAACGCGTTTTTATATTATAAATAAAAATACTTGAATGCAAAATTTATTTTATTTCCAGGGTAACTTTTATTTCATTAATATCATAATTGTATGGCTCACTTACATTGATTTGGATATCCATTTGCGATGACATTTCAAATAATTTACGCCAAATGTTTAGGTATAATACAAATTGAGAATGAAAATTTCAATTTCAAAATTAAATAAATTATAATTAATTACGATATTATATTAAATTTTCATGTTTATAGCTACATTCATTATATTTTTAAAAGGTAGTTAAGTAGCCAAAAAAATAAATAACTGGAAAATAAGTAGCTCGCTATTAGCTATAGCTATCTAAAAAGATAGCTCTACTTCGCACTTTTAACAACTCTGTATTGTATTATATTCCTTTTAAATAATTTTTCATTAAAAATGACCCAAGTAATTGAAGAAGAAAAGATAGATCTCTAGTATTAAACAATGAAGGAGAGTATTATGAAGATGATGTTTGATTTATATAAAGACAAATGCAGAGTAGAAAATATCGAACCTGTTTCAGAACATGCTTATAGGTCAATATTTAATTATTATTTTAATCTAGGATTTTATCAAACAAAATATGATAGATGTGATCTACGTGAGGAGTTTAAAATTAAACAGTCCGATATTGAATTTTTATTCAAATATAACAAGCATGTAAATAATAAGAATTCCTCACGGGAGCAACGAAATTCCGATCGAGTGAATACCGACAAAGAGGTCGTTGTTGTTTGTTTTGACCTAGAAAAGGCTCTTGCCCTTCCAAACTTAAAAATATCCTCATTTATTTACAAGCGTAAATTTAGCACTTACAATCTCACAGCCCATTGTAACATCAATAAAAAGGCATATTGTGCTATATGTGGTGATAGGATCTCAAGGCGGAGTTCAAATGATATTGCTCCACCTTTAATAAAATTTTTAAATCCAGTTTTAGAAGATTTACCTCACTTAAAAGAAATTATTTTGTGGTCGGATTCATGTATTCTGCAAAATAGTAATTCAATCATGTCCTTTAGTTTAATCCATTTTTGAAGCACCCTTTAATTAAAAGCATAACACAATACTCGGAAACAGGTAATTTATTTTATTATTTCAAATAAAATTTTATTATATAGATCCTTTCTAAAACTGAGATTTACAGCTCCTTGAGCACGTATTTTACCAATTTTGAATAGATCCAATCCATTTAAGGTATACCACCTAAATAATCATGAAGATTTTTTGAATATCAAAAAAGTTCCGAATGTTTTAACCTAAAGATCCCATATGCATCTATTAAACAAATTATATAGTCAAGGACTCTATGACCTTATTTTATAAAACTAATCATAAAGACGATATGTTTTTAAGCCAGTCCATAATTGGCTCTAAATCTATAAAACCAAAAAAAGCTAATATTATGATGAGTCAGATAATTCCGGTTTAATTCGAAGTATCACGACTAGTAAAAATTTCTTGATAAACAAGTAAAAGGTCGAAGACTTCAAGTCAGCTAAATTTTTTCCCAGAATTTGATAAAATATATATATATCTTTAATAGGATAAATAATTTTAAAAAGATTTTTACATTTTAAATTTTTTCAAACATTATACTATATTTATATCAGACCTGCCGGGCGTATTTTAATTTTTTTTAAATTTACCTAGGCCGGGTCTGGCCTGAAAATTTTTAAAAAAAAAACACGGGTCGGGCCGAAAAAATTTTTTAAAAAAATCAGGGCCGGGCCGAATAAATTTTTTTTAAAAAAATCCGGGACGAGCTGGACCGTACAAAAGGTAACTCTGCAGGTCACTGATTTATATATCATATAATTTATAAAATCGATAAATAAAAATTTGAGAAATATTAAAATTTATGATAAATTTAAGAAAAAATGCTAATTTTACATGAATATAGAACAATAAAACATATTTGATTTTTATACATTTTTATTATATCTCCAGGAATAAAAAACATTTACGAATTTTTTGCAATTGAAATTTAAAAATTTTATTTCCGTTTTTCAATGTGATCTTTAAAATAAAAAAAAATACTAAATTTATAGCTCTTACCGTTTTGAAAATAGGAGAACCCTTTTTTAAAAACGCTCTCCTGTATAGTTGGGAAATATGGAGATAGAATAATATAATATTCAGGCAACGAGATGTTATTTTTTTAATATTTTAAAAAATATTGACCAATGCATAAAATGAAAGTTATCGAAAAAAGCAAACTAGTTTGTGTCTTTTTTAAAATGGTTTCTAACTCCAAGCGGTAATTTGGCCAATTTGCAAGACCATTTGAAATACATTATGTGCGTTTGAAACGCTCAATTTGTGTGCGCACTATAATGCTGCAATACATCTCAGAGGTAAAATAATATTTTTCACACTTAAAATTCGCTCTCGTAAATTTATTTAAAATTGAGAGATTCGAGTCTTCAAGTGAGGATTCAGAACAAGTAGTTTTTCAAGAAAACATGAAATATATAAGTCAAGTTTGGAGTTAATTTTTCTAAAAAATTTAAATTAGGATATCTAATATATATATAATCCAGTAAATATTTTAAAAAAATTGATCTCTTTAAAAATAGGGTTGATTTTAAATCTGTCAAATAAAACAAGTCTTTAGTCGTAATGTTGTTTGAAATTACAAAAATTTAACGCCTCATTTATAGTAAACACGATTTGTTCAAGCGGGTGCGGTATTTAACGTTGCATTATTTACAAAATCAGGCCAATAAATAGATATAATTTATCAATATGGAGCAAAACGACGAAAGAGCTATGATAAAATTTTTTTAAAATATGCTGCGACGTATATTTCAAAAATTATTATCAATTTGAAGAATCAGCTGTAATTTCGATAGCGTTAAATACCGCACCGCTTGAACAAATCGAGTTTAATAAACGAGGTTGAAATTATAAAAATGTATATCCATGTTTAAAATATTTTACCATGTTCGTCCATAATTTCTGGGAGTTCTGATGAAGAAATGCTGATTTGGTCCTCGAGGGAGGAAAGATCACTAGTATGAACCGAACTGACGCTTATATCCTCATTATCTATCTTGATGGTAGATGTTAATTCTAAAAAAATATTTTTAAAAAAAATTTTAAAAAAGACGTGTAAATTAAAATCTTAAAAATAACTCTTAAAGCGATTTTTTTTTAAGAAACCCAATATATAATAACTTATAAAAAAACTACTTCCTTTCACTCTTAGATTTAATTTTAAAGCAAAAATGTAAACTTTTAATGCCGTCATTCAACAATTCATCTAGATCCTCGACAACAACCTCATGTTTTGTATGAACCCGGAGTTTTGTATTTTCATTACCGCTAATTTTAATATCTTTTGAGAACAGTTAATATTTTGAATATATAGTAGTGCTGTAAAGTTACGTCGATGAAACTAACGTTTTTACTAACAGCGTTACTTTTTTGAGTAGTGTTGTAAAACGGCTCAATTTGAGCCGATTTTTGAAAACGGCTAACTCAATATTTTAGCCAGAATGTTTAAGCCTCAAGATTTCGTTAATAGATGTTCGAGCCTTTGTGCCACTTATGAGCAAAATCTTCAGGCTTGCGTAATATTATTCTGGATAAAATATTGAGTTAGCCATTTTTAAAAATCGGTTCAAATCGAGCCGTTTAACAACATTATTTTTGAGGAAAATAAATGTTATTCGTTACTCGTTTCATATGAATAAGTAATATTTCTTATAAATAGTTATGGCCAAGTTTTAATTCAGATTTTTGTATTAAAATGGCCCGATGGGTCGATTTTTAAAAACGACCCGATTAAGATTTTAGTCAAAATAATATTATATAAGCCTCGAGGTCCAAGCCTATCTGCCATCTATGAGTAAAATCTCCAGGCTTACATTATATTATTTTGACTAAAATCTTAATGGGAGTTTTTAAAAAATCGACCCAAATCGGATCGTTTAACAGCATTAATTCAGATCAACCAGTTGAATTTAATACAGTCAAGATTGTTAATCTAATTAATAAATTTATTTTATAAAGAATATATGCCATAGTACTTATTCTTCAGAAGATGATTTAACTTTGCCCTAATAAGAAAATTAAGGGAACTAAGTCTACATTTTGTAAGTGGTGACTAATTCAAATATTTCAAATCCAATGTCCAGAAGCTCAAATCTAAAACATATCAAGGTAAAAATATGAATTTAAAATTCTGATAAAGATGAAAAAAAATTTGATGAGGAACTGATTGAAGTCTTGTGAGAAGAGTAATAAATTTTTTGAAAATAAACTTCTTAAAATACTTTTAATAAACCCACCCTCCTATTAAATTTACAACCAAATATAATACAACCTTCCAATCCTCTGCGCCAGTTGAACGTATCTTTAGCACAGCGAAAAATATGTTAAGCACTAAGCCCTTTTGTTTATCTCATCATTGAAAAATTTTTATTAAAAATAAATAAAAAATTATTACAAAAAGAACTTATCTCATAATATATTATTTTTGCATAATTTTATTTTCATTATCTATGGGTAAAAAAATAAATAAAATAAAAATTTAAATATAATATTTTGCATTTTATTTAAATAACGAGTAACGCGCTACTTTTCTTTAAATAGCGAATAACGCGTTCATTTATCCCACCATGGGTTCAATCCGAAAATTGTAACGATTTTTTATTTTCGGGATAGATCGGATCGAATTTTTTTTTAAAATTAGCCGGATTTGTAAATATATTTTACATTTTTAAATTTAACCGCCAGCCAAAACCCTAACCCTATTAACCCTAACCCTAGTATATATGTCAGCGGCATAGATCCGAACTGAAACGAATATCGTATAGGGATAGGTTTATGTTCGGATAAAAATAACGGTTCAAGGTTCAGGTTAGGTTAGTTAAAAATAAAAATATCGGATCGGTTCGAACCTCTGAAAACAGGTTTGAACACTTTTGTATACACATCTACATTCAAATTATATTTTATTTGCGATATTTTGATTTTATTGAGTTCTTCCTACAACGGGAGGGGGGGTTGAAGCAACTGCTTCTTAAAATTTAAATGTTAGCTAATATTTTACTAACATTTCCTAGTTTTGATAAGAGTATACCATAACCTAAGATTGATTAAAAATATTAAAGAAAATAATGATATTGAATATGAATCGGAACAAGACTCTGCTATGGAGCGAAACAACTATGGAATGAATTAAAAAAATATTATGAAATTTAATATTATATAGATTCATTATAATATTATATATATACAAAATAAAGTTAATAATGGCATAAAAAACATTTATTTGAATTTGACCATGACCTTATTTGACCATATTTGACCGGTCAAATGCACAACCCTGCATCTGGATACAAAATGAAATGCCAAAAACTCAAATAAGTCTAACAAGGAGGAGTGATGAATGCAGATGAATGCTCGAAGATCCGATTAATCTATATTTGTATAATATTTCGTCCTACAATTAATCAAATCATGAATGTTTTAACAATCATAAGATTTTCTGTGAATAAAAAGCTTATAACGAATGTGCAATATTTTTATTCAAAGAATTATGAAATATAAGGTATTTTTGGCCTTGAAGAAAGTATTACAATTAGAAAATGTATTAAGTGACAAATTACGACATAAATTGTCTTGATCTGCTCGTATTTGCAAAGATTTAAGAGTAAGGGTAATGAAATAATATAATTTATAATAGTGAGGAGTCTAATAAACGTTAAGATGTTATAAAAAACAGGCTGAGGAAAAATATGGATACGATTAATTGGAGGCATTTTTAATGCCCGTTGAAAAAGAATTGTTGATGCAAATAAAACTAGAATATGTGTTTATTTGAGCTAAAGTTGAGAATAAATGCAAGATTTATTAGCTTAAAAATTATACAATATTCGTTTAATTCATTATTTAAATTCTATTTGAGAAACTATATTTGCAATATACCTGATTTTATATGTTTACAATAAGTCTTATATACTCGGTGTAGTATGGTATGTTGTATGTAGATTTAGAGCACAATAAGTAATAATTTTATATGCAATTAATATTATATTATATGTGAAATATATATTTTATTATATGCACAATTGCAATAAGTATGACTTTATATGTGCAATTCTTAAAATAAAATATGGAACTCTTTTCATATGAGTCTTTTTTAAATAAAAATGTGATATCAGTAATATTGTGCTTAACGCATCGTTTAAGAATTTTCCTCCAAAAATATAAGAAATAATAAAAAACATATATAATATAAACAAGCCATTAAAGGCGTAGAATCACCAGTCCGCCCCTGATTCGAATTTTTAAACGATAGAAAGACTTCAAAAAAATATTAAAACGATTTTACTTTATAAATAAATGATTAATATTTATATACTTTTAGATTGATGAATATAAAGATACACTAGCTGATAGCCCGTCAAGAATGCCGAGGAATCAGAATTTCCTCTTTTATTTGCTGATAAATAAATCAGAAATTTCCCCTTGGATGAGTCAGAAATTTTTCTATCTTATGAGTTGTGATTCAGAAATTAACCTTTATTTTGATGAGGGGTTATTCTAAAATTTTTCATTATTTTTATAAAATATTTTAATGAGGTATATATTTAGTACCATTATTTTACGTGCACAATAAGAAATTGTATTTGTAATTTATATAACCTAAAAAAATATATACTTGATAGATAAGTTTTGCATAACTTATTTTTGATTTAATATTGCTCCAAAAAACCCTTATCTAAGAATATTTTTTTTAGTTTATAAATTACAAATACAAATGAATAAAAATTTAGTGAAAGATTTTTTATTGTGTACATAAATTAAAAGTATTAAATATATACTTCATTAACATATTTTATAAAAATAATGGAAAATTTTAGAATAACTTAGTATCAAAATAAAAATACCCTCATGATAAAAAAAATTCTGATTCATCCATCATCAAATAACAGGGACATTTATTATCCATCCATCATTGAATATAGGAGTAAAATCTGATTACCCATCATTCTTGATGGGCCATCAGCTAGTATAATGTATTATATATTTATAAAAATAAATTGATTTAAAATGTGTAGCCATTTATCCAGGATTAGGGCTCTAAGCCCAGCCTGGGTATTTTTTAAAAAAAATATTTTAAGGCCTAGCTTGGATATGTTTTTAAAATAAATATGGCCCGCCCTGTTTATCCAAGCTTAGAGCTAGGCCTCGAGGTCTCTGATATATAGCTGCAAAACATATATGAAATTATATTCATCATTTATAAATATTAAATTTATTTCCTTTAAATCTGTTTAATATATAAGTAATATATATTAAAGATCTGCAATGCCCAGTCCAATAGTTGTTTAGGTGTTGAACAATATATTTGAGATTAGACCTTGTATTAAAAAAAATTAAAAATCAGGCTGGGCAGCCTTAGTGAATAATTGAATGTGGCCTGAAATATAAAAATTAGATACTAAGAAATTAATGTTATATACACAAAAAATATAAAACCTTTATCTTTGACATCTTTTTTTCTTGTATTTTGATCCTCATTCTCATTAACTAAAGAATTTGATTTTATAAAGGAATCTCTATCTGGTATAACAACTTTCTCTGATTGATCAACATTCATATCACCTAATAGTAAACTCATTTGATCATTCAATGAACCCATATCTAAGTTTATATTGTTGAGGTCAAGTTCACCACTATTTAACAATTGTGCTAATTTATTCTTTATTTTATCTAATGCTGCTAAAGCAGAATTATCTGTTGAATTGTTTAAAATGGTTATATCATTTGCTATGTTATTGCTTTCACTTATGAAAGAATCAAAAGGAGATTTATTGGTGTTCATTAGATAATTGTCATCATAAGAAGGTTGAGGAGGCAAGGGAGGAGGGGGAACAAATTCTTTAGGGGGCAAAGGTGGCAATGGGGGAAGTGATGAATCCATAGAGGTTATTTCTTTTGGTTCATTAACACTAGTAGAAAGAGTATTGGTAACTGCAAATGTGTATATGGATTAAAATAAATATGTGAAGTTTTAGTGGTGTAAAAACATTTATCCAAAAATATTAAATATTTTTTTCAAAAAATGATAAAATTATGCATTGTGAAGCCAAAAAACTATAGGTATAAACCTTATATGCATTAAAAATATAGTAAAATCATATATTATACCTGGATTGAGATAGAATTCTTTATCTGAAATATGATGTTCATTAATAAAAAACTTTTCTAAAAATTTCAAGATATTTAGACTCAATCTTGATTGCATATCAATGTTAATAGTGTGATTTACAACAAAATTAACACTATCATTCAATATTTTAGACCTATAATTTGAACTATTTACCAAACATAATATTAAAATATAACTGTAAGACTTCAGTCCTTAATTTGCTTCTAAGATCATTTTTATTTAATGAATAACTCCATCTAATATTTGATAAAAATTTTGAAACAGATTCCTCTACATGATGTTTTAAATTGTAAAAAAATGGCTGGAATAAAATTTTAGATATATATTGTTTAATCATTATTTTATGTGAAATAATTATGTAAACTACCTTTGTATCCAATTCATTTAAAGCCTCATGACGAAATTCGTCAAATAGACCCCTTGATTTGAATTGTTCGACAATAACTTGTATCTTGTCATCTTCTTCTTTTGAATCAGCTTCGATCATAATGAATTTTAATTTAACTAGCTTCGATCATAAAAATTTTAACTAGCTAAAGCAAAGTGAGATATTGCCAATCATTCATTTCATTAAATTAAAATATAAATGACACCTAACAACTGTTAATCAGCGATATGCCAAATTATATTTTAATTTTGAAATATAACACCTAGCTATTCGACTTTCCTTATATCCCTCCCCCACTCAACCCATACTTATGCTTCCTAATATTATTTTTATGTTATGATTGTTCAATTTTTATTAATCAATATGTTGTAATATGCAATCAAATGATTCCTTTATAAAAATAAAAATGTTTTACGAAAGTTTATTTTCTATGATAATAATAATAAAAGAAAAAAATATATATGTATAGATTGTTTATAGAATTTTTATTCGTTAATTTTTTGGTGAAGAAATTTTTTTTACTTATAGTTTATTTTAATTTTTCTTTTTATTTTGTTACTTTTCTCTTTATGATAAATTAATACATTTTACTTTATAATTCATTATATATAAATATGTTTGATTATGTAATAGAGTTATAGGGTCTTTCAAACTCCGTATTAAGTTTCTTACTGCTGATCAACCATCTCTTTTGCAGTATAAATTATATTGTTAAAATAAGAACTCGTTTTGGTCGAGTATGTAAGATAATAATTAAAATGTTAAATTTTGTATAAGATACATTTTAAAACACTACTAAAACGACAAATATGTAAAGGGATAATTAAAATGTTTTATTTTATATAGAATATATTTTAAATAATGGAGGCAAATATATTTTTATTAAAATAGAATTAATACACTCATCCTTTTTAAAGTATATAATAATATCACAACAATATATTTGATTAGATATCAGATAAAGTTAAAATACAAAAATTATATAATTCATAATTCCTAGCGGAGATAATATATATATTAAGATGTATAAAGGAGCAGGCAGATTTTGTCTTTGCTTGTGTAAAATGCTCATATACCTATTTATATAAGTTTATGTTTAAGCTGAGTCTTAGATGTTAATTATTGTTTTTATTCAGAAAAGTTACCTGAATACCAATATGGGAGGGGGGGGGGGAGGTATTGTTCGATTTTGACATTATTGAATGTCATCTTTAAATTACTCTTAAGGGTGTACTTTTTCCTATTAACTCTAAAAATCACATTTCAAAACAGCTATTTCGAATTTTGAAAAGGAAAAGGATGAATAAGGACAATTTTATTTTATAAAAAAAATATTTATATGAATAATCTATTTGGACGGATCCTGTTTCTATAAACTTATTTATTCTTAAAGATTAAAATTTATGCCTTGCATTTACGGTTGTTGGAGCCAGTTTAGGACATTTTTATTTCATAAAGTTGATTTTGGTATTCCTTTTTCGGAAATTAATTTCTTCTTACCAAAATATTAAGAGCTAAAAGATATTTTTTTATTTTTAACAATACAATTCTTTTTAAATTGTCTATTGTTTTTAAAAAATAGGTAAATATTTATTAAAATAAATTGCTATCAAAATTTTTCAATTTTAAATAATTTTGATTTATTAGAATTTTTCTTATAAATTGCTTTTCCAACCCTTATTTTTTGAATCACAAATTACAAATGACATTATATGATTTTTATAATCAAACAATCTTTGACTTGGTTCCCAAATGTTTATTTTATTAAGGTAATATTTACCCCAAAAATATTTTTCGAATTATGCATGATTTTTTTTGTTTTTTAAAAAAGAAACAACCTGCAATTTATTCCAAATCTATATATTTTTTAATGTATAATTTTTTTAATGTATTAAAAATAGTATTCATTTTCAATGTAGTACCATAATAGTATTAATTTTATTGAGATATTTTTAAAAAATTAAAGGGGAAACAATATAAGTTTCTATACTCTCTGTTACTGAAAGAAGTTTTAATTATGAATATTTATTGTAAACCTAGCAAATAGTTCAATATTAACATCGAAATATTTCTCCTTTTAAAATTCAACCCATACTTTTTGATCCTTTACTACACAAGTGGAAAAAAATCCCTTAACTACAAAGATGGGGTCTATTTTATCCCAAATTTTGATTAGCTATATCTCAGAACATATTAAAATTTGAGATCTACAATTTTGAATATATATTAAAATATTATTGAAAATAATAAATACAAAATCTTATATTAATAGTTACTTCTAAAAAAAGTTATGCAAATTTTACTAAAGTTGCTGAAATAAAAATTTTTTCCTGAGACCTTCCTTTAATTATATTATCACTAAAAAAAATTTAAAAAATGCAAATTATATTATATATTTTATTAAATCAATGTTGAATATAGATAATTATATAAATTTTATAAAAAGATATCAAATATTAAAAAAAATATTAATCATCAAATAACATGTAAATTTTTATACTAACATTCACGACAAAATGTATGCATATGATCTTTACAAATGAATTTTGAACAATTTAAACAAATAAATGTTGTTTTTACGTCCTTCACTCTAGGACAATCATAACATCTTCCCTTTTTATTTGATGGAATATGTTTTTCATCAGTTTTGAGAACATCCCCAATGTTGTTACGTAATAATCTACATATACTAGGGTTCTTAGATCTGCTGATCATATATGGTGTTATTAGTTCCATTGCTAATAATTTTATAAATTTTTATATTCGATAAATTATTAGCTTTATAAACTATCAGTACATTTATTATTGATATATTTACTATAGTATAAAAAAGGTCAATGGCATCTATTGGATTTCCTGGATATATAATATATGGAGGATAGTTGATCAACTGTATCACCTCCAGTTTTTGTTAAATTATAAAAATTTATAATTTCTGGTTTTTTAAACTCACCAGTTGATGCATCAATTTTGTTATCGTAATGTAGTGTGTAGAAAGCAACACTATATTCTTATACTTTTTGGTATGTATAAAACTAACAGTTCTATTTTCTCTAAATGCAAATAAATTAAATTTATATTTTTTCAATTTTATATAAGGGTTGCCAGATGTCACGATTTAGCCGTGATTCTCACGATTTCATACCTAATTTTTTACTTACCCACATTTTCTCACACTTCACGCTTTTCTCACGTTTTTTGAGTAAATTAAAATAATCACACTTAGTCTCACACTTTTTCTCACGTTTTTAAATTTTTTCAATATATTTTTAAATTTTTTTAAAATATCTAAAAAAATTGTAGTATTTGTTAATAATCCATCTAACCAATCATATTCATTGATCAATTACCCACAACAGAAATTCAATTTTTAGAAAGTTTATCAAGTATAATTATAATATGAATTTAAATAACTATACATTTCTTTAATGGATTTTATAAATCTTATATTGAAACTCGTAAAATTTTAAATGAATTAAATTAAGGGTAAATATAATAAAAGATCTAAAAAACAATCATCCGTTTTCAATACTAACGAATGCATGGAATAAAGGTAATAATGATCGGGGATTTCTTAAAAATTTTGAGACTATGGCCATTAATTATATAAATATTTTTTAAATATATAATTCTTTTTATAATAAAAAGAAAAACTTCACCCTTCGCCTTCTATTTTATTTGAAATGCACAGACGATTTTGAAATTTATTTTATTTATATATTACTTCTTTTCTACCACCCCTTCCCTCCCTGCCTTGTTGAAAGAAAAAAACAAAAAAATAATATTTACCTCGTTTTATTTAACTTTTTTTTCCTTTCAAAAAAATAATTACATTATATATTTAAAGTACTTACCATCTTTTATATATGCATTGCATCTTATATAAAAATTACACAAAACAAAATCCTTAATTTTTGGTATTTATTTATTTATTTTTAAAAATAGTACTAATTTTCTTCTAAAAGTTTATTCTACAAATAAAACCACTCTTAGCAAATAGATTATTTCGGCATGTTAAACCTTAATTTTTTATGTAAGCCTTAAGATTGTGGTAGATGGCACAAAAGTTTGGACATTTATCAGCGAAATGTCGAGGTTTAGGTAATAATAATAGTTAAAATAATTCCCCGAACCAAAGTTAAATTTTTTTCTTTAAAATATATTTAGTATTTTTCTTTATTAAATTTAGCCCTTTTTGAAATCGAGCAGTTTAGCACTTATATTTATATAAAATTCTCAAAAACATGATTTAAAAAAACAAATTTATCTTTCATCAAAGGAAAGGTGGGACTATGAAGACCTCAGTCATTTTAAAAATTTCAGTACTTAAAACAAGTATTTGTGTGGTAAAACTAATTTTGATTTTTTTCAGTACTTCAAGAGTTTCGGTAACAATTTTATTTTGTGCTTCAATTATTCGTCATTTTTTCATTAGTATTTAAAATGATTTTATTTATTTAAATAATACATGATATAATATACACAAATACCATTTTTATATAAATATAGTAAAAATCAAAATATAACGTTATTTAATAAACTTTTATTAAGTTTAATTAATAAAATATCATTTAATATAGATTTCTCTAATCTTGTTCGTAACGGTGTAAGGATCAATCCCAGAGCACTGACTGATCTTTCAACAGATACTTGAGAGCAAGGAGTAGCTAGAACTACTCGCGAGAGGGCATATAATTCCGGATCCTGAAATTTTTTTATTGCCAATATTGCAAAATATTTTGATCAGATGGCAATTTTTGACCATATATTAAACCATTAATTTTGGTGTTGATATCAATACTTTCAATATTTTGGTATATTGGAGCAGTTTTAAAATTTCGAGGCATAGTCAGGGTTGCCAGATATTCTTCACTTGAAAACGTGAGTTTTTATTTTAGAATAATTAATGGGGAACTTCGCCCCCCCATCTCCACCAATTTGCGGGCCTGGCCCGTTTTTAACCGGCCTTCGGCCGGGGTAATTGATGTAGCATACTCATCTAAGTTATTATGTTATATTTAATGTAACAAGATTTTAAAAACAATGAAAATTTTTTATTGATTTTCTAATAACAATTATGATATATAATTTTCTCATTAAATATAGCATAATATTAATTATTATATTTTATGGATGATTTTAAAAGAGGCAATAAAGATTTCCCATCGG